CGAGTGAGCTCGACGTCCTCCCAAGGCCGCGTTCAACCGACGTGCTCCATCGTGGTGGACGCTACGGCCTCTGCGCCTTGCTTTCGGCGCCTCAAGTTCCAGTTGCCAATCGACAGTCCGTTTCGTTTGTCTGCGTTCCCGCCATTAATATCTGGCACCAATGCTCACGCGACAAGGCGCGAAGCGGCTCCGGTTCACGTCGCCGCAGACGTCGCAGGCCGCGCTCGTCTGCCCCGGCTTGCTCGTACTCATCGTGTCGTACCAAGACGGCGTGCACGCGTGCGTCCGGCCGCTGGTCCGCATCTACCACGAGGTGCACCTCTTCACGCACGCCTTCTTCCTTCGTTTCGATACGTGGCTCGCGGCGTTTGGCGTCCACGGGCTTGGCCGGCTCGTCGAAACGCAGCGCGAGTGCTGGTTACAGCGCACGATGGATGCACTCGTCGCGCTCGGCCACGTCGACGGCGTCACGTTCCTCATTGCGAAGACGCCGCTTCGGACCTGCCACCTCCTTGCGCTCTGCTGCGCGGCCGCCCGCAAGCAGTCGCCGATGCTCGTATATCTACGCGATCACTGCGAGGATGGAATCATGCGCCTCGGTCTGCAGCTGCTTCCGCTGTTTGCCCCCGAGAGCAGTCTTGAGACGCGCAAGGCCGTCGCGGACCTCCTGTTGCGTGCGATTGGAACGAGCCAAGTCCGTGTCGCCCCCGACACGCTCGGTCTGCTTCGGTAGCTTCTTGGCAACATGTACGTCGGTATAAGTGAAGAAGAGCACTATCTGAATGAGAGATACGGTGTTACGACGACGCTGCTTCATTGTGCGTATGCTGCCACTCGCGGTCGAGGTACTCGAGGGCTGCTGCCCAACACTGCGGCTCGGGCAGAGCTTTCTGTGGTGGAATGCCCGTCTTCTGGTACTGCTTGCCGTCCTCGCCATAGCAGCGCTGGTAGGGAACGTCGACGACCCAGCCGTTGGGTAGCGACATCTCGCGCACGTCCGAGAGCCTGCCGGCCGTCTTGGCGCCGAGTCGACACGTCTTGGGGCGGTGCAGGAGGGCGAGGAGGAGGAGCTCGCTGGTCCTACCCAAGTGCTCACACAGACACTCGCCATAGAAGACGTACCGTGCCGTCTCGGTGCCTTGGAGGATTGCGAGCGGTCCGTCGTAGCGCAGTCGCGACGTCGGCACGTGGAACTGCCGCTTCTGAAGCCGCTCCTCCATGATGAAGGCAAACGACGGCGGCTTGAAGAACGACGCGAGGACGAGTGACACAATGTACGAGCCACCACCGGTGCTGTGGCGCAAGTCCAAAATGAGTCCGTGCAGATGCGTGGCGTGGAGGTGCGTCACGATGGCTTCCATCGCCCATCGCATTGCTTCGAGGTCGTACATCTCGGGCACCAAGCCCTACGTTGGACGTTCAATGGAGTTGGACGCAACGAGAAGGACACCTTGGTGCACGGCTTGCGCCGCGTGCCACACGACCGCAGCTCGAACGGCAGTTGGAGCTCGACAAAGCCCTCCAGCGCCGAGAGCGAGAGGTACCCGATTGGCGTCGAGTGCCGAACGACGCCCCACGTAAACTGGTTGGCAATCACATTGTAGTTGTCGAGCTGGTCGCGGACCCAGCCGTCGAGGTCCATGGACCGAACGCGGTTGTTGTTGGGGATCGAGACGTTGGAGATGGTGACGCACGGGTCGTCGAGGAGCGCAATGCTGTCGACAAGTGCGGTCCAGAGGTCGTGCTCGGTCGTCGCGCCGTCAATCTTGTCGCCAAAGAGCCGATGCACGAGCGACCAATTCGCATTGCCTTCGAGAAACGCATAGTCGTGGTAGATGCCACTCCAGAACGCCTCAAAGTTGACTTTGGCGTCCGTGGACGAGAACGTGCCCGAGATGACATCGTGGAGCCACTGCCACGCCGACCGAAGCAGCATGCTGCCCAAAGTCAGACAGATGACGCAGATGCCGCCGAGCAGTGGCATGTGGCGCCGCAGTCGGCTCGTCGGCTGGATGAGCACCGACTCGCACCATTGCAGCGGGTAGAGAAAGCACAGGTTGAGAAAGCCGCTAGCAGCCTCCATGAGTCGTCGAGGCATGGCATGAAGCGCGTCTACCTGCGCGTCGCTCGGAAGGGCGGGAAGAGAAAGATGATCAAGTTGGACACCGTGTATCGAAAGTGCTCCTTCTTGGCCATCGCCGTCGTCGTCTCCGCCCAAGGACTCCAGCCGCGATCAAGTGTTGTTGACCTCAACACGTGGGACACGCCTGGTGTGGTGCAATGTGGTGCCTAATTAGGCCAGAATATCGAAGGTCCCGGCCGAATTAGGATGTGCCAACTTCAACGTGCAAGTCACCCAAGTCGACGCCACCGCGCATGCTCCTGCATGCCAGTACATGGTCGCCGTAGTACATACAAGTACAGGGCGATGGCGAGCCCTTTGACGCACGCGGTCCACGCAGGTAGCTTGTCTTGTCTGTCGTTCTTCTCTCGGACAAGAGGCGGTTTCAACGTCTTGGCGCCTGTCTCGCCGCTGCCTCGGTGTCGCCGAGTCAGTTCCACAGAAGCGTGCGATAAACACTGCAATAGAATCTACGTTTCTGCCCACGTCGACCTCGCTGTTCAACGACACGTTGGTGCTGCGTGGTGAGCGACCCAGGAATGGACAACTATGCACAGACAACTTGTTTCTCTTACGCCGTGAGGCCGTACTGCTTCAAGAGCGGCTCGGTGCTCTGGGGACGGCCACGGAACGCCTCAAAGACCTGAAGTGGGTGGCGCGACCCGCCGAGCGCGAGCACCGTGTCGCGGAACTCGCGGCCGGTCTTGGCGAGCGCGGCTTCGTCGTCCAAGCCGGCTTCCTCAAACTTGCTGAAGGCGTCGCACGAGAGGACTTCGGCCCACTTGTAGCTGTAGTAGCCGGCCGAGTACCCACCGGCAAAGATGTGCGAGAACGAGCACAAGAACCGGTCTTCGGGCAAGGGCGCAAGCACGGTGAACTTGGCGGCAATCGCCTTCTGCACGTCAAAGATGGTCTCGTCGCCCGACGGGTCAAACTTGTGGTGGAGGTGCATGTCGAGCGCGCCAAAGTAGAGCTGGCGCAGCATCCCGGACGCGGCCATGTACTTGCGCGCGTCGCAAATCTTCTCAAAGAGCTCGGCCGGCAGCGGCTCGTTGGTCTCGTAGTGGCCGCTAATGTCGTTGATCGTACCGCGGTGATAGCAAAAGTTCTCCATAAACTGCGACGGGAGCTCGACGGCGTCCCACTCGACGCCGTTGATACCGGCGGCCGCTTCGTGCTCGACCGTCGTCAGCATGTGCTGGAGGCCGTGGCCAAACTCGTGGAAGAGCGTCTCGACCTCGCGAAAGTTCATCAAGCTCGGCTTGTCGCCGACGGGCGGCGACTGGTTGCAAATGAGGTACGCCACCGGGATGCGAATGGCGCCATCCGCGCCAAGGAGCTTGGAACGGCCGACCGCGCTGTTCATCCACGCACCGCCGCGCTTCTCGGCCGGGCGCGCAAACGAGTCGAGGAAGAAGCGCGCAATGATCTCGTTCGACTCGGCCGATCGAATGTTGAAGAAGCGCACGTCCTTGTGCCACACCTGCGCTTGGCCGTCGGCGGCTTCAATGACGATGCCAAAGAGGCGCGACGCCAGCGCAAAGAGACCGTCCAGGACCTTGTGGAGCGGGAAGTACGGCTTGATGGCTTCGTCGTCGAGCGAGTAGAGTTCGAGGCGCATCTTCTCCGTCCTATGCAGCGCCGTGAGCAACCGACTCTAGAGTTCGAGAGCTTACCAAAACGGCACGTCCCAGTTGGCGAGCGGCTCGGTCACGCCGTGGGTGGCCGCATACGCGTTGAGCTGCGCGAGTTCCGACTCGGCGATCGTAAAGCACTTGGCGTGGAGCTCGTTGGTCATTTGCTCGACGGCCTCGACGGACGGCGCCATCTTCTTGGCCAAGCTCAGCTCCGCAAACGTCGCAAAGCCGAGCAGCTTGGCCTTCTCTTGGCGAAGACGCAGCGTCTCGTTGATGATCGCGACGTTGTCGAACGGGTCGGCGCTCGCCTTGGACGAGTTGGCGCGGTACAGCGTCTCACGCAGCGCCCGGTTCGTGCAGTACTTGAGCACGGGCAGGTAGACCGGCATGTCGAGCGAGAGCTTCCACGGACCTTCCTCGGCAGTGGCGCCCTCGTGGCCGTCGGCGGCAGCGTTCTGCGCCAGCATCTGCAAGAGCGACGCGGGAAGGCCGTCGAGCTCGGCCTTGTCCGAGACGATAAGGGAAAACGCCTTGGTCGCATCGAGCGCGTTGTTGGAAAACTTGGTCGACTAGCACAGCGAGAATCAGCGATCCGATTTACTTGGTGAAGAAAGACGTACGAGCTCGGCGGCGCGGAGTTGAATTTCGTTGAAGCGCTCCTTCTCGTTGCCAGTGAGGCCCACACCGCTGAGCGTCGCCGACCGCAGCGAGGACTCGATGATACGCTACATGTCTTTGATCAGCATCGAGAGGTGCTGCGAAGACTAGTACCTGCTGCGCACCCGAGTACGTCTCCCACACCTTGCCTTCGCGGAGCTCCTTGAGCGCCTGGAAGATCTCGACGCTCTGCGCAACGCGCGTGAGGACCGTCACCACTTGGTTCTGGAGCTCCGAGTGCACTTCGCGGAGCGCCGGCGAGTTCTTGACGCTCATGAGGTGGCCGACAATGCCCCAAATACGGTCCAGCCCGTCGGCTTCGACCTCGAGGCGGTCCAAGATCGTCTCGTAGCGCACGTCGGCGTTGGCCTCACGGAGTTCATCTTCAAAGGCCGCGATGTCGGCCTCAAGCTTGGCCAGCGCGGTGCGGACGGCCGGCGCCATCTCGTCGACCGTGAGGTCTTCGAACGGTGGGAGCGTGCGCTCCTCGACGCAGCGCAAGAGCGAGTTGGTGGCAGTCATTTGCGTCTGGGGCAAATTCGGAAATGACCGCAGACAGCAACTCGCTTTGCCAGCTGGTTCCAACGTGATGGCCTTTCTATGCATTGTCAGAGGTTATTGGTTTCGCACGTCAAAGGTCCGCTAATAGTGTGGACTGGAATCACTAGATATTGGTATTGAAGCAAAGATCGGACCAATGCCATGAAGATAGTGTGCTTTTTGTGGGTAGGGTATTCAAAGATAGAGGTTAACCACCAAAGAAACCACATGGCTTGTAATCAGACTCGAGGGGCGCGACGGAAGTCCGTCGTTTTGGGTGTGTCCTGCCTCAGCGCCACGCCAACCGACCGCTTGCCATGATGGGTACATGCCAATGCGCCTTGCGATGCTACCAACCGCCTCGTTCAAAAGCGCTAGGAGTGATTAGAGTTGAAGGCTACCGAAGCTCAAGTAGCTTTTGGGTAGGCCGACAAGCGTGGCACTCGTCGTTGCAGTTTGCTCGTCGGTGTCATAGAGAACGAAGCGGCCAAGGGGATCAAATACCGGTACACTGGTGAATCATTTACCATCACTCTTGCTTGTCCCCCGTGCCCCGAACCCGCCCATATTATTCGGCTCGGGGGGGAAAACCTGAACGATGAAGAGTGATGGTAAATGAATCACCTTGATTACCTTGGCCACCTTGTGCTTCGCTCAGATCACAGTCGCTTCGTTCACTTATGTCCAAATGAGCTTTCCTGCCCCGGAGCTCTGCCCCAGAAGCGCTGCCCTAGTGTATCCGGATGGAACTCTACGTAATTGGATTGGCCAAAATGTGCCTTGTACTGTCCAATCGCAGCCGCTCGTTCCTATGAAATGCCAACAAGTGCCACGTCATGGCAAAAAAGGGGGACCACACCTGTCAGTGTTTAACCCATTGCGTTTTACTAGTCTACGAATCCGGAAATCCGGATAATGGGCGACGTTCGCGATGCATCCCACATAAGTTTCTGGACAAGCATGCTTGGCCGATTCCAGCGCGGTGCAGCCTCGCATGGCCTCCTACGCCGAGCCTTTGCGACCAACTCGCTCATGCAAGCTGTGCACGAGCGCAAGTTGCCGCCTTTTCGCTCACTGGCCGTGGCCGAGATGGCGCCCGCGCTCCGCGAGGCCATCAAGACCTTTGAGACGGACGTGAGCGCGATTGAAGCAACGCTGCGCGCCAAGACGACGCCTATCGAGTGGGAGACAATCATGGACCCGCTCGAAATCCAAGGCGACGCGCTCCAGCGGATCTGGGGTATCGTTGGCCACCTCATGAGCGTTCAGAACTCGCCGGCGCTGCGCGAAGTCCACGCAGCGATGCAGATCGAAGTCGTCACGATCTTCACACGGTTTTCGCAGAGCCCTGAGATCTTTGCCGCGTACAAGGAGCTTCGCAGCAGCGCGTCGTGGGCCACCTTTAGCGACGCTCAGCAGGTACCCATCCATTCTCCTGCGAACAACATCCATAACGCGTGCGACGGTAGCGCATCATCGACTCGTCGATTCGCGGCGCGACGCTGAGTGGCGTCGGCCTCGAGGGCGAAGAGAAGGAGCGCTTCAACCAGCTGCAATTACGGTCGGCCGAATTGGTACCAACGACCATTCCTTGACGTCGCGCCTCAACTTTGCGTGCGTAGAAAACGAAATTCTCCAACAACGTGCTCGATGCGACCAAGGCGTACTCGCTCATCATCACCAACAAAGCCGAGCTCGATGGCGTCCCGGCCTCGCTCCTTCCGCTCTTGGCCCAGGTACTGCCTATCGTATCGCTGGTGCGATATGCACGTTGTTTACACTGTACTAGAACGCCGCTGCCGACGGGCACGACGGCGCGACCGCCGAAGACGGTCCGTGGAAGCTCTCGCTCGACATGCCCGTGCTACTGCCGATGCTCAAGTACTGCACAAACCGGTCGCTGCGTGAGACGCTGTACCGCGCCAACGCGACCAAGGCTAGCATCGCGCCGCACGACAATACTCAAATCATCAACGAGACCCTCCGGCTGCGCCAAGAACGCGCCAAGCTCCTCGGGTTTGCCTCGTACGCCGAGCTGAGTTTGGCGACCAAGATGGCGCCGAGCGTCGACGACGTCAACCGCATGCACAACGAGCTCCGCGCCAAGTGCCGCCCGATCGCTGTCGCTGAGCTCAACCAGCTCGCCGCGTACGCAGCGCAGCACGGCCAGACGACGCCGCTCGCGCTCTGGGACGTAGCCTACTGGTGTGTCTACTGGGCTAATGATGCGTCATTTCACACGGCTCGGCGTAGGACGGAGAAGATGCGGGCGGACCTGTACACGCTCGACGACGAAATCATCAAGCCCTACTTTCCTTTGCCCAAGGTGCCTCAAAGAGCTTGCTACCATTTGATTTCTTAGTGGAATCGTAGGTGCTCGAGGGGTTGTTTGACCTGACATCGCGCCTCTTTGGTGTTACGATCGAGGTACTACGTCCTCGTCGCTGTCAGCGGTTTCCAGCTCGACGCGCGTTGTAGGCTGCCGACGCCTCGGTCGAAACGTGGCATGACGACGTGCAGTTCTTCAACGTCCGCCGAGCCGACGGCGCGAAGGAGATTCTCGCCAGCTTCTTCCTCGACCCGTACGCGCGTCCGGCCGAGAAGAATGGCGGTGCGTGGATGAACACGTGCGTTGGCCGCTCCAAGCTCCTCGGTGTCAACGGCGCGGTCCGCATCCCGGTGGCGTACCTCATTTGCAACCAGTCGCCGCCCGTCGGCGACAAGCCGAGCTTGATGAACTTTCGCGAGGTCGAGACGCTCTTCCACGAGTTTGGCCACGGCCTCCAGCACATGCTGACGACGGTCGACTATGAAGGCGCGGCCGGTATCAACGGCGTCGAGTGGGACGCCGTCGAGCTCCCGTCGCAATTTATGGAGAACTTTTGCTATCACCGCGGTACGATTAATGCCATTAGTGGCCACTACGAGACCGACGAGCCGCTGCCGGCCGAGCTCTTTGAGAAGATTTGCGACGCGCGCAAGTACATGGCCGCGTCCGGGATGCTGCGCCAGCTCAACTTTGGCGCGCTCGACATGCACCTCCACGGCAAGTTTGACCCGTCGGGCGACGAGACCATCTTTGATGTGCAGCACAAGATCGCTAACGAGTACGTGGGATCACACTTGCCATCGGATCTGACGTGATATGGATGCGTAGCTTTGCGGTCATGAAGCCCTTGCCCGAAGACCGGTTCTTGTGCTCGTTCTCGCACATCTTTGCCGGTGGGTACGCGGCCGGCTACTACAGCTACAAGTGGGCCGAAGTCCTCTCGTGCGACGCCTTTAGCAAGTTTGAGGAAGCTGGCTTGGACGACGAAGCCGCGCTCGCCAAGACCGGCCGCGAGTTCCGCGACACGGTGCTCGCGCTCGGCGGGTCGCGCCACCCGCTTCAGGTCTTTGAGGCGTTCCGTGGCCGTCCCCAGAGCACCGACGCGCTCTTGAAGCACTACGGACTGCAGTAAATCTGAATACGACTTCGGCTGAGTACGGCGCTTCCATCGCGCAACGGTCCGTGTTAAATAGGCTATACAGAATCGCATCAGCAGACGCAACTCACGCGGGCCAGTCGCCGTAGAGGATGCCGACGTCGAGCGTAAGGGACTCGAGCGCGTCCGTACACTCGAGGACACTGGGCCACTGTCCGGCGTCTGTAAGCTCGGCTTCGTACTCGTGCAGCGCATCCAATGTCTTGGCAAAGTAGTCGAGGCCATGCACGAGCTCGCTCGGCGCCTCTTCGATGGTTTCGGCGATGATTTCGAGGTCGTTCATGATCATGGCGCACCGGTGGCTCTCGAGGCCATACCGTTTGGCATGGGCCACGAGGTGATGGAGCGTACCGGCCAAGACAAAGCCACCGACGGCCATTGCTGTCGCTTGACACCGGTGTTCGAGCGCGTCAAACTTCATCTCGAGCATCTCGACATAATCTTGCCACTCGATTGGGACGCTTTCGGCGAGCGACGCCAGCGCCTGCGAAATGTCGTGGAGCGTCCCGACGACGGCGCGGTGGTCAGATTCAATCAAGCGCAACAGGTCGCGGACGCTGGTCTGGAGGATGTCCACGTCGGCGCCTGGCACGCGCTCCGAGACGTCGAGCACGTCTTGGAGCAGCGCCATGGCCTCGTCCGCCGCATCGCACGCCGGGTCGACAATGTCGGCGAGGTCGATATCCATCCCGCCCGGGTCCGAGTACTCGCCTTGCTCGGTCGTATCGTCGTCGAGCATCGGGATCGACTTGTAGCTGCATGGGACGCAGAGCCCGGACGAGAGTGCGACGAGCGTCGGGTCGATTGACGCCGAGCACACCGAGCAGCTCGCCGGCTTTAGCTGCCGCTCGCGCTTCGTGGCCGTCGTCAAGTCGTAGCGGGCATCGTCGTCGGGGAGGCAGAGCACACGGAGGCCGGCGCCGAGACTCGTCCCGACGGCCAAGATCGCGGCCAGCGCCATCATGTTGTACCTGCGAAAGTGCGAACTTCGAGCGTGCGGCCGTCACCCGCTACACGCCGATTGGCTGGAATACCCCGCCTTTTTTAAAACGGCGCCATTTTTACACTTGCGTTTTGTATACTGTCAAGTGCACGGTTCAGCACTACAGCCAATCCGAGGTCGCCGGACGCTGACGTCGGTGTCGACACTCTACCGTGCTGGCAGCTCGAACGATATGCCCACCTTGTCATCGCGTTCGTCCGACTTGACCAAGCGACGTCGGCCGACGGCGTACGAAATCGGCTAAGGCGGCCGCGGAACCGCGCTGAAAACACTCGCCCTCGATGTCTCGTTTCGCCAATCGCATCCATCGACGCCACATGTATTTGGCCAATCAAACGCCGCCACACCGCAGCCTTTCTTGCTGGAAGATCGCCAGTTGCCGTTTGCCGTTGACATCACCATGGCGAGTCAAGGCCGCTTCAAGGTGCTCCAAAGCCTCAACGCCTTGTCATCGGCCGGGAAAAAGTCGACGTTGTACACTGCCGAGACGGCCAAGGGCGCGTTACAAGGCTTTGCCGCCCACGCGGCCGAGGCCCGCGGCCCGCTACCGCCGTTCACGGAGGCGTCGGCGCTTGCCAAAGTCAAGGCCGCTGAGAACGGATGGAACTCTCGCGATGCCAACAAGGTGGCCCTTGCGTACACGCCCGACACGGTCTGGCGCAACCGCGATACCATATTTGTCGGACGGGACGCCGTCGTTGCCTTCTTGCAAGACAAGTGGGCGCTCGAGACCAACTACAAGCTTGTGAAGCATCTCTGGTGCCACGACAAGAACCGTATTGCCGTCCGGTTTACGTACGAGTTTCAGCGCATCGCGGACGGACAGTGGTTTCGCTGCCACGGCAACGAGCTCTGGCAGTTTGACGACTTGGGCCACATGCAACACCGCGACATGAGTGGCAACGACATCCCGATCGACGAAGCCGACCGTCTTTTCCGTGATTAGGCCAGAACACAATAGACCCTAATCGCGATGACGATGCTGCGTTTCTATTCGGGAGCTACGTCATTGCTGCAAGGGCAGAGTGCGACACGAAGAGCTCGACGATCCTTGCAAATCCTCGCAAGCTTGTTTGGGAAGGCAGGTGCCCATAAGATCAATAAGACATCTCTTATTGACCGTTGTATAAGATGTTGCAATGCCGAGGGTGTTGATCTCCACCTTGGACGTGAATGGAGCGCAACTCAACGGGCACATGCATGCGAGAGATGCTGCTTCCAGGATACCGTACACTCCTGGCTAACTGGATCAGCTCGAACCTTCGAGGAGACTGGTTCACTGTTTTTATGATTCTCAAACGATAAAGCCCGCAAGCAGCACGAGTTCAATGTACTAACACTAGTAGTATGGATGCATGGGTATGGAGCGTGCCACCGAGGTTCCTGGCGGTCATCGGCGCTGGACCCGTGATGCTGACCTGCGACTGTGGCGTCTTGCCCCTTTCTGAGATGCGAATCTTGCCGGTTGCATCCGGATAAGTGAGGCCAAGTATGTGCGCTATCCTGTGGGTGCGCACTTGAACGAGCCCAATACAATTATGATGTGTGTCGACTGTTCTTCGTAGCAGCTGGTCGCACTTAGTCGCGTCCGCACCGCAGCCGGTTAGTCAAAGATACAACTTGGGCATGGCGGAAAGCGGCTTGGTCACCGGCCTCCCGATGAGCGCGGTCAACGCGTCCTGGACGGAGCCCTGCGCCGCGTACACGACGTGCGACCAGTGCATTGCGGCGAGCATGACCTGCCACTTCTGCGAGAAAGACCTGCAGTGCCATGTGATCGGGTCGCCGAGCGGCTGCATCACGGGCATGTCGGCCTGTCACCACATCGAAGGTACGGCCGCCAGAAGGATTTCGCTCACGGCCCCGCGTACTAGACTGCGTTCGCAAGGAGCCGCAGGCCATCGGGTATGGGCCCCCGCCGGCGGTCGTACTCGCCGTGCTCTGCCTCGTGGCGACCATCATGGCCTGTTTGTGCGGATGCTCGATTCTGACCACGATGCTGTGCAAGTGCTGCCGGAAGCGCCCCAAGCCCGAAAAGTACGTTCGCTTGCGTGGTACTTGCATGGCTCGGAGCATGCTACGTAGGAAGAAGCGCTACAAGCTCGAGGTCATCTCCGAAGATGCGTCACAACAAGCTCTCTTGAGCCAAATCGACGACGATGAGTTTCAAGTCGACGAGAGCCTCGAAGAGTCGCGGACGGCGCGCCCGTCCGGCAGCAGCTCGAGGTTATTCCAACTCTAGGAGAAGCAGGACGCAATTCCATGGCTTGTAGTCTCCGTTCCTGCGGCTACTCCATGATCTGGCTCGCGCTCTTCGCCGTGCTCACGGTACGCTCCATCATGGTCGCCGTCCTCTCGCACGTGCTACATGTGTCGTTGGCGTAGACATTCTCGCTCATGTACTACCCGCGCATCCCAGAGTACCAAATCTGCAACCAGCAGGTACTCCCTTTCACCTACATGACGCTCGGTGCCACGCGTGCTAGTTTGACTGGGCGTCGATCTTTCAGAGCCTTGTGAGCGTACATCCCAAGATCAACTACCAGGTACAAGTGGTCCTTCTTGCGTTTAAGTCCTAAACGTACTACACATGTAGATCTTGACCAGTGTCTCGAACGAGAACCGATTTGGCTTCTTCCTCAAGGCCGGCGACGCCGACATTCATCACCGAGGCGTCAAAGTCGGCACGTGGACCATCCGCAACTGGACCGCCGAGGCCGGGGCCGTCACCGACGTAGGCGCCTCTCGCTCTCTCTATCTCTCTGCTGTTGCTAACATAGCGTGGTAGATGATGGCCGACGTGCGCATCGAGCCGGGCTACTCGGAGGCGTACGGGCTCCTGGCAGACTTTCGGGCCGGCACGCTCGTCTTCCAAATCAACACGACCATCTCGGGCTCGATCAAGTGGGGCACGTACACGGTACGACGCTGTAACGATGGCCACGTTGATCGCTCTCCTTCTAGCTATACGAGATTGAGACGGCTGTGCCATCGATCGAGTTTCTCGTTGGCGCCAAGTACCCGCGCGACCTCTGCAAGTGCACCGAGTACTACACACCCAGCAACGAAACGCGCCACAAGGCGCTGCCGTATGCCTAACCTCGTGGCATCAACACGTTTCTGTCGATTGAACGTCGTTGTGTACTTTCTGATGACAATGTGTACATCTTGAAGCATCCTTGTCGCCACTATCTGGTCCATGTACCGAGGACTTCAGCATTACCATGAACTCAAAAGCATGGCGACCTGGTGGCACCATGTGGCCGCAACCCACAACCCTACTTCGGTTGCCCCAACCCTAATTCGTTTGCCCTCTTCTGGATCGACCCCGCGTGGTGTATCAAGCTCCGCCTCGTATGACAACTTGTTCATTGTAAAACATTATCTGATGTTGGGTTATTCGTATGTAGAATGCAGCTCACTGCGTGCGCAGGAGTCTTATCGATGACGTGGCAAACTACTCGTCGTCGGTGGTGGTCGAGTCAAAGTAGACTTTCTGGGGCGGCACAAAGCCGTTAAAGTGCGAGCCGGCGGCCGACGTGTACGCGCCCATGTTGGCAAAGTACATCCAGTCCCCAATGTCCATCACCGGCATCTTGATGTCCTTGGCGATGCAGTCGAGGCCGTCGCATGTCGGGCCCCAAATGCTCGAGGTGAACGCCGCGCTGTCGTCGACGGTCGTGAGCGCCTTGGGATGCACGACCGCATGGTCGTACAAGAGGCAGTTGAACGACCCGTAGAGGCCGTCGTTGACGAAGTACATGTAGTACGGGTCGACGCTGCCGTGGAGGCCGCGCTTGCCCTGCGACGCCTTGAGCGGCGACGAGCCTGACGGCGTCAGCGCCGCGAGCGAGTTGGGTGCGAGCTTGCGCGCAATCACGTTGACCGCGAGCGTGTGGCTTGCGGCCGCAAAGAAACGACCAGGCTCCGAGATGATGCGGACGCCGGACGAGACCGGAAAGTGCTCGCTCAGCGACTTGTTGAGCTCACGGCCAATGTCCTCGAACGCGACCGGCGCGGTCTCGTCACCGGGAAACCCACCGCCAATGTCGAGCAGCTCAAAGTTGAAGCCGAGGCTTGCACCAATGTCGAACGCCTTGCGCGCGCGGAGGACTGCGTCCGAGTAGGCCGAGACGTTGAAGCAGCCGCTGCCAACATGGAACGAGACGCCGACGACGTTGGAGCCAATGGCCTTGGCGTGGCGCAGAATCGCAGGCACGTCGTTGAGGACCGCGCCAAACTTGGTACCGAGCGGGCACTGCGAGTGCGAGTCGTCGACAAAGAGGCGCAGGACCACCTGGGCGTCTGGGTGAAGCTTCTTCATCTTGGTGAGCTCGTCGCAGCCATCGAACGTCATGACGTTGACACCGGTGGTGGCCGCGAACGAGATGTGCGACGGCTGCTTGCACGGGTTGGCGTAAATGATGTTGCTGGCGTCGACGCCGGCGCAGAGCACGTCGTTGACCTCGGCCATGCTCGCGCAGTCAAAGCCCGTGCCGAGACGCGCGAGCGTCGAGAGGATGCGCTGGTCCGGGTTGCACTTGACCGCATAGTACGGCTTGACATACGGCAAATGCGTCATCCAGAGGTTGTACCGGTCTTCGATCGCGGCCGTGTCGACGACGTAGAACGCGTTCTCTTCGCCCGTCGACTGGATGTGGTTCCACATGCGGTGCAGGATTGCGTCCTTGGCCGCGGCCGTCGACGCGCACACCATGTGCTCGGGCTCCTCGGCGGCCGCGAGCGCCATCGAGGCGAGGCCACGTTGTTGTTGAGTCTTGAGACTGCCGTGTACGGCCACCCCAGCACGGGCGGACCGTGCGGTGGCGTGTGTGGCAATGCCGGCGCGCTGTCCGGTCTTGAACTTGAAGGCGGCCCGCGTCACCAAAGCCGGGAGGCGGGCAAAAGGCAGAGACGTGCGCAGCATGGTATTGTATCAAGCGATGCTATCGGCACGGGAACCACTCAGGTTCAACGTTGAAATCAAACACTAAGCGTAGGGACGTGCTGGTCCCTGGGAGCGTGGTCGGTGGCGACGCTGGTAAGATCTTGGGCGGGTCCAACGAGCTGAACAGTCAAGGTCTTGCGGCGACGGCGCGGGTGAGCGGCGGCGACGAAAGAGCTTTCTTGAGCGTTAGGCAGCCAAATGGCAAGTGAGTCGAGTTGGCACCAGAGTTGGCTCGCAAATCCGAACCAGAGTGATTGTGTTTTCGCATACAAACACCAAGTCAAATTATAGTCTCCGAGGATCCCGTTCACGTGAAACCACCACCCTGACCGCCACGAAAATGTGGGGACCAATGAAAACGCAAGCGATGGGTATACAAACCTTAAGTGTATCAGATCATTTAAAGCCGGCGCTTTAAGTCAACTTGGCATTTGTATGCACAAAAGTCATGTCCGAGGATTCTATAATTGGGACGCCCCACCAGGGTGGGCGTCACTTGGGGGTGTGACTCACCTGGGTGGCATTTAAATTAGCCCCGAGTCGTCGGTTGTGTGCTTCTCCGACGACCACGAACTGGGGCCCAGAGTCCTTTCTGCGAGCGTACCATGTATTTATATCGTCGTTTCAAGGCGAGCTAGGGTGCGACGTCGGGCTATGAGGTCGGCGCTTCGCTTTGCGTCGTCGGTGTCATCGTGGCCCAAAGAAAGCGGCGGCTTCGGCTCGCTTTTCTTTATTTCTTGTTGGGATTCAATTGGGATTTCCGCATTCCTCGCAGACTCTCGGCGCGCGCGTAACGCGACGACGTATACAAACATCAAGTCAGGAGGCAAAAACCCACGATCTTGTCGTGCGCGACGCTCGCCATTTTTTAAAATAATTTCAAGCCGATCTTTAATAAAATACACACTGGAGGCACGAGTTGAAGCCATTGCGGTCGCGACAACCCGCGCGACGGCCACTCGTTTTTCCTGCTGCCTTCTAGATTCAATCGAGTGCATTCCAATTTCCAGAGAAAAGAAGCCCGGCGACGATCCCAGCGTAAAAATTGGTGTCGTTTCCAAAACGCAGTGAAAACCAGGTGGAAACCTTCACGCGTGGGTTTCACCGTTCGACTCATTCGCGACCGTCGAGCAATTCAAAGTCGCTTGCCTTTGGAATCAAAATGCAGGTGAGAGCTCCTGGCGACGCCGTTGGAGGCCATCACGCGGACGATGTGGCGGACCAAGCACGTCCCGCTGGCAACCGTGGTTCGTCCGCCTGTGAACGTGGGAAGTGGCGCACCACTGACACTGTTGGCGAACGCTGTCTCTTTGCACCCAGGCCACACGCTAGAGCGGCACCTACAGATGCGGCACTGCGGACACGAGGAGGTCAAGTGGGAGGCGTGCACATCGCACAGCGCGAGGGACAGGATGCGGCTCGGGACAGGACGTAACCGGCGCGGTTACCACGCTGCAACTGCCGCGGCACCGAGCATGAGCGTCGCGCCCGCCCGCCATCCGACGGCCGATTTGATTCCGATTGCACCACGAGCGCACCGCGCGTACTATGACGCGGTTGGTATCCTCTACGTACTTTCGTCTGTGGGTCTTAGCTTCTACTGCGTCCTCGTCATGGACCCGTACCTGGCAAGCGACTACTTTTGGCCGAATTTTCACGCGCTCAACGTGTCGACGCTCGTCTCGGAGATCTTCAACGTGCAGTTGGCGCTATTGCCGATGAATGCGACTGCCTTAAGCGTGGCACTGATGATGCCGGTGGCCGCGGTCGTCGACACACACACTGCATGTGCGGCGCCGTCGTACCCGCGCAAGCTCCTCTACGAGCGTCTCACGGGCTTGGTCGATGCCATCACGGGTCTTCGGCGTCTGGATGCGGACAAGGTGGCGTCCATGGCCACGCTGTACTGCTGGGTGGACTTGAACCGGCGCTGGGAACTCGCGCACACGCGCGCCCGGCAATCGCGCTGCGAACGCACCGATTTTGAAAACGCGGCCGTCGTCCTCGAAGCTGTCTTGCGCAACATTCCATTGAGCGACTGGCTCGAGGTGACCCAGAACCGGTTTGCGGTGCACGTGGCCGACCCAATTGCCCGCACACCACGTGGCGCGGCGTGGGTTGCGCAACTGAAGAACCACGAGTGGCTCTCGATTGACGACGAGGTCGACGTATGGCAAAGCCACGGTCTCTTCCGCTTTACGCTGCAGTACACCAACCGCATCCAACTCGGGCTCCAAGAGTCGATTCTAATTGAGAACGCGTTGGGCACGGCGACGTGGCTCGAGGTGAAGGCTCTTGCGGCCGCGACGCGCGTGCCGCTCTGGACGTCGACGTACATGAGCATGTGTCTTGCGAATGACTTTGACGCGATTGGCGCCAACCAGAGTCTGGTTCGCGGCACGTTCAACTACTTTGGCGACGTTGACTCGACCCAAATCGAAGTGTTTGACGTCGGGTACCCGCTGAGCAAGCTCTTCCAGGTCATGCACGACCAAGTTGGACCGCTCGCCAACATTGACCTCAAGTGGATAGCACCGCCGTCATCTCTCGTGACGCACCTTGCCACATGGCGCGTCGCGCTGCTCGAGCACTTGCACGCGAATGCAACGTCGGCGATGGCGACGATCGGCGCCATGACACTGGCGCCGACGCCGCAGCAGTGGGAAGATCCGTCCTTTGTCTTTTACGGCGGCAACCCCATGTGCGGTTTTGGCGAGCCGCTCATGTTTGTACAAAACGCGTTTGGGTTTGACGACGCGTGCTCGAGTCAAACGCCGTTTAACGTGCCCCTAAATGCGTTCAATGGCCTCTTTGCGTGGAGCGCGCTACGCGGAGAGGTTGGTGCACCGTGCGCACTCGAGCCAAGCTATGCGCGCGCCACGTGTTATGCGACCTTGTCGCTTGTGAATGCCACGTACCACGAGCTGCCACCGCTGCCCGAGGTCGGCGCTTCGACCCTTGCCGCGACGCAGGCGCTGAACCTCTCGCTCATGCAGTTTGTCGGTGACATCAACGGGTCTGCGATTCGCATCGAGGAGCTGCGACTGCTCGACGCGGACATTGCCTTCCACGGCTGGGTCATGGTCTACGACTGGCTTTTCCACGAGCGCGAAGCCATTTCATTTCAAGGCGACGTGCGCTCCTTAAACCTTCTCTCGCACGTGTATACGTGCTTGGCATCGCCGCGCGCGACGACCCTCTCGCTCACGTGGGCCAACTACCTGCGTCTCTGTGCGTACGTGTGCAGCGGGACATTGGCGCTCGTCGGCGGCCTCTCGCTCAGTCTCTTTGCCGTCTTGCGGCCCCAACATTGTCATTGGTTTCTCTTCAACCGCATCACAAGTGCGGTCTGGCTCAACCGCGGCATCCTCGGTCTTCGGAGTCTCGTGGCCACGCTCTGCCTCGCGACAGCATCGGTTGACGTGCATACGGATGGCGGGCTCCTGCACTTTGTGTCAGCCCCTCGTTCGGCCATAGCGTCGACGGCGCTAGCGGCCGAGACGACGTGGATCACGTATCTGCTGCACGACCTCTTGCAGCCGCTCGCGGGCTCGAGCCGGTACGCGCCCTTTAGCTCGCACCTCGCGTGGCTGTTGATTGCGACCTTGGACGTGGCGTCGCCCATCGACGTCACCGCGTCCGTCCACCGGTCGTGCTACATGGTCAACATGGACGAAATGATCTACTGCACGAGCGGCCTTGTCAGCATCGGCGCGCTGCCTCGGACCATGACGATTGTCAGCATCAATGTCGCGAGCGTCCTTGTCTGCTTTGGCCTTGGTTCTCTCTTGCTCGCGCCCGAGCCGCCGCCGACGATCGGTGTCCCCAACTTGCTCCTTCCCCCCGCGCTGTTGGCGTTTGCGCCACCGAATACCTTGCGCTGCCCGACCGGTGGTCTCTCCCTCGATCGCACGAGTGCCAGCATGGCCGGGCTCTTTGCGTTCGAAACCAGCGCGCATCGGTGGCTCTTTGACATCAAGCTCTGGCTCCTTTTTGAAAATGGCGGCTTTGCGCTCCAGCCGTCGCAATCGGCGGTCGTGCTGCCCGATGCTTGCTTTCGCCACGCGCGGCGCGCGTCGCTGCAGCGCCAGGCGTCGGTGCTGGGGCTGCATCGGCGTCAGCACCCGCGCTTGAGCAACGTGGTTCTCGCGCTTGGATTTGTCTACCTCGTCCTCTCGCTCGCCGGCAACGTCCTCTACTTGGACGTCGCGACAACCTACTTGGCCAACGACTATGGCTGGGCCAACTTCAACAGTAGCGGAACTCGCACCTTCCTCGCCAACCTCTTCAACCAACAGCTCCTCGTGACCACGTCCGGCAACCTCGAGCTCGATGCAGCGTCGAGCGGCGACCTCGACCGCGTCTATAATGAATCCGTGTCGTCGATCGTATGGAGCGAGACGCTGGCGCGCCGGGAGCTCTACCGACGAGACGTCCCGCTCGTTAGCATCGTCCAAGGTCTTCGTGACATGAGCCCGTGCAATATGCCGTGGATGTTTACCCAGTACTGCTGGCTCGACTTTGCACGCGAGTGGGAGCTCGCCAGTACAAGCAAGCGCCAAGCCCGATGCTTCGCTTCTCAGACAAGCAACGGGGCCGCGTACCTCGAGGCACCGCTTCGCAACCTCAACAATTGGGCCGTCTTTTACGACTGCTGGGGCGAATCGTTTGCGTTTGGTATCGCCAACGACCTCGCAAGCACGAGCCGCGGCCAAGCGTGGCTCTTGCGCACGACAGCGAACACTGACAGCATCGCGGACGAGGTGGCGTTCTGGCGCGCCTCTCAGATCGAGTACTTTTCGCTCCAGTGGCAAAACTTCAAGACCGTCGGTCTCCTCGACTCGCTCTCGATCGTGACGGCGCTCGGGTGGACGTTTCCGCTGAGCTTGAGCGCATCGATGGGCTCGATGCACCTCACGCAGCAGACGTCACGCAAAATGTACTGGGGCTTTGCCAGCGATCTCTGGGCGGTCGGTTGCAATGCGACTGCGGTTGTCGGTGGCAGCTTGCTCGCGTCGAGTGCTCGCTTTGCCTTTGCGAATCGCACGAGCGAGTCGCTCCTCGTGAGCAACCACACCCTGCCGACGCCCTTGACGATGGGGTTAGGGCTTCTCCAAGCGACCCTCGGACCCTTCAACGCCATCGACATGGAGTACGTAGAAGTACCCGCCCGGCTCCGCGCGATCTACGGCGCCTTGTCTTCGCTTGTGACGGAGCTCGTCATGTCCAACCTGACGCTGCAAGCTGCGTACTGGGCCTTGCCGGTGGCGCCGAGCATGAGTGGTGTGCCCCTCGCCCTCCTCGCGTCACCGAACGTGACGACGCACGGCGGCAACCTCCTCTGCGGCGACGACCAGCCCACGTACACGCTCTCGTACGGCCTCGATTGCTTCTTTGGGGTCCAAAATATGTGCCACGCGTCGTTCTTCGACAGCCTCAAGCCGTCGCCGCGGCAGCTGCTCTTTGCGACGCTCGCGTACACCCAAGTGTTTCCGACCCAGTCGTTCCAGCTCGTGTGCGATCTCGACATGTACAAGCGATCGGTCTGCGCCGACAACTACCATACGATCCAAACCTTTCTGCGGGAGACGGGCATCGATGCGCAGCTCGGTCCGCACCTCTTGGCCGCCGTCGCCGACATTCGCTCGCTCCACATCCGTATCGTCCAGTACCTTCGCTTTCAGCCCATGGCGCCATTGCAGCTCTACCAACAACCGCTTTTGCCGCTAAACGACGATCCTGGCTGGCATTTCTACGGCTGGAGCTACGTGTTTGATTGGATGGCGGGTCTCCGTGACGTCGTGTCGTTTCAAGGGGACGACGGCCAGGTCACGACCATCTCGTCACGGTCGTCGCCGCTGACCATGGCGCCGGTGCCGGGCGAAATTCCCGAAACCCTCTCGTTTCTCTTTCAGTGGTGTGTGCGCTACATCACGATGGTCTTCATCGCACTCGCTGCGCTGCTCGTTGTCTCGGGGATCCACGAGCGTGGGCACATTGAGGGGCTCAACCTCCTCGAGCTCAACCGGATCGTCGGGCATGTGTGGGTCGGCCGCTTCTTCCTCGTCATTCGCAGCATCACGGCGTTTTGGCTCCTTAACACGAGCACGCTCCAGCTCGTCCAAGTTGGGTCCGGCACGCGCTTTGTGTCGCCGCCGCTCCCGTGGTACAAGACGGTGCTCGCGGGCGCCGAGACGACCTGGTTTGTCTACGTCCTCAACGACATGTGGAGCTGCGTCACGCTGCAATATACGACCGCGTACGCCTACAAGAGCGCGCTCGTGGCGTGGGCCGTGGCCGCCATCTGGAACACTCTCTCGCCGCAAGCACATGTGGCCACGCTAGCTCGAAGATGCCGCTATATCGATATGGACTTGCAGCTCACGTGCGAGAGCGGCGTCGTGCAGATCGGTGACGCCAACCGACTCGCAATCGGGTTTCTCATTGGCCTGAGCAGCGTCGTGCTTTGCTACGGGCTCGAGCGGCTGTGGTCGCCGCATTTACCGCCGCGCGAGGTGCCCACGACGCTCCTGAACGCCTCAAGCTACTACATGCTCGACTTCTCCGATTGGGTCGTCCACGATGAGTTTTACTTGGACAAGACGTCGGCACTCATGGCCGGCATCCTCGCCCTTGAGCGCAACGGCCATCTGCACATTTTGGATGTCAAGTCGTGGCGCTACTTCCATGTCCGCTTGTCGGCGGCTTCGAGCGGCAAGCACGAACGCATTCGGCGTGCGATTCCGCTGAGTCGACTCTAACATACACAATGTGTTCACCGCGGATTCTGCACCATGTACACCTCGTCCAACAGAATCGTTCGCATTTGGGGCGACGGACCATCGGGATGCGCGTCAGGAGCGAGACGGAAAGCCCATCTAAGTTGCGATTCTAGTACTAGTACACTTTGAATCCGTGCAGTGGTGCTATGCAAGTGTGGACAACTTGCTTGACCAGCGCATGCGACAGGCGAGTTCCGAAACGGCGGCCGATGTGGACCGTCCGATGGCCGTCGACTGCACGTGATGACAACACGTGACCAGCAAACCGTTAATAGTTCACAGTTGATACGATGAAATAGACCAATGTCGAAGGTCTCTCCATGTGCCAGCTCTCAACATGGGCAAACAGACGATCCAAGACAAAGGGCAAGGCTTTGTGGCTACTACTGTTTGATATACCACCCACTATACCATACAGATGCCGAGTTGTTTGTGGCAGTCGTTGCGTCCGCCAATCACAAGAGTCGAAAATGGCCCGTAAGACGAAGCAGCCTGCGTCCGATGCGATCTCGGAGGCGATCGAGGCAACCTTTCCTGGCGCGAGTGTGCAGAGCAAGCGCGAGCTCTGCTCTCTCTGGGCTGGCTACGGCAGCATCTACCAGGTGCTCCTCTCGAACGGCAATGCGGTCATCGTCAAGTCCATTACGCCGCCGCGTTCCAACTCGGTCTCGAACCAGCGCAAGCTCCGGTCGTACGAAGTCGAAGGCTACTTTTACGCGCAGCTCGCGTCGCAGTCGCTCGCGCGGGTGCCTGCGGTGCATGCAATCGAGCGGTACGACGGCCCGAGCTTTTGCTTTGTGCTCGAAGACCTCTCGGTGCCCTTTCCCGACAATACGTACTCGCTGCAAGGCGACTACTTGGACGCGGCCCTCGACTGGCTCGCTAACTTTCATGCGTCGTACTGGAATCACGCCAATGACGATGATGGCGTCGGGCGCGATGGCGGCTACTGGTACCTAGCGACGCGCCAGGAAGAGCTCGCAGCCATGGGCAACGACGGCCTCGCGACCAAACTCAAGGCGCAGGCTGCTGCGATTGACGCCAAGACGCGCGATTCGCAGTACGAGACGCTCTTGCACGGCGACGCCAAGTCGGCCAACATGCTCTGGAAAAAGGCCTCGGACGGTAGCATCTCGTGCGCGTGGGTCGACTTTCAGTACGTGGGCCAAGGCCTCGGCGCCCGCGACCTCGCGTACCTCCTCTGCTCGAGCACGAGTCGCTCGGCGCTTCGGAACTTGGATGCTCTCCTGCAGCGCTACTTGGATACGTTCTTATCGGCCATAGCGCATCTCGGAAAAGACGCCCACAGCTACAACTTGGCCAAGCTCAAGGAGCACTTTTTATGGTGCCTCCTCGACTACGTGCGCTTCATGGCGGGCTGGGGCTTCTGGGGCAACTACGACTGGGCCATTGCCGAGACCAAGCACTTGCTCGCATAGAGACAGAGCCATTTGAGAGGAACATGATGGTTGCTACCAAGTTTTACTGTGGGTTCAAGTACGAGCAGCCGCTTGCGGTGTCGAGATCGACGCACCACGATCGCCAAACGGGACCTCGCACGTTACCACGCTGCCATGGCAGCAGAGCTTGCGTGGATGGCTGACGACAACTGCAACGTCCTACCCACCGTCGTATCCTAGTCCGAGAGCATATCGTCTCATTGGTGCGAATGACTCCAGAGCCAACGGGCGAAGGGTGTCGTGGTAAGAAACAAAATGCACGCGCGTCAAGCACCCATTGGGCGTCGAATCAGGCGACTTGCGCATCCTTCCGTAGCGCGACGACAGTCTTGAAGCGAGCAGCTGTTTGAACTTGACTACATGCGGACAGTTGCAGTATCCGAGCAGATCTGAGTCCTTCTGAGATTGTCCATCGGTGGCGACAAGTTGGACCATGATGCGTTTTTTGCAAACGTCATGGTCCAACAGCTCGGATACGCCAGAATACTGGGACGATCACCGACTAACTTGCTTTCATTCGACTTTGCACTTTGCCCAAATGGACTCGATGTACGCGGCCTTCGACAGCAAGAACGAGCACACGCGCAGCCAGCACTGCTGGACCACCAATTCGTCGTCGATTGGCGGCGACGAGCCATGTCCCGTAAAAGAGGTTGGTGCCCACCTCGAGGTGGTACAGACGCTACGCGCCCACGACCGGCCAAACCTTGCCACGAGGCAGACACTACCACCACCACCACCACGGTGTGCCTCGATACGCGCGTACTACCGCCGCCACCGCCGTCCACTGCTCTGGCTTCTCCTCTACACACTGGGCAACGCGGCGGCCTTTTGCTCCAAGACGATGCAGTACCCCAAGGACGCGGTTGTCGGCTACGGCCTCACGATCGCGCGCGGGTGTGCGCAGGTTGTCATGCTCAACAGCCTCCTCGTGCTGCTTCCGTTCTGCCGCTGCATCTTTGCTCTTCTGCGGCTCGTTCCAAGCCTCGCGTACTATGTGCCGATCGAGCAAGCCATGGTGTTCCACAAGCTCTCGGGTATCGTGCTCCTCCTCGCAGGTCTGCTACATGTCGGCGCGCATGTGGCCAACCTTGTGTTCTTTTATGCCCTCCCGGTACCCGCCGACGCAGACGCATCGTACGTCAAGGCGCTCATCCCGCTGCTCCGTGACGCGACAGCGTGGCCGCCACTCAGGAAGCTGTGCGCCTCACTGCCATTTTGGACGGGCGGCGCGATGCTCGTCATCATCCTTATCGCCGTGCCATTGGCCGTGCTGCCATGCGTCCGGCGGCGTCACTTCAACGTCTTTTGGTACAGCCACCTCATGTTCTTACTCTTTCTCGTTTTGCTCTCGTTTCATGGCGCCACGTCATGGTTCAGCACGGCCCAATCGTATCTCTGGATCGGGCCGCCGCTCCTCATATACCTCGTCGAGCGGCGTGTACGCATCGCCAAGCGCGCGGTCGACGCTGTCCGCATTTCGGACGTCGTTCATTTTCGCGACACGCTGCGCCTACACCTCGTCAAGCCCAAGGGGTTTACCTTTGTGCCTGGCATGTTTGTCTACGTCAACATCCCGAGCCTCGCAGCGTGCGAGTGGCACCCGTTCACACTCACGTCGGCCCCCGACGATGCATTTCTCTCGCTCCACATTCGTGTCACCGGCGACTGGACGTTGGCGCTCTACCACCGCGACCTTCATCCGAACGACATGCTCTTTCTCGATGGACCCATCGGGACGCCAGCGGTCGCCTACCGCGACTACTCGACGATCGTGCTCATCGGCGGCGGCATTGGTATCACGCCGTTTGTGTCGATCCTTCGAGACCTTCTCCACGTGTGGAACCGCCACCAGTGCGCCGCATGTGACCACCTCGTGCACCCGCCGTCGTGCGTGACGCAGCGCGTCCATGTGTTCTGGGTCGCGCGGGAAGAAGAGTCGTTCGAGTGGTTTCACGACACAATGCAGGACGTCGCGCGTCTCGATGTCAACGGCATTGTCGATGTGCAGTGCTTCTTGACGGCCAGTGACGCAATGACCGTCACCTCGAGCGCGCGGCACGTGGTGCACCGCGGTCGCCCAGCGTGGCCGACGATTTTTGAGGCCTTGGCGGCGGCGCATGCCGACGACACGGTTGGCGTCTTCCACTGCGGCGCCAAGGCGATGGCGCGCGACGTGCAAGCCATTTGTGACAGCTACAGCGATGCGACGACCCACTTTGCGTTCCACGCCGAGCAGTTTGAGTAGCAATGCAATCATCTTTCAATAATGTATCGAACTATCACAGTATCAACTCCGTTCGAGCGGGACGTAGACAAGGTGGCGGTCGTTTTGACGCGTTGCCAGCGTGTGGAGCAGCGCGAGCATGTCGAGAGAGAGCTGTCGGCGCTCGGACGCAATCGCGCGCCGCTCCTGCTCGAGCGACGCCGTCGGCACGGCCGTGTACATGTACTGTTTCGGGAGCGGCTTGGCTTTAAAGACTCGCTGCCGCGCCGCCAAGGCTTGAAGCGCCTCAACTTTGGCCTGGAAGCGCGCTTGGTACCGCTGGCCGCGCTCGGACGTATGGAGGTTGGGCATCCGGCCCTTGGTCGAGTTGGTACTACCACGGGCATTGGAGCTCGTCGAGCCCGTGTTGGTCGCCTTATCGACCATGGGCACAAGCGTGCGCTCGAGCGTGAGGATGTCGTGGTGGTGGGTAATGGCTTCGCCGTTCGCGGCCAGCGAAATGCGATCGTAGCCGCGAAGGGTGAGGAGCGACCGCTTCCGAGCTGCGTGCCACTCGTCGTCTGTTCGGTCGGCGCCGAGGTCGAGAGGCGCGGGGCAGAGACCGCCCATGACCCAGCGGCAGGCAAATGCGACGCTTGCGCAGAGGGACGCGACGCACGCCATTTCTCAAAGTCGACCGACCATGCGTGCGTGCTGGCGGCTCGCAACGCAAGATCTGTTGATCGGTTGGCGCGCTGATTGGTCCGTTGGATCCATTGACAGGCTAACCGCACGCCACCTAAACCACAATTGCGTTGCTTTTGTTGGCAGCGGGCCGACAGTCACATTCAAGAGCTCGTAGTGTCATTACCAGCGCGATCTTCCTTGTCTGTATTTACCGATATCATGTCTCGGTGCTATGTACAGATGATGCTTTGGTGGTTGCCCTGGTCGTCGGCATCCATCTCACGGCCCAATGACTACCGTCTATGCTTTGGTAGAGCACATAGTGGGCGTCTCCAATACATGTTGTCGCATCCTGTAGACGTCCGGGATACGAAACCAATCATGTGACCACCAAGGTAGAGCGGCGCCAGGGACATCGTGAACCAGCATAGCGCCGTTGAAGGCAACGGCTACGATTGCGTGGGGTTAGCCACGCGGAAAGGACATTCATTGGTGGTCACGGCGCGGATATTTATCCAATCACGTGCAGGCATCACAATTTCGAGCTCGATGGCGTCGACCGGGTTTGCCGTCGACGATGGGTCGCGGGCCATGCAGCAGACGATCGAGATCCACTACGACGACGTCGTCCTGAGCTCCGCCGACGTCGCTGCCTTCTACGACGTCCGCGCCACGGCCGCAACCATCGCCGCCAACGGCTACCGGGCAATCGCCCTCCAGTTCCCCGACGCGCTCCTGCCCGACGCGCAAAAGGTGCAGTCGCTGCTCAAGGACGCGCTGCGCGGCCACGAGCTCAACCGCCTCTTCGTGCTTGGCGACACGTCGTATGGCAGCTGCTGCGTCGACGAAGTGGCCGCGCAGCACCTCAAGGCGGACGTCGTCGTGCACTATGGCCGCGCGTGCTTGAGCCCGACGTCGACGCTGCCTGTGATCTACGTCTTTGGCAACGCGCCGTGCGAGATCAACCAGGTGTGCGATGGCCTCGAAGCGACTTTGCGCAACCTCGAGGCGCCGACACGGGTCGTTGTCATGTACGAGCCGTGCTACGCGTACCTTGCTGCGTCGATCACGTCGGCGCTGGCCGCACGCCACACCGCCACGTCATTTGTCTGCAGCGTCATGCGTACCATGTACATTCCAGGTACACTTTCGACCTTGCCAATGTCGTATGCTCACGCCATGAACAGGCGCCCCGACGACCGACAACGAGGCGACGACGACGACGATCGGCGGCATGACAGTGCCGATGGCCGCGACCGAGCTCTTTAGCGCGTCGACGACGCTCCTGTACATTGGGAAGGAGACGTCGCACTTGACCAACATCTTGCTGCGTTGCGGTGAGACGCCGTGCTTCTCGTTCAACCCGACGACGCAGGAGGCGCGGCGCGAGGGCGGAGGGATCAATCGCACGCTCAACCGCCGGTAGCCACGTGCATGCTTGAACGCATATGGATCGTATGGCGGTAGGTACTTTCTCGTGCAGCGCGCCAAGGAAGCGCAGATCATTGGCATCCTCATGGGGACGCTCGGCGTCGCCAAGTACCTCGACGTGGTGCACACGATGCAAGACTTGATCGCCAAGTACACTCATGAACGCACTGTCCAAGTATCCAATGGATATATCCAATCGTAGGAGCGGGCGCAAGTCGTATACCTTTGTCGTTGGCAAGATCAACGTGCCCAAGCTCTCGAATTTTGCGGAAATCGACCTCTTTGTCCTTGTCGCGTGCCCGGAAAACTCGCTCTTTGACAGCACCGACTACTTTAAGCCCATCATTACGCCGTATGCAATACTCCCACATCGGAAATGCCTCTAAACCGTGCGTAGGTACGAGCTGCAACTGGCGCTGGACGACGACGCCGAGTGGACAGCGCAGTACAAGTCGGACTTTGAAGAGGTGCTGCCGGCCCTCGAAGCCACCGCCGCAACCATCGAAGATGCGCCGGTCTCGGACGAACCCTACTTTTCGCTTGTTACTGGCACGTACATGTCCAGCCGCCATGGCGCCGCTTCGGACGACGACGAGCATGAGGACGACGAGAATGACGCTACGACAACGGCGCTGGCTACCAAAGACGGCAAGAGCCAGCAACTGTCGGTGTACAAGAGCGAAGCCGCCGAGTTCCTCCAGACGCGCGAGTACCGCGGCCTCGAGCCCCGCCTCGGCGAGACCGCCCCCCACGCTGCAGTCCAAGGCGCTCTAGGCATCGCGCGCGGCTACGACCACGAGCACTAGATTCCTCATCCATCAATATATCGTTGACCTTTCAAGTTGATATTTGAAAGAAAAGATTCATAAATCAAAATCGGTTCTCGATGAAGATTGTTATCATCCAATGCTGTGGGAAAATTGCCCTTTGTCGAGAGGCAAAGACCAGCGCGAGATTTCCACAAATCAAGAACGACTAGCAAAGCGTCGTTCAATAGAACATGCTCGCATTTCAATTCATATTTCGGGTCGCTCCATCCCTCCACGCCCTTGGATCATCTGCGTCCTTCCCACCACTCCCACCATAGCTGACGGGCGCCAAGATACTCTTGTTTGCTCACAACCTCGCAAGAAGAGGACCACGAACGTTCTTCGCTGACCGGCCCGCCTCACGAGCACCGTCAGTGTGGGCGAGCTGGCAGATAATCTGGGATTCCAAAGCCATTCGCTCGGAGTTATTCGGTGGATAGCTGCATCTGAATAACGCTTTTGGCTTGCGACGGAGAATTTGCCTTTATCAAAGAAGCCACCGTCTCAGAAGGAATACGCATTACTGGGCTGCGGACGGACCAACCGCACTCCAAAGTCTCTTGGGTGTAGGTTGCCGTTCGGATTACAGAGCGTAGCTTTCTTGCTATCACACAGAATTCTTGTTGGTGCTTCTCCGCCAACCGTCAACCGACGCGCATTGAGACGGCCACATTGCTTGTCGCCACAATGCAATTTGCCATGCGTTTGGCCATCAACTGGCTCGCTCCCTTTGCGCTTGCAGTGGCCGCGATCGACGTCCCGGTCGACGTCGGCGTTGGCTGCGTCTACGACAAATCCACCGTGTACCCGAGCCCTATGGACGACGGCGTGGCCGCCTTCTCGTGGACTGTCTCGAACGCGACGGCGTCGTTCTTCCGACTGCATTTTGACGACTTTGCTCTGCCGCCCAACGACTATGTCCGCCTCTCGTCGCTCGAAGTTGAGAGTACGGAGCTTCCCGTGCTGCTCTTTGGCCGCAACTACTCGGGCTCGTTTGACGCGCCGGCGATTGCGACGAGCTACCTCCGCGTCGAGCTCTACACTCAACAAACCACCAATACGACGGGCACTTGCTATGGGTTTCGGCTCGGCTCGTACAACACCGAGATCGAACGTGCTCGCAACGAAAGCATTTGCGGCAAGGATCGCTCGGTCGACGCGGTCTGCCTCGAGGGCAACCCCGTCGTGTCCCAGAAGGCCAAAGCGATCGCGCGGCTCGTCATTCGGCGCAAGAACCAGCTCTTTGGCTGCACCGGCTGGCTCCTCGGCTGCGAGGGCCACCTCATGACCAACCACCACTGCATCTTTGACGCTGTCGACGCCAACAATACGAAAATCGAGTTTTTGGCGCAGGCCAAAGCGTGTCCCGGCCCCGACGGCCCCGATGTGTGCAACCGGCCACTGTCTTGCCGCGGTATCGAGTACACGGGCGCCATTACGTTTGTTGCTACCAACGTCGACCTTGACTACACCCTCCTCAAGCTCGACACGTCCGTGGCGACGACGTACGGGTACCTCAAACTCCGACCGGCCGGTCCCCGCCTCGGCGAGCCGGCGTACCTCGTGACCCACCCCATGGCGTGGGGCAAGCGCATTGCGTTCAAGGACGCCAAAGGCACAGCGCTCCTCCGCGTCGGCTCGGATTCCGAGGTGAGCTACGACCTCGACACGCAGAAAATGTCATCCGGATCGCCCGTGCTTTCGTATCTTGACCACTCGGTCGTCGCCCTCCACCACGCAGGCTACGTCTTCTGCCCCAACCTCGGCATTATGAGCCACCTCTTGCACAACGACTTGGCCAAGCGCCAGATTCTGCCGAGCTACTGCGACGACAAGAAGGGCTAGCATGACTAAGATATGCCTAGTTGTCAAGCACACACTTGTTGTTTCCAATGTCGGTATATGTGGGTAGCCAGACAGAACATGTACACCTACGACTTGCGGGGGCGGAGGCGGGCGCGGAGCTCGCCGCTGTTCATCTCGGCCATTTCGCGCGAAACGACGTCGGCCATGTTGATGCCGCGCGTGAGCCCGTCGTCGGCCTCCGCGAGCATGCCCGAGAGCACGCGCTTGGCGTAGCCTTCGCTCGTGACGGGCGCCGAGCTCCCAAAGCCAATCGCGAGCGTAAAGTTCATTTTCGGAAGCCGCAAGACCACTTCTTGCTCGTCAATCTAGCACACATATTTCGAGATGAGACATGAATCCTTGAACAAGGGATAGGGTTGTACCGAGACGACCGACGCGCCTTCGGCGAGGTCTTCCGTGACGCTGCCATAGTACGTGGCAAACTGGCGCGAGCCGTCAAACGCCTCTTCGTTCATGTAGCGGACGAGGTTTTCCCGGGCCTCGGCATCCAGATACGACTGGTACTTGCCTAGTTGCAGCCCATTTCACAAAATAAACTCCAAAAATCCACAAACTGTACCTTCGTCGCTGGCCGTGTAGAGCGACACGAGCAGCAGGAGCTGACTCAGCTGCAAGACAAGCGACGACGCGTCCGTGGACGGGAACGTGTTGAACGCAAACTCGACCATGATGAGGATCTTGGCCTTGAAGATCAAGGGCACATTTGTCTTCCAGACCAGATACGGCAGCGTCGGGTAGTACCACGCGTAAAACTGGTAGTGGAGCGTCCGCGCAAAGCAAATGCCCACAAAGTTGATCGCAAAGAGCGACGTGACAATGCGTTCGGCGCGGATCGGCTGGCGGTCGCTACAATTCCTAAGTACCTTGGCACCACAGAGAAGACGGACGTACGTGAGCGAGAAGGGGTTGTAGAGGAGGTAGCGCCAGCTACCCGAGGCAGCAAAGTAGTACTTTTGCAAAAAGAGCGCCAAGAAGAACACGTGGCAAACAAGCAGCGTGATCGAGAGGCCCTTGGAGACAAAGACTTCTTCCGAGAGGAAGCGCCAATTGACCGTCCACTCGTACGTAAAGACACGGCTAAACTCAAACGCTTTGGTGACGTAGCTCCACCAGTTGTGGTTGAGAAACGGGAGCGCGAGGGCGACTTGGACGGCGGCGCAGATCGAGAGATACCCGACCGTACGAAGGAGGCCGGACGACTGCAGGAGAAGGAAGAAGACACCAGGTGCGAAGAGAAGCACGTTCATCTTGATCGAGACAGCGAGACTGTAGAGCACGCAGCCATACCGCCACTGCTGCCGGCAAAAGAGGTAGATGGCGAGGAAGAGAAACATCATGGCCACGCCGTCGTTGAAGAGGCGCAGCATGTAGATCGAGTGGAGACGCTTGGACGTACACACGAGCATGGCCGTCCACGGCGGGCACATGCGCGCGCGGTAGAAGATCGCAAAGATCGTCGCGACCATGACGAGGTAAAAACCGAGAAAGATGTATTGCGCTACGCAGCAGGAATACGCCATGACGGAGGACGAGGTGGACGATGGTACCGAGGCGGATGTTGGCGCCGTTGTTGGTCACGCTGTGCAGCAGCGAAAAGATGTACACGTGGCCCGCCGGGTACACGAGCGGGCCGGTGCCACCGCGGATCTTGGCGTAGTCGCGTTCGCCGCCCTTGAAGAGCTCGACCTGCTCCATGTAGGCCTTCCAGTCAATCTCCGTGTCTACATAGTGCATGAGAGCTCCAGCCGCGTGCACTTGGGCGACGTACACGGAATCTTTTGGATGATGGCGTAGCCCAAGCCGGCTTCGAGGAGCAGTAGAAAGGCAGCCATGTACTTGAAGTAGCGGTAGCTCCACAGAATGTCGTACGCGAACGAGAGCGCGCGGTTGAGGTTCGAGACCTTCTTGACATCCTTGTCGATGCGCGTCGCGCGCTTCTCGCTGCGCAGCTTGGTCGCCCGCTGCTGTGCCATGACCGTCGAAAAGGCAAAGTGAACCATTTCAGGGGCCAGCTGGCTTCGACTAAAAACACGCCATTTTCGAGACAGGCCGACTGACCACTTGCAAAACGACTATGCAGCCGCACGCCCTCCGCCGCCTCTGCGCAACTGAAGCCTGCACAAGACTATCTCGATGCATTGACGAAGCGTTCCGTGCCGTCGCCAGTAGCAGCGAACGCAACCCCAACGAAATGTGCTCGACCTGAGGGTTAGGTGGCGTGCGAATAGACAGACCAATGCGCGTGTAATGCTTCTTGGCGGAAGAAGTTTTGGCGTATCCTTGTGACACATGCAAGCAAACTTTGCCGCCACATGCGCCAGCACCGCCCGTATACGAATGAATATATGGCACGTCAGCGCTGCCGGCCACGCGAAGTCTTCTTCGCTCCAGCAACACTAGCGCTCCTGGCTTGGCCACGTGGCACGCTCTCAAAGGCCCTCGCCTTACAACAGCGCAGTTGGGCAAACGCCATGCAAGAAGACTCGCCGCTGCTTCCGTCCCCCCGGATCCTCGACATCCGCGGCGCCGCCATGGTCCGGCCTCCGCCACCGGCAGCAGCCCCTTAGCCGCGTCAAGCCAACGCCGGGCCAATGCACAGGCACCGGCAAAATACTCCGCGAATGAAATATGCGCAGGATACGTCCAGGACGACGACGCATCGCGCATGACGGCGACTGTAAACGGCAAGGTCGCCCTCGTGGCACAGCGCACGGCCAAATGCTTGGGGCAAGGCGGCAAGGTTGCAAGGTCGAATTGGTGTTGGGGTTAGGCGTCGGCGTCCGTCTTCTTCTTGAATTGTCGCTTGGCCTTTCCGAGCTCGCACATATTTACGTTGTGGGCGAACCGCAGCGAGCAGAGGCTTTCGCCTGTCGACTCGATCGTCGGCGAGAGGTTCACCTATCCTCTCGATGAAGCGTCGTCCGATGTCTCCACGAGTCGTACGCACCATCATGAGCGTCTTGCCGTCGCCCGACAAGCAGCTCTGTAATAAATACGTCAGCTTGGAGTTGCGAAATGGCACCTAACCGCACACTGTAGTGAGACCCGACTCGATGGGTTTGAGGTCGTGTACGTGGCTGTTTTTGAGTGCAATCGCGTTGAAGACGTCGGTGAGCGCGCTCAGACTCTTGTTGATAGCTTGCGCTTCCTTGAGTCGCTCGCCGGTCGCGCCGGACCGCGAGATCCGCTCGCTGCCTGCCAAATCAACGAGGTTCAACCGTCCTTCGAGCACGACACCTTGCTCGTCGTTGGTGCCTACATCCACCAGGTTGGTGCCCGAACATGTAGGATCAAGCAAGCACCCTTGAGATAGAGCGAAAAGACGCTGTGCGAGCGCGACGACTGCTCGTTCATGTCGGTGGCCGCAACGCTTCGGAGGCGCGATGCCCGCTCCATGAGGCCTTCGACGTCCCGCACGGCGTGAATCTCGACGAGCGTGAGGTCGGGCACCGTCACGCCGCCGTGCTTCTCGAGCATCTTGATCGATAGCGACTTTTGCGCATCTTCCTTCTTGGCAAGGAGGTCGCGGACGGCTTCGTTGTAAATCTCTAGGAACGACGCGTGGAGCGTGTAGCGCCACCCGGCCTCTTGGTTCTTATTGCACTCGGCCAAGATCTTTTCAATCGAGCGCGGGATGATGCCACGCATATGGCCGTTGCCACTGCCTTGCATCTGCATATATGCTCAGAACCACATCACAGAGCGCAACAATGCTGTACCGTGTGGGTCTTGCCCGACCCGGTTTGGCCGTACGAGAAGAGACACACTTGGTACCCGTCAATGGCCGACTGGACAAACTCCGAGACCTCGTCAAAGACCGCGTCCTGGCCTGTCACGGGGGGGAAGACGCGGTCAAAGGAGAAGCTGTGGGTCTCCTTCTCGCGCTTGATCTTCATGGTCACGCCGTCGACGTCGCACTGGATCGCCGACTCGGTGGCGGGCCCGTCCGACGGCAAGAACGGCCGCGTGCGCGCAAAGACCCGGACGTTGCCGCGGAGCTCTTGGATCGTGTTGTGCAGCTTCCGGCGCAGCATCTCGCCCTCCTTGACCTTGGCCGTGAGCTCGGCGATCGCCGCATCCTTGGCTTCCATTGTCTGGAGCCCGGTAGTCGTCGCTTCTTTGAGCCGGAGCTTGAGCACATCGGCTTCGCGCTGGGCCGTAATGAGCGCGGCCATCTCGACCATGTTTTGGTGCTCCTGCGTTTCGTGCCACTTGGTCTTCCACGTGTGGAGTTCGCTCTCGAGGCTCACGTTGGCCTCGCGCAGCGCCTCCATCTCGATCGCGAGTGCTTGGGCGGCTTTCGTCTTGTCGGATTCGAGCTGCACCCGGTCGGCTTCAAACTTGGCCTTGTCGCTGCCGTGTTGAGCGAGCAAGCGCTCCATCTCGGACCGAATGGCCTTGGACTCGGCGTACACGGCCATGAGCTCCTTCTGCGACTCGCGTTGCTGGGCCTCGAGCACCTGTCGGACGCCCTTCTCGGCAAATGCAATGCGTTCTTGCTCGGCGAGCTCAGCTTTGGCGATCGCGCACGCCTCGGTCGACTCCTTGGCGAGCGCGATGGCGTCAACTTTGGCCGCTTCGCTGGCCTACGTTCCCATCCTTCGTTACCATATGATCGTTGGGACTGGGGAAGGTACCTCGAGCGCGCTCGTGAGGCGCTGGATCGTGGCCGACGTCTCGGCCGACGACTCTTCAATGGCCTTGCTCTTGACCTCGATCGACGCGAGCTTCTCCGAGAGCGCTTTGTTTTCGTTGGCAAGACGTTCGTTCGTGCTCATCGCAAAGGCTTGCATGTCGCGCATGCTCTTGAGCGTCCCGGACGCGTCCTCTTCCTTGCGCGTCAACTGCGCACGCACGAGCGCGAGGTCGCTGACTGCCGCGTCGCGCTGAGCCTCCAACTGGACCTTGTCGTTCTGGAGAGCCGCAACGCGGAGGTCGTGCTCGGCACGGAGCTGTTCGAGCTGGGCCGCGACCTGCGACCGCTGCGTCGACAAGGTCACTTTACTCGCGAGCTCGTCCTGGAGCTTGGCGCCAACGTCGTGGGCTTGCTTTTGGAACGCTTCCTTCTCCTTGATTGCACCGTCAAGCGCGTGCTTGAGCTCGTCGAGCTGCGCTTGGAGACTGTCGACAATGTCGCTGCGCGCCGCTTCGTTTTCTCGGATGCGAACCAAATCTTGCTTGGCCAAGCTCGTCTGCAGCACCATCGCTTGGTCGAGCTGGACCGCCTCGAGCTCAAATTTCTTGGCCTATCGAGAAGAACGCATGGGATGTGATGCGACGAGATGTAGCGTCGGACCTGCTCTTCGAGAGTCCGAAGCAGCCCACGGAGCTCGGTCACAGTCGCCCGTTGCTCTTCGCAGCGACCCTTGTAGTCGAACGGTTTTAGCTTGGTGCGTCGCGGCTTGGCGACATCGTCGATACGGCCGAGGTCTGGCATGACCTCGTTGAAGCGCGCGGCCACCGACGGCAGAGACGCACTCGTCGGCACCTCGGTTACCGCGTCCGGTGGTGCGTCAAGCGCTCCCCGTGAAGCGCTGCGCGTCGATGGCGTCGCCATTGCGCTGGGCGGCTTGAGGGACGACCGTGGTCGCGGCAGCGATCCGGCCTTCTTCTTGATCGAGCCCTCGCCAGCTACGACATACAATAAGAACCGAGAGTCATTCGATGCATTCCATTGAAAGCTACCTGCGTTGGCAGCGCGGTCGTTCTCGTCTTGGTTGGAGAGCGCCTTGGCGATCTTGGATGGCACCGGCAAGCCGGACTTGGCCACGCGCGGAGGCTTGAGACCGCTTGGTCGACGACGCGCGTCGCTGCTACCGAGGTTGGGGCTCTTGGCAGGCGGACCCGCGCTACCGGCGTCGCAGGCCGCGTCTCCGATGACGAGCGGCTCCATGGCCTCCCGCGGCCGCTTCGAGGACGTCGCCATGCTCGCGTGCTCTGTCCAAGGTTGAAAACTCCGGTTCAAAAATTCAAAAAACCGCTGCTCGATTTTTAGCCAATCAGATTGCGCCAGAGACGCCGATTGACACTCGCCACCGTCTCCGCCACGGACGTTGCGGCCGGTAGCAAGGCGGCGGCGCGTCTGAGCTCCATGGAGCCATGCATCGGACGCTGTTCGAAGCCCATGACATGCGCAGCGTAAGCACGAGGTCATGGCCGATACAGCAAGCATGATGGGCTGCGCGAGGACGACGACCTTGCACGGGTTGCCGTGCTGCTTGACGTACGAGTGCATGTAGTAGGCTCGCTCGACGCCAACCTTTGCTAGCAGCCAGCAAGAAACGACACGTTATGCATTATCAATCGAGTTAGCGCTAACGGAGGCAGTGCCACATGGCCTCGGTAGCGCGCGCGGACGGCTCAGCCCCAGAACGCCGCGACGATGTCATCGTCGAGCTCCACATCGCTACCGTCCGTCGACTCGGGCACGATAGGTGTCAACGTGACCGCCCGCAGAGGGGTCGTCGATGGCGTTGGCGTCGGCGTTGGTGGGCGCGGGCGGCGCGTTGCCTTCGGGCGCTTCGTGGTCTTGTTCGGTGGCTTGGTCTTGGTCGGCGTTTTGGTCGGGCGCACGATGGTCGGGTACGACACGCTCTCTGCCACGTTGCATGTGCCGGCACCACCGACGCCGCGCTGGAGACGAATGTCGCCGCCTTCGCCCCAGTCGGCACCCCACGAATTGCGGACCTTGAAGTAGGGCAGTCGGTACTCGTCGTCCGTCGTACCGTAGCCGACCGCGAGCACTGCGTGGTCGGAGCGCACATCCGGGCACGCCGAGATGACGCCACGGACGTACAGGCGCCACACGTCGTTCTCGCCGGCGACACTGACGCTCACGGGCTGCACGCGGAGCTGCGTCTCGAGCGCCGACTCGCCAGCAATGCTGATCGTCGCGCCGACGGCGAGTGCCACGGACGAGTTGCACGTGGCGTTGCAGGTCCCCGTGTCGCCCGAGAGACCCGATGTGTACGGGAGCGCCGACGACGAACACAATTGCGGCTGTTGCGACACGATCCAGTCGATCGCGCCCTCGACGGTCCCGCCGTTGCAGCCGTCCGAGCCGTCGTTTTTCGAGCAGCTCGTGACTTGCTGGGCCGAGATGTCGGGCAGGACGCCGGTCGCAATGCAGTGCGCCGACGCCACGACCTCGGTGGCTGCAAACGCCCAGCAGCTGCCGCACGCGCCTTGGTTCTTGGGCGGAAGCACGCACGTCGTTGTCATGTTGTTGTATGTCGTCCAGTCGACCATGTCGGTGGCGTTGCCAACGTCCCGGTCGACACCCGGCACGGGCGACGCCGTCGGCATCGGGCCCGAGACGTACTTGGCAAACTCGGCGTTGTTGAGCAAGGCAAACTTGGTCAAGTGGCTAAAGGTTGCGTGTGGGTTGGCGACGCGCAGCTCGGGCACCTTGTCCTTGGACGCCTTCAAGCGCGCGAGGAGGTTCTCATTGGACTCGGCGCCGACCATCGACGCGCGGAGACGGCCGTCGTTGCCAAACGTGCTTTGCCAGCGCGACAAGTCCCGTGTGAGCTCCCGTCGCTCGGCGTCGGAAATATCGAGCCCGTAGATGGCCGTCGCCGCGAGCAGCAGCAGCAGCGAGACACAGTGCATCGGATGCCAAGAAGAAGCGCAGTTGAAAAGTGAGCTGCACGCAAGAGGCGGCCACAACTTCAACGTAAAGACTCGGTGACAACCAACACACGTGCGGTGCAGCACCGCGTCGACGCTGCAAGGTCATAGAACGCAGTGCCCTGCGAGCCTCCTAAACGAGTACAAGTACGAGCGACTTGAGTAGCCAGCTGGCGTTCGCTCGGGGCGTGTGATGGTGGGACGTCGCCTCGTCATGCTCAGCGGGCAAGATACCGCGATGGTCGCTCGACCTGTGTTAAGGGCGTACGTAAAGACACTGCGATCGACTTGATCGTAGCCGTCACGCACCGGCGTCATCGGGTCGGAAGCGGTTGGCGACAGAAGGCCAACCTTACCGCCGTTCCTGGTGTGCGTTGGTCAAGAGCTGATCCCGTATGTGTGTTACCACAGTAGGCCTCCTTGAGCCATCTTGGTTCAAGGACATCGTGGCTCGGTTTGGCTGCGCTCTGTGCGCGATCGTCCACCAAACACTGTTGCGACCTAGATTCTGTTTGAAACAGAGTCTATCTGCGGTGTACGAAGTTCGAAGTTCGGAGCCCAAGAAGTTGTTGCGATCTTCCGAAGCGGCAACGATGGGCATCGAGCAGGTGCTCGCGACGATGGGCTTGAGCCCGGGCGACCCAGAGACCATCTTTGACATTCACTCGCGCGAAGGCGCTGGCGCCTTTGGCCGCGTCTTCCGCGCGACGTGCCGCAGCACGCAGCGCGAAGTCGCCCTCAAGGTCATCCCGATTGCGCTCAAGCCAGGGCAGCACGGCGAGGACGTGGAGAACGTCCGGCGCGAGATTGAGTTTTTGCGCGAGTGCGACCACCCGAACGTCGTGGCTTTCTACGACGCGTACTACAAGGACGGCGCGCTCTGGATCGCCATGGAGTATTGCGGCGGCGGGTCCGTCGGCGACATCTCACGCCAGCGCCGCCTCGTCGAGCAAGAGATCTCGATCATTCTGCGCGGTGCGCTGCATGGCCTCGCCCATCTGCATGCGAAGAAGAAGATCCACCGCGATGTCAAAGGTCCATTCACTTGTGCGTGCGATGTCTCATGGGCGGTAGGCGGCAACATCTTGCTCACGGCGGACGGTGATGTCAAAATCGCCGACTTTGGCGTCTCGGCGCAGCTTCGCGACACGCTGTCGCGCCGGTACGACCCATGACGAGAGGCCAGAGGTGACATATCGTAGTGGCACCTTTGTCGGCACGCCGTACTGGATGAGCCCCGAAATGATCCAAGACTGCGACTACGACTACAAGGCCGACATTTGGAGCCTCGGCATCACGGCGATCGAGCTCGCCGACCAAAAGCCGCCTCTCTTTGAAGAGCACCCAATGCGCGTCTTGATTCAGATCCCGCGCAACCCCGCGCCGCGGCTTCGCCAGCCCCACGAATGGTCGTCGGTCTTTTCCGACTTCTTAAAGTACTGCCTCAATAAGGCACCGGCAGATCGACCGTCGGCCATCGACTGCCTCGCGCATCCGTTCATCACCAACTGGCAAGACGTCGCACGCGTGCTTCCCGATGGTCTTTCACCTGCGGCGCCAACAACCACACCAACAACAAAGGAGGCACTGGACAAGACGGGCTCAGTCCTCGACCCCTCGGCCACCCCAGTGCAGTCGCAGGGTGAGCAGGCCTACGTCACGTGCACGCAAGAGACGATGCTGCCAAGCGTCCAATCGATGCCCGATGGCGCGGCGTTGGCAGCCGACGACGCTGGTGCTGCAGCTACGACGACGGCGACACTCGTGACGCCAAGTGAGAACTTTATCGGTGCCCCGTTCGAAGTCGCCCATGACGTCTGCGTCAAGTACAACTCGTACCGGGCCCAGTACGAAGGCGTGCCGACGCACTTGATCGCGCTGCACGACCAGTTTGGCCTACCGTTGGACGCCATGCGGTGCAGCAGCAAACTCCCAAACGACTTGGTGCCGTGTTTGCTGCACATGCTGCGTCGCGAGCTGCTTGCGCGGAACGGCGCCAGCAGCAAGTACATTTACCGGTCGTCGCCCGACCACGGTGAGATCCACGCGGCCAAAACCGCGCTCAACGCTGGTCGCTTTGACGTCAAGCAGCACAGCGACCCGTTTGTACTGGCCAGTCTTCTCAAGCTCTGGTTCCGCGAGCTACCGACACCGCTGCTCCCATCGACGCTTCGCCCGCACCTCGACCGCCTCGCGGCCTGCGCGACGCTCGACGAGAGCAATAAACGCGATGCTTCGATTACGGCGGGCCGTGCAACCGTCAACGAGTGCGCGCTCGGTCTTTTACGGGCGCTGGACGCCCAGACCCGGTCGGTCTTGGAGTGGCTTCTCGACCACTGGCTCGAGATTGTGCTCCACACCAAGACCAACCTCATGACTGCCCACAGCCTCTGCATCGTGTGGGCCCCGAATTTGTACCGGCTTGACGACGCCACGTCGCCCATGGAGGCGAGCAAGGTCTCGAACCTCGTCGCGCTCAGTTTGCAGGTGTGTCTAGCGTGGCGTGACACACATCTGTCGATGCGCCGCGCCAACGCCGGCATCGCGTCGGCGCTCGCCTTTTCGCCGCCGTCGACGCCAACACCTCGCATTGCCGAGCCTCTCTTTGACGTGCGCACGCCGCTGCTCAGCGTTTTGCGGCGCAGTGTCGACGACGTCTTGGCACGTGTTATCGACCCGATCGATGAAGCCGCGCTGCGTCAGGCGCAAGAGGTTCTCTGGTCCGTGCTCCGCCTCCACGCCCGGTCGAAAAGCGAGCGCGACTTTGCCGACAAGCTCCTCAAGCGCAGCGTGGCCGTGACGATGCCAGCGTCCTTGCGCGACGTGGCGCGATTTGTCATCATGACACTCGACCTCGAGGCGTTTCAAAACGCGGTGACGCACCATCGATCTGTCACGATGACACTCCACCAGGTACGCCATTCGCACCAAGGAACGCATGTGAGAAGTCATGTACCCTAGTTGAGCGAGCGCTATCCGTGCCTAGCAAAGCATACCGCGCTTCCATGCTTCTCAAATGCAAGTATATAGGACAATAAGAATAGAGACGACTCATTTGGCGTGCGGACTCATCGTGCGAAGCTGCTTGACGACAGCGTCAATGACCGTCTTCTTGAGCCCAGTGTCGACGGCCGGTGCCTTCTTGGCCTTGAAGAATTTGCTGGCCGCCGGCGTCATGTCCTTGTACTTCTCAAGCACCGCGATCACTTGGTCGGGCATCACGTGTGTGTACTTGCCACCGCTGCGACTAGACACGGTACATCGCCCTCTCGTTCTCGACAAAGAATGTACTTGAACATGCTTGCGTCGACGCGCTCAATGTCGTTCGACACGATCAAGTCGACGAGCTGCGTCAACGGCAAGAAGCACTCGCGCAGCTGCGTGACGTTGCACGTGTTGGCGAATTGCATGAGCGCGTCTACACTCATATGGATCTACTCGAGTAGAGATCAGAGCGCCGCACCCAAGCTCCGCTTGAAATGGAGCAGCGCTGGCATCGTGATGCGCTTGATGGTCGGCCCCACAAGCACCTGCTCGAGCGCCTTGTTGATGTGGATGCAAGATGCAAAATGCACGGCCTCTCGAATCGGCACGGGCAGCGTCGCCAGCTGCGAGAACGACGCCTACGAAGAAACAGGTAGCAGCGCAAACGATCGAGTCGAACCTGGAGGTAGTGAATGAGGTCCGACATGCTCGGGTCGGCTTGCGCGTTGACGTCCGTGGCTGTCCAGTTGACAAAGTAGAAAGAGCCGATGAGATCGTCGATCTTCTTGACCATGAGCTCGCACACCATGTCTTGGGATTTGGTCGATGTATTCTCAAACCTACGCGGCCGGGATCGAACCACCGACCACCTGGTCACAACGCACTTTTTCTTGGCGACCGCCGCGGTTGCTTTTGGTGGCACCTTGGCCGTCTACATTCGCCATGAAGCTCCTACGTCCGTGTGTATCATTACGTGGGGTGGGAACCGAGTGCGCTGCTCCCACGCGTCAATGTGCTGGGTCACGAGGGCACTGAGGACGTCGCAGGCGCTCGAGAGGTACGAGGCATTTGCCCCCGTAATGACCGCCTAATACGAAGCTGTTGAAATTCACACGGATGAATAAAGCGAGGGACCTGGGAAATTTGAAGCTCGTCGTTGCGCTCAATGTGTTCGTTGAGAATGCCGCTGAGCTCAATCATAGCGTCCCACGTCTCGTCCCGGACGTAGTAGCCCCACTCGGGGATGTTCAAGTGCCTAATAGTGTACATGACAACATGTACAATTTACAAAATAGATCTGAAAAATCAAAATACCACTCGAATTCAAACATGGTCGTCACCATATCGTGGACTTCGCGGCAGCCGCGGTGCACGACCGACGTGAACGGCAGGAGCACGTTGCCTTTGGCATCGGCGGTTTGGAGGAGCTCGTCGCGCCGGCCTTCGAGGCCGCAGAGCGCGAGGTCCTACGTTCTGCTCACCACGAGCAGCGGAGCATCGAGGTGTCGTACCTGACCGAGACGGTTGCGCGTCGTCATAACTTGTTGGAACGTGTCTTGCTTGAGAATGTCCCGTAGTTTTCTGCATAAAATACCGTTTTTTTCGAGTGGACATTATTGTCAATATACGTACGTTTTCATGTCGGCGGCCATTTTCTTACGGTAAAAGTCGCCGGTTCCGCGGAAGGCGTCAAAGATGAGCGACGTGTTGAACTGGTGCACGTCGTTGCCGAGCACGCGGGCGCATAAAATTGCATTGCGCTTGATGTCGAGCACGACCTTGGGCGACGGCAGCTTGATGAGGAGCGCCATTACCAGCCCGCAGAGGCTCTGCAGCACCGAGAGGCAGGCCGCGTGCACCTGCATATTCCATGCGTACACTACTCCATCGAACGAGCAGCGTACCTCGGCTTTGGTGAGGAGCGTCTCGTTCGAGTACGTTGCGAGCATCTTCTCGAGGCAAAATGTGCCGACGAACCGCTTGAAGATGTCGTCGTGCTAGGCGCATAACCAATATTGTCTATATGTCTATCGACAATATTCTCCATCGCGCACCTGGGTAGCAAACTTCTCGGGCGAAATCGCGCCAATATCACCAGCCAGAAACGCTGAAAACTGCAGCTGCGGCTACAAGAGCCAGCAAGATACGTCAGTCGAGCCAAGAAAAGAGCTAGCGACCATGCGGTTGGTGTGGTAAAACGCGGCGAGCACCGGCGTCTCGTGGAGGCAGTCGTACACGTGCACGATGCGCAACATGGGCGCGAGGAGCCCGAGCGTCTTCTGTACGTAGTCGCTGTAGATGGCCTGGCGCGCGCGGATGCTATTGGCTTGGTCGGCCAAGTTGTCGAGGAGCGGAAGGCTGTCGTTCGTCGATAAAGGCGCCATGAGCAAGGTCTCTTCGCACGCCTGCATGGCCTGTGTCCCGAGCGGACTCGCTGCATGTCGGATCTCTTCGAGCCATGACGACGTCTTCTTGGTCGTCTCGTCGCGCAGCGTCTGCATCGTTGCGGACGTCCACTCGTGTACACGCCGTGCAAAGAGTCGCCCCTGCCGCCTGTCATGTGGAAGCGCAAGAGGAGGCGAAGGACGTACGTGGAAGCTGTTGACATCGCGGCGAATCGACTCAAGAAGCTTGAGCGCATGGTAGAACTTGGCCTCGCCCAAGTAGACGTCGACTTTGCGGGCCATTTGCACCTAGTGCAATCTGAGCCGGTGGATGCGAAAGCGAGGGCGGACGATGCGCTGGCACTGTGTGAGGCGCTCGATCGAGACGTCAATGTGCTGGCGCACGTCATGACATGTGCGCAGCGTCGCGTGGCCCTGCAGAACATCCGCGGTCGCGGTCTCGAGGTCCCGCGCGTACTGGTCCAAGTGCACCTACGCGGAAATGACGCACCGTGGCTGGCCATGGCGTCATGCCTGGAGCTGGTTGGCGTCGCACTTGATCTGCACAATCTCTTCGATCGACTGGACAAACTCCATGTAGTGCGAGCTGCACACGTCGCGGATCTCTTCCTCCTTCTCGGCCGCGTACCGGCGGAGGCAGTCTACATGCGTGCATATGGCATACTATCGTCCTACTCGCCGTACCGGCAAACGTGAGCTCCCATTGATTCTCGAGCACGGCTTGGATGCCGGGCGCGAGGCGCGCATGCGACTGCGCAATGTTCTGCACGAGGAGGTCGCACTCCTTGCGACAGCTGCTGCGCTCGTCCTTCATGCTTTTCTTCCTTTGTGGCTCTTCAAAGTCTAGCCATATCTTCCGGATACGCTGCTGCGATTCGCACAGGTAGTACCTGCCGGCGTGGCTTGCTCAATGCGACGAGTTTGTTCATTGATGGGCTATATGACAGCATAGGAGGGTTGAAGGACACAGTGGTGGCTGTCCCCTGCTAGTGGTGGCAGTAGGGGCAGTGTGAGGGACAGACGGTCGGCGGTTGTCATCCGGATACCGGTTCATGGCTCGGGCTCGCCTGGCTGCAGCGTCGGTGCTCGACGAGGACAATCCTCGTCGCCATTGTGCACTACTCGGCCCCGCCCAAGGACGTAGTGCCGTTCTTGCGCGCGATGTCGTTGGCCGTGAGGACGCCGGCGCTGACGGCGCTCCTTGGCCTCTTGACGCTGCCGCGCGGAGGGAAGCATTGGCCGCAGGCGTACCTCAACAGCACCACGGTCGCCGACATCGGCTGTATCTGCACGGCCATAACCGTCTTCAACAACGTGTGCATCGACGGTGTGTGCTGCAATATGCAGTGGCCTGCGAGCCACGACCCCGCGTTTTGCCCGCCCTACCGCAAGTTTGTCGTGACGCCAAGATGACAGGTATCGACATGCGTGACCTGCGCACCGCGACGAGCTTTGCCGCATGCTTGTGCGTTGTACGAACCTCCTTCGCGCGTGCATCCCGGCCGAGTCGGGCCTCGTCGAGGCTGTGACGTCACCTGCCCACTGCGCCGGCCACGGGCAGCAATGACCTAGCGCCGTCCGCCATTGTCGCGATCGAGAGCTGCCTCGCATCTGGCCGTGCGCGCCACGTGACTATTCGCAACTTTGGCGTGTTTGCCGATGCGACGCTGGCGGTAGCGCTCTCGTCGTCGTCCACGCTCGTAGGTCTCTGTGTGATCTGGTCGGACGGGCTGCGCAGCCTTGAAGTCACATGCCATCTCGACCATGGACATCGTCCATCTCGGCCGCGCCCTGCTGTCCAAGCTACCGCAGCTCTCAGCTCTCGAGCACCTCCGGCTGGAGCGTTCAGGGCTTCATGGCACCAAGATTGCTTTTGCAACAACTTACTGTCTTCGGTCGGTGCACTTGGACAACGTCTTTGCCTTGGGCTCGGACCGTCTGGAGGCGATCACGAGGAAGCGCTGCTGGCTCCTAGCGTGGACCGCGTGAAGGACACGGTCCTGCACTGCATTACTGATGCAGGGCCCAAGATCGCAAGGAAGACTGCGGTATCTGGAGTCTCCATGCGCTGGCCGAGCGCTTGTGGGAAGCGGATGAGCCTACCAAAACGACCCTGGAGCGCAATCTCTTGACGCTCGCTAGCCGCATGACCTGCCAGAAGGTCGCCATCGTCTTGTCGGGACATGACAGCGGCGAGGAAGGCCGGTGTCACGACCCAAAAGGGAGGACAATATATCTACCTCTGCGGTGTGTTCCGGAATGATCTATCTATCTATCTATCTATCTATCTATCTATCTATCTATCTATCTATCTATCTATCTATCTATCTTCCAGTGTCCTCTGTGCACTCCAAGTGCTGTCTGTTGATGGGTGTGTACGGAACAAGGCAATTATCGAGAAGGGTATCCGGATATGGTGGTGTCACACTTGCGGACAGCTGATCTTGGATCGGTGGCAGCATGGTGCAAACGACTGCATGGGCGACCGAGCGCGCGCTCCTGCTCGTGCTCTCAGTCTCGTCGCTGCTGCTCGTGACCGTCTACCTCAGCGCGTCGAGCACATGGCTGCGAAAGGACGTCTATCTCGGGCGGGCGACGCCCTTTGCCGACGTCGTGGCCATGGCGAGCGAACGCCACCTGACGACCGCGACCGGCGTCCGCTGGGAGCTCTCGTTCTGGGAGTACTGCCTCACGTCCCGTACGTGTCTTCATGAATTCCATCATGACATGTAGCTCTAGACGTGGGCGCCAACTCGACGACGATCTGCACGCTGTGGAAGGAGGCGTGTCGCCACGCCGACTTGCATCACTCGCCTGTCTGCGACGCCATGAGCTCGCTCCAGAGCCTCGGGTTCCTCTCGCTCACGCTGTCCATCTCGGGACTCTACGTCGGGTACCGAACGATCGCGTACAACCCGCTCTGGTGCCTCGCGATTCGTGCGCTGCAGCTCGGCTTTGACGCCGGCATGCTCCTCGTGACCTTCCCGCTCCTTACGCCGAGCAGCATCTTCCCGTACGGCCTCGAGGTCGGCGAGAGCATGTACTACTGCGTCGCCAACATGTGCGCGTCGCTCGGCATTGGCGGTGCCGCCGTGTTTGTCTTCCTCCGCAACCAAGCCGCGCCGCGCGACGAGTACGTGCTCTTCCGCACCACCGACGAGAGCGATGATAACGAGGACGACGATGGAGACGATCGCAACGCTCTCCATGGCGCCTAAGAAGGATCGAGGTACTCGACCGCACCGACAAGTCCCACGGCGGCGCCATGAAGTGTACACATTGTCCAGCATTCTTTGGATAAGTAGTTCGCCTCGGTTTTAATAAGTATATACATCTGATTTATCTGTCAACGACACGTAGCTAAGTGGACAATATTGTGCCCTCTAAACTACTGGTTTCCTCGACCACTCGGTACTAGTAGGCACCAGAGCTAACGGTACAAGTCCTATAGACGGTGCACAGACTCACCGCCCTTCATGAGCTGGAGACAGGGCAGAGGTTGATGTGACCTGCGACTAGCGTTCGGTTTCTTGACGCGTCCATCAACACCACGGGATTTGTTGAGAGAAGTCGACTAGCGAGTTGGTTGTCTGCCTCCTTGTCATTTTGCGATTGCCCACCTCTCCATCATGAAGACGACGATCCTTGCAGCCTTGTGCACTCTTGCGACGGCGGCACCTCCGACGAGCGCCGGGACGACAACGACCAAGGAAGAACACTTTGTCGAAGCCATGCCCTACCACGCCATGGACCACGAATGGTACGGACGCGGGTTTGGTCGCGGCTGGGGCGGTGGCTGGCGTGGTCGCTGGGGTGGTGGCTGGGGCGGTGGCTGGGGCGGTGGCTGGGGTGGTTGCGGTGGTTGGGGCCACGGTCCCGGGTGCGGTTGCGGCTGCTGCGGCGGCTGGTAGTGCTCTGTAGCTTCGCGGCTTTACACTCAGACCTCATGGCTAATACCACTCGACCAGTTGAAACCATCTCCTCGCCTTTTTAACTCTTGCTCAGAACAGAGATGGCTCCTCCCACGGCGCAATTTGCACTAGCTAGCTAGCTATAAACGGGTAGTCTTTTGTGCGCTGGACAACTCTGCGCAAGTGGCGGTGGCCTGCTGACGGCGGCCTACCCTCTGGGATTTACACAGGGCTCTCGCATCCGGTGGGCAAAATTGGGTGAAATGGGTAAAACCGCCTCAAATGTCCGGATAACACGAGGTGTTTGCTTTTTATACGGATAGTGTGGGCCAAACCGGGGCAATAACCCAAAAGATACGCGTATCCGAAACGGGTTCAAGGGCAAATCGATTGCGAGCGTCACGCAACACCACGTCATTTCTGCTTTTGCCCTTGACCAAGCAACGCTCAGCTCCCAAGCAGCATGTCTCTTCTTCGTCAGACCTCCGGCCATTGCATGCGCTACCTCGGGCGCCCGCTGCTGCCTCTTTGCCGCCGCACGTCGACTGGTACGGCACGGTTGAAGTCCCCGTTGATGCCACTGCCACAGTTGCAATGGTGCTTTCAGCTGTCGAAGCTCGTCACTGCGGTCGACGATCCTTTGACCACTGCGAGCCAGGCGGTCGCGACACGTGACGAATTCCCAGCTATGCCTTCCACCGAGCCGACGACGCGCAGCAAGAACACGTACGAGCTCCTTGCCGTCTCGGACGACGACCTTTTTTTCTTGTAATCTCAACAGACAATGTTGTACGCATGTTTGCTCTCGGGCTATTGGACACACACACACAGAGGGCCGCCATTTCATATTTAGCTGCAAATAAAGTGAGCTACGTAGTATGTCGTCCATCGCGCTCACGCCTCGTCTACGTCGGTACAGTGGACCGTCATCTTGTCCGTGTACCCGCCTTCGTGGACGAGCTCAAAGAAGATGCCATCGCCCGCGGCTACGAGCGCCTGCGGCGTCCCGCTCTGCGCCAACGCGCCTTGGTCAAACACCAGAATCCGGTCGCAGTCCAAGACCGTGTCCAAGCGGTGCGCGATCGTGAGCACCGTCGACGTCGCAAACTCGGTCCGGATCACGCGCTGCAGCACCTTGTCTGTTGTGTGGTCGATGGCCGCCGTCGCTTCGTCCAGCACGACGACCTTGGCTTGCCGAAGGAGCGCGCGGGCCATGCACAGCATTTGGCGCTCGCCGACGCTAAAGTTCTCGCCGTTCTCGTCCACGGGCCCGAGGAGCTTCTCGTCGTGCTGCGAGACGCGGTCGACCATCTGCACCTTCTGGAGGACATCCCAGAGCGCTGCGTCGTCGTACTCGTCGAACGGATCCAAGTAGTTGCGCAGCGTGCCCTTGAAGAGGACGGGGTTTTGCGGAATGATCGCGAGGTGGCTGCGCAGCGTGCGGAGACCCACGGAGGCAATGTCGACGCCGTCAATCGAGATGGACCCGGATGCGACGTCGTTCATGCGGAAGAGCGCCATCATGAGGCTGCTCTTGCCTGCGCCGGTGCGGCCCACGATGCCAATCTTCTCACCCCCGCGACCTCGAACGAGACGTGCTTGACCACGAGCGGGTCGTTAGGCTTGTAGCGGAAGCTGACGTTGTCAAAGGTGACGGCACCGGCCGTGGGCCAGTTGGCGGTGGCGACAGAGGTGACGCGCGCGCCATCGGACTCGATCGCGATGTACTCTTGTGCGCTCGGGTGCGATCATGGACGTCTCGAGAGACTTACCATATAGGCGAGCGTCCTTGAGCTTGAAACAGCGTTCTTGCTCGGCACCCAGAAGGCCCGCGACGACGGCGCCGAGGCCGACAAAGATGGCCCAGCCCACAATCGTGTAGAGGAGATCAAGGACAATTGCGATTTGAAGCGGTACGATCCACATCGAGTGGATGCTTGTCGCAAAGCTCATGACGTTGATGGTGTCAATCGAGAAGAGGTTGGCAATGTCACCGGCGGTCTTCTCCTTCTTGGAGGACGCGTCCAAGCGCAGAGCCTTCTTGAAGAGCATCGAGCGCAGCGCTGAAGAGAACTGGATGCCAATGACGTCGTTGAGGTACGTTAAATGGCCCTTGATGAACGCGGCCGTCACTTGCACAAGGTAGAGCGACCCAATGAGCTGGAGTACGTACGTCGTGTCAAGAACGGGCGCCTCGACAGCGCGAATGATCTTGCCGAGGACGTAGCCAGGACCGTACAAGTCGGCGAGCACGGTGAAGAGCTGCATAAGGCCAATGCAGGCGAAGCGGCTCCAATAGATCGCAAAGAAGGACGAGAGAAGGTCCTTGTTCTTGCGCGCGTAGGCGTTTTCAAAATGCGCCGTGAGCGGTTCGACCTTGTTGGCGCTCTGGAGCTGCCAGAGGTCGCTGGACGCAAGCTGCCGGGCGTTTCCGAGCCGAAGCAACGGCTTGGTCCAATGAAATGTCAGACGCGATACGATGTTGGCGTCGTCCTGCGGGTGAAGGCGGGGTGCCGGCTCAAATGTCTTGTACTCGGCAGCCTTCTTGTTGCTTTGATGCATGGCTGGCAAATCCAAAAATGACGTCCTCGAGCAGCAACCATGCTGTTGGGTGCATGTGAGTGGTCGCTGTACCGTCATTTTGATGTGCCCATCATTCCAGCCAAACGAATGTTGGTGCCCACTTTGCGCGCCGAGTGATTCGAGTGCATCAAACACTCTCCACGCGACCGTGCGTAGGACACCAGCATATGAATCGTCGACACCAGTTCTACAGAGTCAAGAAGTGGTGGTTCTACTAGTAGTCTTCTAGTCGAGCGGTAGACACTGGTTTATACTCGATGTCGTGCGCTATAGTGTCCGATCGGCATCAAGCAGAGCCATGTCGACAACTCAAGTTGCCCTTTCAAGTAGTATTAGGTTTAGGGTAGTCCTTGGCAAAGGACACCATTTCAACTCGACTGCGACGACGTCATCGACGTCGTGAACGATTATTGCGCGGCCGTGTACGCCGAAACGTATTCGCGGAAGAGTTCAAGACGGCTGGCCAAGATGTCGTCGAGCACACGGTCGTAGCTCCTACACAGGCGACTCATGACACCAAGGTCTTTGTCACTCAGAGGCCTACGTCCACCGCGCGACCGTATCGCGTGTCTGCGTCTCAAAGTTGCGCGCGCGGGTCTTGACAAACTAGTCCATCAGTCGAGTTTCAACTGGTATACGACACCATCCCGAGGTACCTGCGTGACGGCGTTGAGAAGTACAAACAAAACCACCGACGACCCGAGCAGCTTGAGCGTGCTCAACAGACCAAGGGGCGCCGACGGGTCGAGCACAAGCGGGCGGAACGCTGCGTGCACGTTCTCGATAACGTCCATGATAACATCGGCCTCGAGGATCGCACGCGGCAACGACGTCTTGTACTCGCCCTAACCCCATGTCAATGACACACCTAGAGAGCAATGCTCGAGGCGTACGACGAGCAGCACAAACGTGACAAGGGGCACGACCCATGCCGAGACTGCAAAGCTCGTAGCCACGAGCTGGCGTGAGCGCTTGGCCGCGCGCTGCAACTCGTCCTTCAGCAAGAGTCTACGAACGAATAGGCATGGAGCGTCGTTGTTGGACCAAGTAAGAAGGGTACCCGCGAATCGTCTCGCGGACACGGTCGCAGTCGCGCTCGACTTGGCTCAAATTGTCTTGAACCTTCTGGTGGATCGACTGCTCAATGACGTCGCAGACCGAGTCGATCTGGTTGAGCTGCGCGAGATGCTCAGGCGGCGTCGGCATGTGCGGCTTCTGAATCCAAATGGACGGGATCTCGAGGCCGTGCTGGTTCTGGATGTTGGCCTTGATGTTTTGCGTGATCTGCACCATGAGCTTCATCATCTCCTTCGAGTCCGTGACCGTGTCGGCCTTGGTGAGGTAGTACTTCATCTTGTCTGCAAACTGGCCGTTCGCGTTGAGCGCCTTGACCACGTTCATCGTGCGACTGCAGAGCGCTACCCATGATGCGATCACATCGTACTCGAATGCACATGAACGTACCTTGGCCCATCGGGTCGAGGAAGACAAAGATGAGGTCGGCGTACGCGGCCATGCTCACGATCGCCGCGTTGACGTCGAACGGGTAGGCAATGTCGCCGTCGACAAGGCCGGGCGTGTCGCAAAAATCGACGACCTTGAAGTGGCGCGCCGTCGACGTGCTCACGTGCGTCGTGAGGTTCTCGACGAGCGACTTGCCGTACTCCTTGGAGAGCGGCATCAAGTGCGGGTACAAGAGCAGCGTTGAGTCGCCCTTGATCGGCGCCAGCGTTCGCTTCATGCCACTCGTGATGAACGTAAAGCCTTGCGTCTCGATCGCGACGCCCGTCCGCTGGATGTCTTCGCCCACGTACCAGTTGATGAACGACGACTTGCCCGCGCTGTGGTTGCCAATGATCATGACCGTCACCTTCTTCCGGGGCGTGAGGATGTCATGGCCAAGGCCAACGTCCTTGCCGATGGCCGCGAGGCCCTGGTCGCCGCCATAGAGGTCGGCGACGCGGCCCATCAACTGCTCTTCCTCCATCGCCGTTGCAACGAAATGGCCAAACGGTAGTTCAACAAAATTTGGACGAATTAAAATATTCTAGTTAGTCGAAAGTACAGTCGATTCCACTAAACATACATTATTTCAAGTCCTACGATGCCAAACGTCGTTGTCGCTTCTCGCACACTATCACACGCTCTCGATGCAAGCGACAAGGTCACATACAGTAGCACCCACAACGATCCAATACGTCTCGGGATCGCCCTGGCGTAGCTCCACAGCCACGTGGCTTGCACTGACGTCAAGCAACAAGGATGTACCATACACTATTTCCATCGTCCGGTTAGGTCGTCCGGATAGGAATGGGTTTCGGACGAAACCGAAGCCGCCTTGTGTCGTCGACGCCAACTAGTTGGAGAATCTGCCGTGCGATCCCGGAACCATGGCCACGAAGCGAATCTGTACGTACTGAAGTTTCAACTAACTAGAATATCGACTCGCCGTAGACCACGGCGTCGACATCAACGTGCTCGAAGGCTGGCTCGTCAAATACAACAGCAAGGAAAAATTCTTTGGGTCGTCGAGCAACAAGCGCTGGTTCAAGGTCGACGTCGCCAACCCCGACGACGACGTCTCGATGCACCGTCTCATTTTGAGCTACTTCAAGGCCAAGTACGCTCGCCACTTGCGTGTCGTATCGGCAACGTTTGCTGTAGAAAGGCCAAGGAGGTGCGTGGCTGGATCTACCTCGAAGACGTCACCAAGATCAACGTCAAGCCCGTACGTCTCGTGTACAATATGACCATATCGAACGCAAACGGGCGTAGAACTTGATTGAGATTGCGTCGCCGTCGCGCACACTGCGGGTCAAGGGCGAGACGGCGGCCGAGCACAAACTTTGGGCCGAGAGCCTCCAAGCGCTGCGATTCCCGCCGCCGCTCGTATTGCCCAAGTCCACCGCGATCGTACCTTCGTCGCTCATGGCCACGTTTGGTACATCCCTCTTCGATGGCTTTGTCACAACACGCCGTAGAAGGCGTCGACGAGGGCAGCAAGGAGCCGGCCGCCGCCGCCAAGGCGCACCGAGGTCGACTGGTGTCCACACCAAATACGATCACTAACATGATGATGTAGAAGCCAAGGGCGAGACGGACGCCAAGGCCGAGCGCAAGGCCGTCGCAGGTAGTCTCGCCGGACGAAACACTCGGTGCAAATTGCGCGTAGAACCACTCGTGGACCGGGAGCGCAAGGTGACGTCTTCACAAAGAGCTAAAGTCCATGACTCTCGAGGTAGAGCTACGTCGCCGACGTCAAGCCGAGTGAGCGATCGCTGCCGCCCCCCAGCGCTGACTCGGAGAGCAGCGAAGGCGAGGACGAGGCAGATGCCAAGGACGTTGCGGTGCCGCCGGCGCGATCCACGTACCTCTTGCTACCTTGCTCTTCACCCCGGCATCGAGCGTTGAGTGTAGTGTCGAAGTCAAATGCACGAGTGAGCCGCGCGTGGGCCCCAAGGCGCACTTGACCGCGACGGAGCCGCTGCAGTTTTCAGACTCGGAGGACGAAAACGAAGAGGCCGACGACGAGCATCCGCCAGCCAAGTAGGCACCACCAGCTCCTACGCGGTTTAAACTTGCACAGGCGGTCGCTTCAACATGACGTTGACGAGCCCGCGCCGTCTCGTATGTCTGGATCTGTGCTACAGCAGTGTAATTTTGGCCGCGTAGCCAAAGTGGACGCGTCCAACGACAGTGACAACGATGACGACGACGATGACCGGTTCCATGACGTCGCGTACTGTACACGACACACAGCTAGGTTGTCATGAGAGGTTAGGGCGCCGGAGCGCCACCTCTCGACGGATATGGAGGCGCTCAATAATGCGCCGACGGCAAGGAGCGAAGCCGACAGCGACGATGACGACAGCGTCGTCACTATGACCCCCAAGCGTCATAACGACGATTCAGTGCACGACGAGGATGACGAAGAGGACCGAAACCAAGAGCCACCCGCGCAAAGCAGCAAAGGAGCGTCTGCATACTTTGACGACGAAGATGAAGAAGCCGACGAGAAGACGCCGCCAAGCAAGGGGTCGCTTCCAGCAGCGGCTCACCCTGGGTATATTGCCATCTCGAAACGAGCCCCATAGGAACATGACAAATGTAGAGCCTCAGCGGTCGCGGCCGACAACAACTTTGTCACGGAGGACTGGGACCAAGATGACACGCCGGTCAAGGTGCCAATCAAAGCCGAGCGCGCGACGGGTGGTGTCGCTGCCGACGCCAACTTTGCGCACGCCGACTGGGACGACTAGACGACCAACAACGTGACTCCAAAATCCAAAGCAATCTTGTTGTTCGTGTTGGCGATTACACGGCCTCAATGTCAAGCTTGCACATGGGGCAGGTCTACATGCGTCATAGGACACCATACAGTCGGTATGACGGTACCTTGTTTTTGCGCAGCCACTCGTCAATGCAAGCGACATGGAAGAGGTGCTTGCACGGCAGATCGCGCACGTCGTCATCACTTATAAAGTCCGCCTGCACACCATGTTTAGTACAACGCGAGTCGTAACAGGCTGCGCGTACGAGGCAGATCGGGCACAAGTCGACTTGGTCCGCGTTGGTGTCAGTGGACGCCACCGCTTGGTACTACGCACTGCCATGTCCCATCGGTCGAGCCATATAAAGGGTACCTTTTTCGTCTTGAGCTCGAGCAAGCGCTGGTTCGAGACGCCGCGCGGCACGTAGCGCAGTGGCGCGGTCGGCTATATATCAAAATTGTCAGTTTGAACATAAGACAAGTTGTCGTACGTGCACGTGGTGGAGCCGGAAGCGCACGAGCGTGAGAATGAAAAACACAGTGAAAATCGCAAACAGCACACAGGCGACGTAGAGCGAGTTCATATCGCTACGCTCGAGCTCGTGCACGTCCGTGACCGGATGCAGCAAGGTCGCGTCGAGATCTTGGATCCACATGTCGCCCAGAGCGTGCTGGAAGCGACCGCCAAAGACGACCATTTTCCCTTGCCAGGCCACGGCGCGATGCAAGTACCGGACGCTCGGGTATCCCTAAGACCATGCCGTTTGCAATAGTGCAACGTTCGCAATGGATACCTCGTCCATATCAGTCTCGTTGTTTTTGGAGAATTGTGTGTGCGCGCCGGAGAGCCGCGCGTGGACCGTGTCGTCATAGACGTAGCCATTTGTGCTGTAGTCCGACTTGAAGTAGCCGCCAAAGAGCCACATGTCACTGTCGACCGTCACCATGGTCGTGTACGCGCGCTTGAACGCGGGCGTGCCGTGCACTTGTGTCCACGCATGGGTCTACACGATGCATGACAATGTTCTCCAAACGACAAAGGTACCTCGAACGAAAAGAGCCAAATGTCGTCCAGCAGGGCCCACCCGTCGTCTTTGGTCAATTGGCGGCCGCCAAAGATTAGCATGGATGTGACGCCGTCGACTACCGACACCCGATTGAACACTGATTCGGACCCGAGCAAGTACACTACGTACCAGTGATTGTGCTTGCGGCGTGCGAGAAGCGCGGGGACGGCACGTGCTTGGCCGGCAAAAGCAGCTGCGTCCAGACCTTGGTCGTATAGTCAAACGTCCAAATATCGTTGAAACAGCGCGAGTGCCCCCGGCTTGTGGAGCTCGTGTCGTACTCGATACCCCCAAAGACATACATGCGATCGTTGAACGTGATCGCGGTCGCCTCGCTGCGGTTGCTCGGGCCGTTCAGCGCAGGCTCAAGCACCCAGACGGGCGGATTGGCATCGAGTTCGAGGCGCCAGAGGTCTTGGGTCTGCGCATAGTGCAGTATGGGCGACGGTAGCTCTTGCCACACGGACATGCCGCCAAAGATGTACATTTCTCTTGCAGGCGAGCGCCGCACCGCCTAATCACTCTCCCGTCTCTGTGATCTCGCAAGACCCCTACCGCCGAGTGGTGGAAGCGCTTGTGCGGGCGAGGGCCGTCCACGCCAACTTTGGTCCATGCAAACGACGTCAGGTTGAACTAGGCAGTGTTACTTGCGACAGCGTCGATCGATGGCAGTACCGTCCACGCGTCGTCCTTGGCGCTGTCTTCTTCGTCGCCGATGCCGCCATAGACGACCAGCGTCTCGTTGTCACAGAGTACCATGCTGTGGGCAGCGCGGGGCGTCGGTTCGTTCTGCTTGGCGCCGTACCGCCACACACGCGTCCATGGCGTCTTCGTCGCGTACGAGAGCGTCGCGCCTGCGACAGTTGGACAGTTAGCCTCCGTGGACCATCGAGTCCCAACGCACCGAGCAGCACGAGCGCAGCAGACGAGCGCATTCCGACACGGAACCTCAGGCGCACGCTGCAGAGTGGCAGTTTATCTATAGCATTTGAACGACGACGACCAAGATGGCGGCTCGGTCGGGGCCGCCATTGTAGCACCGCTCTCGCTTTTTGTCAGTCCCTTGATACGGTAACTGTGTGCGCGGCCAATCATGGAAACAAAAGCGTGGCAGTCCTTTCTTGGCGATGAATATCCCGGGGAACTGTCCTTTGCTTGGGGAAGCGAGCGCTATCGTGAGACGCTCTACCCTCCTTCCCTCCTTCTCGCTCATTCGATGAGCAACGTTTTCGGAGCTCGATGTTTCGAGGGTACCATACATGAAGGCTAGTACCAACATGTCAACCCTTGCACAGAAACGTCCACTTTGAAGACATGGACGACAAAGACGACAATAGTTAAATAAGACAAATAGATGCGGTCGCTTCACGCTGGCTCGCCGAGCAACTACAGACAGAGTGTCGCCTTGCCCTGAGAAAACGTGTGGAACGTACGGTGAGGAGTCGCGCCTTGGTCACGCACTCATCGGGCGTCAGCGCAGGGTACGTACAGCTGACCATTTCGCGACGCATCTTGAGCCACGTGGCCGTTTCCCACTTGGAGACGCTGCATTCGTCCAGTATACCGGCCCACTAGACGGCAAAGTGTGCAAAGAAGCATCGACAACATGCACCCTACGTCGAGGTCGAGTGTCAGGAGCGCAGCAATGTCGGGCACCAGTGCGTGCAGATGCCATGGCTAGGCAAGTCACGATGACAGATCACGACGCTTCCGTCGTACGTACGTATTTCGAGGACGCGTGGTCGGTGATAGCGCACTTGAGGCTTGCGAGAACGGGCGTGACGAGGCGGTCCAACAAGGCGTACGCGCCCAGAATGCCGGGCAGCGTCCGCTTGAACGACTTGGTGGTGCTTGCATAGTGCTCAATGGCGCTAAGAGGACCAAACAGCAGCGCCAAGCGACTCAGAAATGCGACCAGCCCTTCTGCGCACTGCCGAAGCCCTATTTGGCATGTCACAACACCGAGCCAAGATTTGTCGACGTACACGACGAGTCGGCGGCGACGCCAAGGTCGAGCACGCACGCACGCAAGCTACTGTAGAAGCCCAATACAAAGTACAGGCCGTCGATGCGGTATTGTTCCAAGCGGCCACGCGACGGCGTCAGCGTCGAGTAGAGCTCGAGCACGGACTGGACCATGTGAACGCTAAGACTGCCCAGCATATCGAGGGCAAGTTGCCGCGAGTGGCCAAGTCCCGCCGCGCTGGCCTTGAGCTTCAGAAGCAGGCGCGTGAAGCGGAGGACCATGGCTTGCAGGCCCGCCGAGATGCGCGTGTTGTTGAAATACGGCTTGATCGCGTACCACTCTTGGTGGACAACGCTGGGCAGGTAGATACTCGCGCATTCGTGGAGAATCTACTCGCAGACACTTTGTCTGCGTTCCAGCGACAAACATATGACTTACAAACGAGTGGACGTAGTGGAGGGACGTCGCGACGAGATCACTGATAACGCGCTCGATCTTGTCGAGCGTCTCGATCGTCCAGTGCATGGCCGCTGCGCTGCGGTCCAGTGACGGGCGCAGCTGCGTGCGCGAGAGCCGCCACGTGTCGAGCAGTACGATCAAGCCGACGCCGCCTTCAAGCACCGCATCCATCGAGAGTGCGTGCTCGGTGAGGAGCCGCTGCAGCGCATGGGCGAAGGCCGTCACTTCTTCTTGCACGACTTGGGCGTACAAGCGGAGGACTTCGGCAAACCCACCGGTCTGAATACACGGGCTCAAGCTCTCGGTGATGTCATGTAAAATCAATGCGAGCGTCTCGGCTTGGGCGCGCAGCGTGTACTCGTCAAGCGCCGAGGTGCTATGGATCGCCGTCGAGTACAAGCCCGTGGCATCAAAGGACCCGAGAATCACGGCACTCGAGACGCCGGGCGACGACGTCGTCCGCGCCGCATGCAGCACCGTGCGCAAATAGCGCGAAAAGATGTAGTCGGCCACGCGCATGGGCGGTGCGAGGGCCGACCAGAGCTGCCGATGGAGCGCGTCGAGGTCGACGCTCGCCGGAAGCGCCTTGACGAGCGCGCCCACCGCGCGCGTGACGTCGTCCATGAGGTTGAGCCAGCGCTGGCCCGAGTGTATCCTGCACTTGGGGTCTGTTGGCGCGAGACGCACATGCGTGTCCATGATGAGGTACTCGTCGTAGCGCTTCTGCGTCGTCGCGTTGACAACGGTGCACGTGCCGGCGTCGCTTTGGACTGCGTCGATGATCGCGTTGACCCACACGACCTCCGTGGCTGTCTTGACGCACGCCAGAACGTGCCACCCGATGCAAAACTCGAGTTTGCCCTTTCGCTTGCAGTGCGACGCTATCAAGTCGAGGTCGTCAAAGTACACAAAGAGACACCGGCGCAAGCTCGAAGGAATCGGGTGGTCCGCGAAGCCACCGCGGTCAATGTGGACAAAGCGCCACACGCCGTGGACACATGGGTCGGCCAAGAGCACCTTGACCTTGGCGGTCCGTGCCATTTGCATCGTAAGTGACGGCCGGGAGCCCGTGATCGAGTTGAGACGCACGTTGATGCGCGCTATGGACGACATGGACGCCATGGACGACGTGGGGGTGGGCGGCGGCGCGACCTGCTGCCCCGCGTTCGCATACCGGTACTCGAATGTCCGCTTCTTGCCTGTATGGAAGCGCACGTCGCCGAAATGCACAACGGAGGCCGACACGGTGTCTTTGACAAGCATCCACGCGTTCACGTCGGTCGTCAAGTACGTCACGGCCTTCTCGACCAGCTCCTGCAGTGGCGGTGCGTACGCGGTGGCGACAAGGTGGCTGAGGCGGTCGCCCACGTCAGCGATCGGCGACTTGGCACTCGTAAACGCACTCACGAGCGTCGTCTTGTCGTCGCAAAGGATCGCGACCACGTCCACGTCGGCGCGGAGGAATGCCGCGACGGCGTCTGTGTACTGCGTCAAGGTCGGGTGCAGGCCCGAGACGAGCGCCGCGGCCATGACCGACCGCTTCTCGACGTACAGCGCCCAAGCCTCTGGCGTCGGCATGTAGATGAGGCACTCGGCGAGCTGCGCAATGTCCCACGTCTTGGCCTCCATGGCCGCTTGGAGCGCTGCCCAGGACGCGCTACCGAGCGCGACGCCAATCTCCCGGAGCTTCTCCCCGAGGCTCTCGCACGAAGGCGGTAGCGCCTGGAGCAGCGACGACTTGCGCGGCGACGATGGCTCTTGCTGCGTTGGCTCGCCAAACACTTGGAGCTTCAGGCGCACGTAGCTCTGGCGCGCTTCGAGGTACGTCCTGCGCGCGTCGGTCATCTCGTCGGCCGCCACGAGCTCGGCTGCGCTCGCGAGCAGCTGTCGAAGCACGGCTTCGGCCGGGTTGGCCGACAGCGTCGGAAGCAGCATCTTCATCCGCTGCCGCCACGGGCCGCGCGAAACTGCTGATTAAAACGTGTTGAATGCGTTAAAAGCGGCAGTTACCGCACCGATTTGGACTTGGACATGGGAATGAATTATGTATACACCCAGTTATGTACATCGGAACAGACCTAGCAAGCTAGCTATGTGTAGTAGCGGTAGGTCAAGGCCCCCGACCATGGGTGCTGGCTGGGCGATAGTTGCCGGGTCGAGAGAGCTGTAGCGCGAGCAGTGCCATTTTGGTTCACTTTAACACGTTTTATCATTTTAACGCGTTTTTCAGTGGCTTTAACGCATGTGTTCTGGCGCATGCCTTCGAACTTCGAGAGTCGGCGTCAGCAGCAGTTGGGCGTGACCGCCTCTTTTTATATTGGACGCAAAGTCATACAAAAAGCATGTTGCATTAAAAATATTAGATTTAAATACGCGGACGCCGCGAGGTTTCTTTGGCGAGGTTTGTCCCAAGGGTTTTACCTAGCAATGTGGGAGGTGGCTGCGATATTTTTAATGACAATGCTGGTATTCTTTATACAAATAATAGGTATAATGCGGAAGAAGGAAAATAAAAACGAATTTGGAAAATCTTCGTTTCACCCAATCGACGGGGCAGCCATAAACCTCCTTACTCGAGCGATGGAGTACGACGAAGAGGAATGTCGGGTCTGCCGTGGCGAAGCGGTAAGCAGAGTTGACGCCATGACGATGGCTCATGGCATGGACCCTGTAGGAAGAAGGCCGTCGCCTCTTCGCGCCCTGCAGATGCAGCGGCTCGATCCGCTACGTGCACTCGGACTGCTTGACGGAGTGGCTGGCCATCTCCAAGAAGGAAGTGTGCGAGCTCTGTGGCTACACGTTCTCGTTTCGCCCGCTGTACGCCGATGGCTGCCCCGAGACGCTGCCCGCTGGTGAGCTCTTCTTGTCGCTGGCGATCGTGGCGCTCAAGAAGTGGCTACCGCTGGCCATCCGCGCGATCCTGGTCGTCATTGCGTGGGCCCTCGTCGCGCCATGGTGCACGAGCTGGCTCTACCGCCTCTGGCTGCTCCGCGCCGCGACCATGGGCTCGGTCAACTTTAACGACCGCGTCCAGACGGTCGAGGTGCTCTTTGACGACGTCTTTTCGGGTTTGATCCTCATCGTTGTCGTTGTCTGCTCGTTCCTCTCGCTCATGAGCCTCGCCGACTTTCTGCGCTTCAATATGGACCAGATCCAAGATGATATCGACGCCGACGCCGACGTGCCGGAGGAAGTCCATCTTCGCCAGCGCGCGATGCTCGTCGCCCAGGAACTTGAAATGCACGGGCTCCAAGACGCCGAGGGAAACCGCCGCGGCGATAACTTTATGCGGCTCATCGAGCGCGTCGACGGCGTCGACGAGTGGATTCCCGAACGCGGTCACCGCGACGACCACTCTGACGACTCGGACGACGACGACGACGACGACTCAGGGGATGAGGACGACGACTCGGACGACGAGATCCAGCCGCGCCGCCGCCATGTGCGTCCGGTTGCCAACCTCCCGCACCTCAACCTGCCGCGTGGGCCGCCGCTCGTGCCGCCGCGGCGCGTCGTCCGGGTCCGCGAAGACGACAATCTCCCGCTCTTTGAAGAGGCGATCCAGCAAATCCCGCACGCCGCCGTCTTTCGACCGCACGTCGCACGCAACATTCGCCCGGACCCGCGCATCGTCGAGGCCGTCAACCGCGGCAACCGCCGGCGTCGCGGTGGCGTGCGTCCGCGCCGCCCCGTCAACAACAACAACAACGAGCCGCCGCCGCAAGACCAGTGGGACGACGACATGGAACACATGGAGATCAACATTGCGATGGACGAGCTCGTGGGCTTTCGTGGACCGCTGTACCTCCTCGTGCGCAACGTCTCGTGGTTCTTGGCGTTCAACGGTGCGTACCTCGGCATCTTTGCCTTCATCCCGTACACACTCGGGAGCACGATCGTGTCGACGTTGAGCAAGTTTACGTCAGCACTGCCACCGCTCGACCCGTCGATCCTCGAAGGCCCGGTCGAGGCCATGTCGCCCCTCTACCGCATCATCAACTTGGTCCTCAACTCGACCGAGACGACGCGGCTGCACGGCGACTGTCTCCAGCTCGTCGATCTTGGCACGTGCGCGCTGGGGTACTTTAGCTTTTGCGGCACCATCGTGCTCTGGCGTGTGCTCGTCTCGACCATCTCGAGCTACAACCACCGACCGCTGCTCGCGGGCCTCCTCTGGTTCCTCTCGTGCCTCAACGCGGTCGTCAAGGTCTCGACGCTGCTCTTGCTCAAGATGATTCTGCTCCCAATCCTCCTCGGTATCGGCATGGACGTGGCCACCTTGCAGCTCTTCCTCGTCGACCCGTGGGACCGCCTTAGCTACTGCATGGAGCACATGCTCGCGACGCTGCTCGTACACTGGGTGCTCGGTATCACGTTCATGCTGTTTGTGACGGTCGCCGTCCTCCAGATGCGCGAGGTGCTCCACCCCGACATCCTCGCGGCGACGATTCGGCCCCAAGAGGCCAACCCGGACATTCTCAAGGCGCTGTTGAGCGAGAAGAGCATCAAGCACGCGCGCCGCATGCTGCTCTCACTTGCGATCTACGCAGCACTCCTCCTCCTGCTCGTGCACTTGCCTGTGCGGGCCGCGTACAGCGTCGCGCCGTCATTGTTTCCGCTGCAGCTGCGGTTTTACCACCTCTTTGCGCCGCTCCAAGTGCCGCTCGAGCTTGTCCTTGCGCACATGACGATCCTCGCAGTCCTTGAGACGTACAAGAACGAGATTGGCACGTTTCAGTACAAGTACATGCTGCGTATGTGTGCACGGCTCGGGCTCACCGAGTATTTGCTGCCGCGCGTGCCGGCGCTGCCCGGGGCCGGCGTTGACGCGATCGTGCTCACGGTGCCGCCATTGACGTTCAACCCCCACCATGACGCGCCGGCGGCCGAGCAGCGCTACTATGGCGCGCGGTACCTTCCGTGGCCTGAAGAAGGGCTTGTGGACCCGACCGTGATGGAGTACAACTTGCTACCGCGTCAGTTTCCATCCAACGTGCCACTCCGCCTGAGTCTTCTCGTGCTCTCGTGCTGGCTCACGACCGTTGGCATCATTGGCATGGCGACGCTCGGTCCGCTCTTCATCGGACGCACGTCGATCGCGCTTCTCGAGCGGTTCTGTGGCGTCCAGCACGACTCGCTCGCGTTCGCGACCGGTATTTTCGTCATGTGGGTCCTTCTCAGCGGCTGCAAGGCGCTCCGTATCCTCCGCATTCCGGACCGGGACGTCCACCATCGGCTTCAAAACGGCGGGTACCGAGTGCCGCCCTCGACGCGCAGCTCGCTCGTCGGTCTCGTGCTGTCGTGGGCCGTCGTGCTGCCGCTCATGCTCGGGCTCCTGAGTGCGCTCTGGATGACGCCGCTTGCGTCGCAGTGGCCGACACTGCTCGAGGTACGTCGTTGCTTTGATGCCTCCTTTGGTGCTCATGAAGCGCACTTTAGATGCTCGGGTTTGGGTTTGTCACGCTGCACGCGGGTGCGTGGGTTGTGTGCTGCTTGGAGCTCAAGAAACGGCGCCGACACAACAACAATGACGACGACGATCCCAATGCGCACGTTGGCGACCGGTGGGACGAGCTCTCGCGGGCGCCGCCGGGCGTCGTCACGTCTCTGCGGCTCGCATACGAGCAGCTCTGCTTCCACGTGCGCGCGCACGAAGTCGGCATTGATGGCGACGACCGTGCGATGGACGACTTGAGCGCCAAGTGCTTTGACGGCGTCGCGTTTCGCAACAAGGTGGTGCGACCGCTCGCGTATGGGTTCTTCATGTGCCTCGTGCTTCCGTGGCTCGTCTGCAAGCTCGACGCGCTGCTCGCGTGGAGCCACCTCCCGGAGCGCATCGTGTACCGACTGGCGTTTGCGACGCAGCTCGTGGGCGCGGGGATCGTCCTCGCCAAGCCGTGCGTGGGCCGGTGGGTGCAGACGCTCCACGACTCGGTGCGGGACGAACGGTACCTGATCGGGAAGGAGCTCAACGACATGGTCCGCTAAGAACTAGGAGTAGTAGAGGGTAGCTTATATAACCACGCGCGCGTGCTTTGTGTATCTTGATCGATGCTTCGACCATGCTAGGGGTCGGGGAGTTGTGCTGCAAAGTACTAGCTATTTATAGCGAGACAGGCGCTCCAGTTCGTCAGTCTTGTCGTTCAGCGCTGCGGAACCATGTCCATCTTTGGGAGCTCGGACCGCTTCGTACCCGACGCAGGTATACTGCCTGCATGACTTGAGGGTAGATCCATGGTGGGCTCTAGCGCGGTCGCCGGGGCCGATTTACCTCAGCGTCGCCGACAACCTCGAGCGGTCGCCAAAAAAGAAAGGCGGTGTCTTGTTCCGGCCTGATTATGCGGCCGCGACTGCCGCCCTCGAGGAGCCCGTGGGCCACCGCGACAGCTGGATCAAAGGTAGATGGCGCCAGTATGAGCGTGTGAGAGCGAGCTTGTTAGGGCAATTTTCACCGAGCATTTCGGTGCACGACCACGGTAGAGTCGATCTCCTCCTCTCTTGAAAAGACCGACGTATCGATTATCGATCGCAGGCGTGCACGTGGCCCCGAATCTGTACGAAGCCAACTACGAAGTCGTGAAAGCTCGGTTCCCGGCCGTGAGTTTTCCCAAGTCGGAGCGCTTCTTGTCGCAAAAAGGTAGTACGGGGCCACACGATACATTGAGCGACAGTGGTGCGTTGCTAGTGTGCATGACGGACAAGCAGCACCAGCGAGAGCTCATCACGTCCGACAGCCCTGGCCCGAAATACAATGTCGAGGCGCCGCCGTTCCGATCCAATGCGCCCAAGTACTCGTTTTCGAAAGGCCAAGTGAACCCGGTCCGGGTCGGGAGTCCCGTGAAAAGGTGGGGTCTTCTTGACCTACCCCCTTTTTCATCATGAACGATAGTCACCGCGAGTCGTGGCTCTCGGTCATCCACCGGAAAGGTCTCTTTGTCTTGCCCCCCGCGGTGCAGCCGCCCGAGATGGACCCCCCGGTCCACGAGACGAGTCTCCACGACGAACGCAACCAACACCACGTACACACTCGACCAATCGTGTACGAGAGTGACGTTGTCGACTGCGTAGGAGTCGCGACCGTTGTCGTCCAACTTTGGGACCGCACCCCGCTTTGGGTTGCGGGAAAACCCCCGGAAAGACCAAGCGACGTCGGGCATGAGCCGCGTCCAGTTCATTTCAGCGCGCCACGTGCGGGAGAACATGGGCGAGTTCTCACCGGGGCCGATCTACACGCCGCACAAACCAGCGCCGTCCGGGGGGCGACTCGCGCCAGCCCCCCGCGCGACGAGTCCCCCCAAGCACGACGAGGTGCGCGGCCCCGACACCAATTTAAGCAGCCGCAGCTGCTGGCTCTCGGGCAACATTCGCAAAAACTCGGGCCGCGAAATCATGCTCATGCGCACCGGTACCCTTGCGGGCATTGTGTTGCGTATGCCATCATAGTGGAATGTAGGGGACGTGGCCCCCGGACCGGGGGCCTACTACCACCCGACATCGTCGTTTGGCACGGCGAGTTTTTCTCACAACGTCAAGGTCAAGCGAAAGGACCTCATCACACCGCGACGAGCGTCCACGAGCCCGCGAAAGACGCGGCCGAGTCCCCGGGTGGCCATGGCCCAGCGACACCAAGTTGGCGCCGACTCGATGAGCCCCCGACCGCCGAGCCCCCGCAGCGACGAAGCCACCCTTGCCACGTGATCGACTTTGCTTTTCTAATCGAGCACTCGCCAATAATCAAGGTATTCCACCTGACAATTTGTCCAAACCCCACTGCCCCGAATAAAAGAGCCCACGTGCTGTTCTTTTATGCTCTTTTAATAATATTATTAAAAACAAATACAAATCCCAGTCCGGTAAATCCATCCGGACACCACCTGAACGTGCCATGATCACAGCGCTGGCAAGCGGCGATGAGCTTGTCCTCGTGGGCACGGCCGCCGGCGAAATGCTCTGCGTCAACTACTTTGAGCCGACGACCAAGGACGCTGTCGACCTCTTCGACTGCATCGAGTGGAGGCAGCATGTGACGCTGGCTGCCATCACGGTACGCTGTCGCCATGGCGTCCTGCTTGAACGTGGTGCGTATGACCCTTACTCTAGTGCGTGGCGAAGGCTGGCAACGAGGTGCTAGCAGGCAGCGCGGATGGCACCGTCGTGCTCTTGGACGCGGACACGGGCGTCGAGCTCCGGCGGTATGCCATGGAGGGTGCTGTCGTCGCGGCCACGTGGCACCACAAGGTGTTTCTCGTCAGCGACCACGTCGGCAATGTGCTCGGCGTCGACAAGTTTCGCCTTCGGTGGAAGAAGCGCATGGACATGGGCGGCGCGCCCGTGCACGGTACGTTCATATCTGCGTCCTCGTGATTTAGAGCTGCTCGTAGTGCAGAGCATGGCGTCAGTGCGACTGCTCGACGCGGAGAACCAGCTTTGCGCCTACGTCGCTATGAGGTAGGATACGCGACCGCCACCAACATCATGTACAACGGACATGCGTAGCTTGGGTGGCTTGGAGCTTCTCTTGACCCACGAAGGCCACGTCCTCTGTCGCCTTCCAAGCCCCACGGTCATCACATCGATCGTCCCGACGATCGACGGCGGCCGTGTCTTCTGCGGTGGCGCCAACGGGTCCGTGCACCGCGTTCACGACCTCGTCCCACACGCATATTCATGCCTAGGACACTGTACGAGCTCATTAGCGTCGGCAAGGGCTCTGCCCTCGCGCTGCAGCTGTGCAGCGTGGCCACCGTACGTCGCTGGTTCATTTGCTACCACTGAAACTGCGTTAGGTGCCGTTCGCCATCTCATCGCTGCACATGACAGCGACATCCGTTCTTCTCGCGGGCTCGACCGCGCCGGTGCTCTATTCGATCACCTTGGCGTCCATGGCGGCCACGGCCATCTCGACACCACAAGCACCTGCGTTCGTCGCGCAGCTTCCATCGTCGGAGGAGCATGCGACTGCGATGCTGCTCGTGCTGGACGACCAAGAAACGCTGTGCAAAGTCGCGGTGCCAAGCAACGACGTTGATGCCAAGGTCGAAGCGAGTGCCTAAGGCTGGTAATAGACGACGCGGTTCCGCCCGTCAAACGGAAGGAACGTTGTTTGGATGCGTGGGTGCTTGGCGACAAGGTACGCGACGAGCTCGTCGTACGTGGTGACCGCGTCGCCACTGGGCGTCCGCCGGTGCGGGAATTTGTCGGCAAAGACGCAGCACGGCACGATCGCGAACGGTTTGTTGAAGGCGAGCGCGACGTCGACGATCACGTCGGTGGCTTCGTCCGGGTGCATCCCAAGGAGCAACGACACATGATGCATGTGCTCGACTTTGGTCTCGTCCGCCGTGGCGCCGACATACGATGCCTCCTCAAAGAGCTCGAGCCACTACCGAGGATCGTACATCCATCCATGCATGGGCGTGCCAAGGTACCTGGGGGACGTGGGCTTCGCCGACATGGGCTTGGAGGTACTGGTGCTGCCGCTTCGTGTACTTCATGGGCCGCTAAGTCCAAATGCGTCGGGTTGTGTTGGGATACGAGATGCGTACCGGGTCGACAAGCGTCGTTGGGATCTTGTGTTGATGCCAGAGCTCAAAGCAAACACCACCACGTCCACCGGCAACGTCCATGACACCCGAGCCACTCTGAAGCATCTCGATACCAAACGTCTCGACGAGCCACTTGGCAAAAATGCCCGCCCGATTGTGCTTGCTCTGCTTGGCTACGGGTGCAGTTTGTTCGTAGCTGTCATGGAGGGAGGACGGTACCGTGCGGATCGGTCGGGTCGTCGGCTTGGTGGGCGACGAGTCGTTTCTTGTGCAAGCGGTCGGCGAGCCATGCCTTCCGAAGCGCCTTCAGCTCCTTGACGTCGTCGTGGCGCATAGGACACGCGGCGCCCTTGTGGCACCGCCCCGTGTTGATCCAAAACTTGCACGGCACGGCAGCTTGTGCCTCTTTGGAGAGAGATTGCGTCGCTGTTGTCGTCGTTGTTGTCACAGGCACTGGCGTAAAGGTCTTGCCTACGGTCCGTTGAGCGCGCTGTGTAGTGTGCCACGTGTACCAGGCTGTGCTTCCTTCCACGGCGTTAGCACAGTGATGTCTCGCGCATGCAAGAGGTAGCCTGTGGGTGACTCGCTGAACGGCCGACTACATTATAAGAGCATCCTTGTTCTCATCATGGGCCATGGTCCAGCACGCACGTACGTTGCTGAGGGCAGCGTTTCGAGGACGCCATCGACCTTGACGATGTCGCCAAGAACGAGGCGGCTGCGAAGGGCCTTGACGTCGTCGACAGACAAGTCGTCTTGGATCTTGAGAATTGCTTCGACACGCGCGCTACCGACAACGACATCGAAGAAGGAGCACTTGCGCCTACGACGCGTCCTCCTAAATTTGCATGCATTCGTACAGACATGCGCACGAGAGCTTGCGTTGATGGACGAGCTGGCCTTGCACAGAGATGGGTTCCATCGTGCTAACTAGACAAGGTGTGAGCCGCCACTGCGGACAGGTGCCCACCTGCAGTTGCAAGTTGCGAATCACTCTGCCGCCAACGCTGCCCATTGCTCCATTGCTGCAATCTATCCGGACGCCAGTGTGGTATCCGGCAAAAGATACTGGAACTGCAATCTCGGAAAGGCCATGTCGGATCCAAAGAGCCGCGCGCAGACGTTCTTGGCGACGACCGCCAAGCAGCGCCTCACAACATACGACGGGAAGACGTGGGAGTACTTTGACGTTGGCCCACGCTCGGCCATGACCATCGTGCTGCTTCCAGACGCGATTGGCTCGGCGATCGCGTACCACGCACTCATGCCAGCGCTCGCCGCCGCCGGCTACCGCGCCCTCGCCGTACGCAATGACTGGCAATGAAGCTACTGACTTACAAGTCTCTTTATCGCTAGGTACACTATCCGGTCGTGTGGACGCACGATGAGCTGGTCCACAGCTTGGACCGGTTCCTTGACGCCCTCAGCCTCGCATCGGTATGGGCATCTCACAACAGTCTTGCGCAAACCTATCTTTGTAGGTGCACTTGTATGGCGCAAGTCTTGGGGCGACGTTAGCGCAGGTGCTTCATCTCTGCAAGGACGAGACATTGAGTAAAACTAGCGGTTCTGCTCGGCGTTTCCGCACCGCGTGCGCTCACTCGTGCTCACGCGCGGCTATGGCAAGAGCGTAGTGATCGGCGCTCGGTACCTAAAGATGTACGTATCGCTTTGCATACTGTACGTGGGTCATGGGCACGCAGGCTCTCGGTGATGCCCCGTTTCCAGCTGAAAAAGTACCTCAAGTCTCCATTCACGTTGCCGACACTCGTTTCTTGTAGACTGATGCTCAAGGAGCTCGACACGTCGGAGGATGTCGCAGAGCATGCAGCGTCGGACTTTCTGCGGCAGCAGGTTGTCTACTGCAGCTCTCGTATAGCCCATGAACATAGAGTAGCTCGAATGCTTGAGCCAGGCGCAGCTCGCATCGCGCTTGACGTTGGCTGGCCTGTCGAGTAGTGCTCCTGCACGGGATCTCCACATCCCGTACGATCGAGTCACGCTGCTTGACGTACTCGAATATCCTGTCCATCGATATCGACTAAAGCATCGACTAGAGCTATGGCTCCAACAACGCTGACGATTCCGACCAACGCGAAGACATGTATGGGCGGTTCAGTGACGCGAAAAAGGTCAACTAACGCGATCGCCATGTGCTCGTTTCGCTGACTATCGTTTGCAGGCACTTCTCAAGGCGTCGGGGCGCTTCCCGTACCTCTCGCACCCGGACGACGTGGTCTTGTACCTTCAGGTGGAGACTCTTCATTCTCTCAAAGTCATTATTTCATCGACACAATCAGGTGCACTTGCGAGCCCATGCGTGCTAGCTGCCATCGGCTGCCGATGCATTTGCGTCGTCCCGACCCACACGAGCATTGGGACGTTGTTGGATCACTTGCTCGTATCGCCGGCCCGCTCATCACAGAGGCCTAACTCTACGCTTTCTATACCACGTGTATTCGTATTCTTTCGCTATACCTTCGCACGTACCCAGGCACGACGAGTCGACGGCCTATGTCATGTGCCTGCGAAGTTGCCGCCTTTAGTTGGTGGTCAATGCAGTCGACAAGTCGGTTGTAGTCGTTTAGTCGCAAAGTTAGTCGGTTCAAAGTCTCTCTAACTCGATATTCCCTGTCGCAATGCATATTGATTGTCTGTATAAAAATACGTGCAAAAGCGTATGGAACGTATGTAATAAAAAAGAAAGGCCACCAGAAGAGTGGTGTGTGGGGCATTTGCGCTTTCCAGCGGCTCACACAGACTACCGACTTCGACGATGGCGAAATCCATGGGCTTCAACCCGGCCGCGGGCCTCTCGGGCCTCCTCAAGGACGGCCACAAGCACTTTGAGGGCGTCGATGAGGCCGTCGCCAAGAACATCGAGGCCGTCAAGCAGCTCGCCGACATCTCGCGCACGTCGCTCGGGCCCAACGGCATGCGCAAGCTCGTGATCAACCACCTCGAGAAGATCTTTGTCACGTCCGACACGGCGACGATCGTGCAGGTAGAGATTTCGCATGGCAAGGCGTAAGGATGCCCACGACGTCGATTGTAGGAGCTCGAAGTCGTGCACCCGGCGGCCAAGATGGTGGTCATGGCGGCCAAGATGCAGCAGACGGAACACGGCGATGCGACCAACTTGGTCGTTAGCATTGCCGGCGAGCTCCTCATGCAGGCCGCGCACCTCCTTCGCATGGGTTTGCATGCGTCCGAGATTGTCACGGGCTACAAGAAGGCGTACGAGAAGGCGCTTTCGATCTTGGAGTCGCTCGAGGTCCACCGCATCACCGACCTCCGCGACCAGGCGCAGCTCGAAACAATCATCCGTCCCGTCGTTGGCGCCAAGCAGTACGGCTACGAGGACCTCCTCGCGACGCTCATTGCCGACGCGTGCTTGAACGTCATGCCCAACAAGCCCAAGGCGCCCAAGATCAACGTTGACAACATCCGCGTGACCAAGATCATGGGTGGCAACGTGTTCGAGTCCAAGGTCGTCAAGGGTATGGTCATCCAGCGCGACACGGAGGGCTCGGTCAAGAAGGTCGAGGCCGCCAAGATTGCGGTCTTTGGCTGCGGCATTGAGGTCTCATCGACCGAAGCCAAGTCGACGGTCCTTATCAAGTCGGCCGACGAGCTCATGAACTACAACAAGGGCGAGGAAGAGCGCTTGGACGAAGCGATCCGCAGCATTGCCGAGTCGGGCGCCAAGGTTGTCATTGCCGGCGGCTCGATCTCGGAGATGGCGCTCCACTTTCTCGAAAAGTACAAGCTCCTCTCGATCCGTATCCAGAGCAAGTGGGAGCTGCGCCGCCTCTGCCGCGCGGTCAACGCGACGGCGCTCGTGCGTCTCGGCGCGCCGACGCCCGAAGAGATGGGCTTTTGCGACTTTGTCGGCGTCCAAGAGATTGGCGGCAAGAAGATCACCATCTTCCGCCAAGAAGAAGAAGACGCCAAGATGTCGACGATCATTCTCCGCGCGTCGACCGACAACGTGTTGAACGACCTTGAGCGTGCGATCGGTACGTTCGTATATCGCTCGATCTCGGCTCTCATCGCCTGCTGCTTATAGATGACGGTGTCAACACGGTCAAGGCCGCGTGCAAGGACACGCGGTTCGTGGCCGGCGGTGGCGCGACCGAGATTGAGATTGCGCGTCAGATTGAAGCCTACGGGAACACGACGCCGGGCCTCGACCAGTACGCGATCAAGAAGTTTGCCGAGGCGCTCGAAATCGTGCCCCGGACGCTGGCCGAGAACGCGGGGCAGATGGCAACGCAGGTCATCTCGAGCCTGTATGCGGCTCATGGCGCGGGCAAGGCCAGTGCCGGCGTCGACGTCGAGTGCGAGAGCGAGACGGGTGTCGTGGAAAACATGCTGGGCGCCAAGGTCCTCGACCATTTGGTGACGAAGAAGTCGGCGCTGCGTCTCGGTGCGGACGTGGCCATCACGGTCCTCCGAGTAGACCAGGTACCGTCGCTCCGTTGCTCTTTCTTTTTGCTTATACTTGTCTACAGATTATTATGGCCAAGGCGGCCGGCGGTCCCAAGCCGCGTGGCATGTAAGAGACCAATGGATCTTCGTTTAGGGTTAGGACAACAAACAAAAACGCTAAGGCAGTAACAGGGCAACGCAATATCTCGTCGCCTCGCACCACCCACCCCACTACAACCCTGCCGGCTAGATAGATAGATAGATAGATAGATAGATAGATAGATAGATAGATAGATAGATAGATAGCCGCCCACGACGGCGAGCATCCCGCCTGCCGCATCCGACAAGGCGCACTGCCAAGCGCCCTGTGGCGACCGAGATGCAGTGGTTGCCGTCAAGCTGGAAGACTGCCGAGCTGTCGAGGCGTGGATCACATCATTATCCGAATATGTCACATCATCGGGGTTGGGGTTGGACATGTTCGCAGTTGAAACGCCGGAAACTGCAAACCGATGGGCAGTGGCGCGTCCGTCGAAGTGTTTGGCGACGGTGAGCTTGAGACGGCGCTCAAAGCGCCGCCGCGGTGGAGCTCGTGGGACGCCTTTCGCGCCGGCTTCAACAGCATCGTCAACGCCATTGTGCGACCGCCTCGGTGCGCCTACGAATCTCAATCTCAATGTCAACCACAAAAACAAATCTCTCATTGTAGGCACGACTACAAGGACGCCGACTTGGGACCAACGACGTTTGTGATCGACACGATCGCTGTCGAGCGGCGGGACTTTACCGTGTGCAACGAGACCGGCGCGACGCTGGTGTGCAGTCTCTGGGCTCCGATCGATGGCGCCGTTAGCTTTTTTGAGATTGAGATTCGCAGCTCATTTCCATGTAGACGCACTGCGTACTGTACGTGCATGGCATGAGCGGGTCGCGCGTCGAAGGCCTTAGCCTCCTGCCGTCGCTGCTCCAGCGCGGCGTGGCGTTTGCAGCTCTCGACTGCGCCGGCTCGGGCAAGTACGGGCGTCTCGCTGCTGCTACGCGTGCTCAGACTTCGCAATGCTTAGATCTGACGGCGCGTACGTCTCGCTCGGCCTGCACGGTGGTGTCCACGAAAACTGTGGACAAGTTGTCATTGCATCCTAGAAAGCCGCGATCTATTGGTCTGCGTCCGGGCGCTGCAGACGTACCACTCGGGGCAGTTGACGTCGCTGAGTCTCTGGGGCCACTGCATGGGCGCCAACGCCGTGCTCCTCCTCTGCAATGCACTCCGTCTCGAGCGCACGCATGTCCAAGTAGATTTTATATGTTGTCGAGGTTGATAGATTGATCTTTTGATATTTTGTAGCGGACGCTGGCGGTGCGGGACTTGCGCACGTCGGTGAAGTCGCTCGCGGGCCGCAACAGCATCGTACTCGATGCCACCATTGCTCCCTGCGGTGCGACCTTGTTTGTGCCATCGACTGAAAAGAAGTGCACGATAGGCGACGAGCCCGGGATCGAAGCGGGGGCCGTGCTCACGCACATCAACGGGTCGAGCGTCGCAGCCATGGGCGCCTTGGCAGCGCTATCGCTACTGGGAACGAATGCGTTTGCCAACGTTGAGTTTGCTGAGCTCCAAGAGCATCCACAGCCGTACGACACGCCGTCTTTTGTGACGTGGCTCGTGCTTGACAGCGGCTTTACAGACCTCACGTCAGTCCTTCTCGACATGGTATTTCATCTGTCAAACCACCAAAGCAAGCATTTATTGGTAGGTCAAAGCCGCCCAGCGAGACGGCCTCTCGTTGCCGAGCTTTCTCGTCTCGGCCGCACTCGCTCTCGTGCGCGCGTCCATCAAGCGCCGGGCGGGGTTCGATCCGCAGGCCGTTGCGCCGCACGCGGCCATTGAGCAGTGCCATCTCCCCGCCATCTTTCTACATGCTACACAAGACGACTTTGTCCAGCCGCACCACAGGTAGACCAGACCAACGAGACTGGCGCGATGAGACATGTCTTTTAAAGTGAAGACAACTTTAAGGCGTGCGGAAGCGTTGTCAAGCACTACATTGCACTCAACGGTACGTAATCTCTCGTGTCAACCGACATCGCAAGGCAGCGAGGTAGGTACTCGCGACATGCGACGGAGTCCATCATTGCTCCAACACGTCTGGCCGGTCGTGGACACGCTCCAGGGTATTCCTACCGACCAGATCGCGCCGTCGGACCTCGCGCCGTGGGCGACCGCATCAACGGCCACTCAGTGGACGCTGCTCGTACGTATTTCTTGGTGAAGACCTATATCGAAGTATGGCAGGACGAGTCGACAGAAGACGCTCAGGAAGACTCGATTGCAGCCTTTAGCGCATATACGACGGGCTACAGGTCCACCGCATCGAAAAGCTCTGGGTCAACATCTCTACTAGGGATCTCGGGTCCCATGTGGTCTACCTCGTCCACGTCTTTGCACCGCGCGGAGAGTTTTCAAAGCTTATACGAGACACCGACGTTGGGTTTGGCGCCAAGGAAGCCTCGCGCCGGCCATCGTCACCGACCAAAGAGGACGATGCGGAGCTGCGCCAGTTTTGGGAAACAGCGTGCTCCAAAACGCTCTCGTGGCGCAAGTCGTGGCGCCGGGCGTCAACGGGGTCGGCGCCCCCCGCACCGATCGAGGGGCTCTCCGTATGCGCGTCTCCCTGTGCTCGTCGTCCAATGTCGGCGTAGGTGCCGGTTGCACCGAATGACTACAACGCGGATGGTGACCTCGATTTTGTCGTCGAGCGGCGCTGCCACGACGTTAAGCTCCTCTTGACAAAGCTGAGTCAGGTGCACGGCAGCCTCCACACCCCTCTCCAGCGACTGCGTACGTTGGACGTGTTGACAAAGTATGCTAGCGTGGGTTAGGGTCGCGGCTGGCGTACTCGACCAAGATGGGTGCAGCCCGACTACGAGAGCGGCAAGAGCTTCTGAACGAAGCGCTTCGAGTCATTAGCACGTGCCCCGAGCTCTTCCAGCACCCGACCGTCCTTGCCTTCTTGCAGATAGAGCCCTGTTCGTAGCTATTTGCCTTCGTGGATTGATATTATACTTTCCATCTATCCAACTATCCATCGATCGAGCATCGCAACCCGTATCTTTGAAACGTCGTCATTGGAATCTTGGGTCGACGGAGAGCCTTGCGCAATGTATTCCATGTGGCTAGGAGTTGGTCTCGGTCTAGCCGCCGCTGCCACTCTCGACTGGTCGCTCGTGCCGCTGAACGCGACGTCGGTCGTGACGACGACACCTCTCGGCTGCACGTGCAAGCAGCCGACCCCAGTGTCTGTCCCTCGTGCTATGTTATTGCCGCTGACGTTCATAGGAACTAGCACGGGTGCGTGCAGCAGCTTCACATGTGCTTGCGCGTGCGATGTGACGGCCGGCATTTGCGACGCGCGCTGCTGCTGCGACCCCGAGGTGTGTCTTCGTACGCCTACCGCCGCTAGGATTTAAGGGCTCGTGTAGTGCTCGCCGGTCCAAGTCGCAGCCATGCAAGGCAGCTGCCTCGCAACCGACGTCCCTTTCGCGATTCCCTACTGCGACGCCTCGCTGGTGGCCATCAACACCAAATATGGGTCTGCCGTCTCGATGTCGTAGCTATCTACTTCTTAAATTGGTGGGTAGGATGCTCGAGATGCCCGATGCAAGCAGCGATGCCATGTGCGTGTACGTGGCCAACAGTGACGTCAGCGGCACGTACTATGCCCCGCCAACACCCGGCGCTGTCGCGTCGTCGACGTCAGAACCGTCCTACCAGCAGGTACCATGTGTTATGACGCGAACGGTGAAGCACGGAAGTCTCTAGTCGCTACTGACGCAGTCACCGTCAATGGCGTTTTCTACGATGTACCGCAATGGAGATTTTGTGCAGGTGGGTCCTCGGACTTGGTGTGTAGAGTGTCACCAACTGCGTAGGCCTATATCAACGGATCGACCGCGACGCCGAACGGCAACGGGTTTCTCATGCTTCCGGCCGCATCGCTGAGCTCGTTTACGTGCTTGTCCATCAACCCGATTGCATATACGGTGGGCGGTGGCACCGTCGCATCGCGCTGTCACGTGTTGCTCGATAACGTCACGGCGTCGTGCACGGACCTCGGGATGGCCCCGTTCGTTCAGAAGCTCTCGGTGGCGACAACGCCCCGTGCCACGACACTACTGCCCGTGACGCTCGTACGTCACCACTGCATTGATCACAACAGTATGACCGTCGTCCATTGTAGACCGAAGCGAAGGTACACACGGTGACGGACGCGGTCGACGTGACGGGCAATCCATCGGCTTGGGTGCCGTCGGTGACTGTTGACACCCAAATGTGCACCGGTGTCTTGCAAGAGGTATTGGCGCATATGTGGTGTGACGCGGGGAGCCGACATGGCTATCTCGTAGCTCACGTACACGATCACGCACGATGGCAACGGCACAATTCTGAGCGTTCAAGCGTCCGTGGTCCTTGGCTCGGTGCCGCTGGGTGCGACGTCGCTACCCCGAACATTCCGCGCTCGATTTGTAAGCACAAGCTTCGTCGTTCGGTCGCAAGCGTTGGGGAACTTGATCTCGTACGAACGGTCCGGGAACCCCGGATACCTCGATCACTTGCCCTTGCGTGCCGGTGTTCTTAGCACCAATGGCTCGGTGCAAGCCATCGCCGAAACGCCCGGCGGCTTTCCGCTGCTGCAAGCCGGACCATGCGCCAGCAGCACGACGAGTGGCGCCAAATTTGGCCGCGATCTGCTCGTCTCGTGCTCGCTACCATTGTCGCTGACCGATTTCAAGGCGTTTTGCCTCTCAAGCGTGGTGCCCCAGGCGCTGCAGGTGGCCACCACGCACGTCGCTGCCTACGGCAACGCCGATCCGTTCAAAGTCAGCGACTGGGTGGCCGTCACGGCACCGGCGAACGCCACGTCCGGTGGAGTCTACTCCAACGGCGTGTGTACCAACGTCGTACGTTGCTGTTTTGCAAAACGATTTCGCATCGTCTGAGACATGTCGTGTAGATCACGAGCGCCCACATTTTCGTCTCGTACACTCTGACGGGCGACGTGCAAGCGCCACAGCGCAAGATCACGTCGGTTCTCGTGAGCTACGCCAAAGAGAATGTGATCTTTGGGACCACCGACGCCAGCATGTCCCTTCTATTGTCGACGACGCTTACGTATCGCGAGGTCGCGTCGTTGACACCGACGGACCTCATTTTGCCGGCGCCAGACATTTGGTTCACGCTGCCCAGTGACGTATTCTACCCGTTCTTGCTCGCCTCGTCCGCGCGCCGCGTCGACGTCCAACTGCATGGCGTCATCCTCGCACTGTATTGTTGGATGCGCTAAGCGTCTGTATTTCCGACGACAAGCGTTTCTGTCTTTTCACATTGGACGCACTATTCGCAACAATACTATCGTAAAAGCCTCTCCAATATCTCGCTTTTGCACCGACGTCCTTTGAAGTTGGAGGGGCATCTAACGCTATGGCTCGAATCAAGAAGAGTGTTCTTGTCGACTTCTTCTAGTCTACAATTGTACGTTGCGCCAAGTCTCGCGCCCCGTCGCTCGGAGGAGCCAACTGTCGCGGGACACATCAAATGGAGACGCCTCCCACATGTACGCAGGTGACCACGGGCTTCCAGGCGAGTCGGAAGCCGCCGGCCACGGTCGACTCGATCAAGCAGGCCTTTGAGGACATCTCGTTCGATCGCATGCGACGCCACTTGACGGCGTCCAAGAAGCCGTTCGTCGTCATCTCTGGTGTCTCGGTCGAGGTCTTCAACGCCTACTTTGAAGACGACGAAGCCGCTCCGGTCGCGCTGCGCTTTGTCGACCTCGTCAACGGCAGCATCATCATCACGGACTTTCCGTCGGAGGCGCACGAGTATTTCATCGGCAATTTCGAGAGCGAGTTCCTCCACGCTTCAGGCAATCATAAGGAGGTGCGTAAGAGTGGCTCGTTCACGGCGTCACGCGGCCAAGGCATCATGAAGAAGGCGGCCGACGCGACGTTTGGTCCAATGCACGATACGCTCAACCGAGGCCCACGGCCGACGCTTGATGAAGGACCACCGCGCGTGTTGCGTGACGTCTCGGACTGGGTGACGCTAGCCGTCGAGGTCGGCTACGCGCAAGCGTGGACGGGGCTTCTTGTCGCAGGCAACTGGTGGTCCAACTACGTCGGCGTCAAGTACGTGGTTTTGGCGCGCATCGACGAAGAGGCAACGACGCTGGAGTACCGATTGTACGAGATTGTGCTGGTGGGTGATCTCGCGGTGCCGTCGCAGCAAGGGACGCTGACGGTCGAGGACGATGCAGCTGCAGGTGATCACACCCTCCGCTTCGACACGCGCGTCGTTTTGGCGATTCCTCCTGGACTGGATTTGCCGCCTCAAATGAACGACTTTTGCAACGTGAACTTGCTCGACCTGCTCCAAGAAACTCGTCGCAGCATGATCAACGGGTAGCTAGATATGATCTTGCATCGTATTGTGTTAACGCTGAGCTACGAATGTGCTTCACCAACCAACAACATCGCAAGCAAGGTGTGGCCAAGAAGCAGTCGTCATTGTCTGGGATCCGTCGTCCATCTGCTCGGAAAGCAGCGCACCACGCTGCATGAAGACGAAACGTCAATTCGGTCATGGCTTTGAAACATTGTGGGCTCACGTGTGGCAGCAACTGAGATTGCGTTTGATCTTTTTGGCACCCAACGTTGGGCTATCCGATACGAGTGGGTCACATCTTTGCTGCTTCGACGCCGAGAGGTCGCCCACCCGCGTGCTCTTGCACACAACTATGTCACGTTCTCGTTGACGCGCATCAAATGCACGAACTGGACGCCAATGTAGCAGAGCCACTAGTTGTCCGCATCCCGACCGCCATATATTGGCTCGCAATTGTGCGACCATACATGTTTGAGGGGCGTCCAGAACCCAGAAGATGTTATCAACGACAGCACCGTGTACCCGTCCGCGAGGCTCACGTGGCTCACCAACTCAACATGTCGATTTGGATTCAAACGGCTCGCAATGGTGCGATTGGCATTGTATTCCTGTCGTCGGTTCGACTAGTGATCTTTAGAAACTTATAAACTGCGATAAACGAAATGCTCACTTCTTGTTGTTGTAGATACACGCATACACCTCGTGCTCAAACCGATCCTTTTCACGCAGCTCGGCGCCGCAGCCCAAGGTGCATACCACGAACCGCATCGGGCAGATGGCTTCGTGCGCCTTGAGGTGGCGCGCGACGAGGTGCTCGTTGCAGCCCAGGGGGCACCAGATGGTGCGGTACTTGCATTCGAACGTCTCGTGCTGCGTCTTTTCATGGGCCAGCAGCGGCGTCTTCATGCAGCCGTCGCGGCGAAAGACACACTCGACCGGCCGCATGCGGCACTCGGCCGTCTTGTGCGTCGTCATATCAAGCGCGAGGATCCCGCCGTCGCCACATACACCACACGCCTGGATGCGATGCGGGCACTCGGTGCGCTGGTGGAGCTCCAAGAGAGTCGCGACAATGTCTTGTGTTCCACACCACTCACATGGCACGGGACGCTTGGTGCAGAGACTACTGACGTGCTCTGCCATGTCGCACGCTCGGACGCGCCGTCCGCAGCCAAGTGTACATGGCACGAACCGGTAGCGACACTCGCAGAGGTGGGTGTCGACGTCGATAGCGCGGACAGTATGGCCGCAGCGATTGGGACACACCATCGGGCGATGATCGCAGAGTTGTTCGTGGTCGGCTTGCGTCTCGGGTGTCGTGCCGTCGACGCACGCAAACACACATGCGATCGCGCGCTTGACACAGGCATCGGACTCGTGGACCGAGCGGTCGCAAAGCCGCACAAAGCCGCAACCGAGGCGACAGCGCACGTCACGGCAGTCGCACTCGAATTTTACATGATTGCTCACGTCGAGGGCCCGGAGTTCCATTGCGCAAAGCGGGCACGGCACCAAGCGTAGACGACAAGACTTTGTATGGGCGTCTAACTTGTGCGCGAGGCTGCCTTCGCCACAGAGCGGACAAGCGACCGTGCGATGGATGCAGTCGTGTTGCATGTGTTGGCGCAATCTACTCGCAGCGACCGTCAAGCCGCACTTGGGGTGGGTACAGGGTAGCGGCCGATGCGGGCACTGGCGTACTACGTGGTCGGGCACCTCTTCGCTCCACAGGTCAGGCTGGTCGCAGCCGAGCGGACAGGTCACGATGCGTTTGGGGCAGGTGTGCAGCTCGTGTTCTACATGCTGCATTGGTGCCCATCCAAGAAGAGAAAAAGTCGACCTTGAAGTGGGTTTCGCATGGCGACAACGAGACCTTGGCCGGCCTCGACGACGGGTGCCGTGCGCAATTTGACAAAGCCGCAGCCCCACCGACAGATACCGTATGCTGCCAACCGATTGAAGATCTCGAGGGTCTGTTGCATGTCAGCCGCGGCTTCCGAGAGGAGTCCCAGCACGGTTTCGTTGCGCCGTTCGGTTGCAAAGGTAAACGCGGATCGGCCGTGCACGTCCTAGCACCGCATGATGTCATGACACGTTATCATGCATGTGTACTTTGAGATGCACGTTGGCCTTATGCTCGAGCAAGAAGCGCACGAAATCTTCCTTATTGTTTTGCGCCGCGTGCATGAGCGCGGTCTGGCCAAATCGCGGGTCTTGAACGTTGACATCGGCGCCACGGTCCACCTATTTTTCATACATGTGATCTGTCATCCTGACCAAACTTGGCGTTTCATCCGTATCGTACGAGCATGCGGCCGCACATGGTTGTGCCGTAGTGCGCTGCGACGGAGAGCGCCGTGTGACTAAAGGCGCCATCGAGCGATGTGCTGATAAAGTTGGGCGACGGCCGACCCATCTTGCGGTCCAAAAGGTATTCGACCATGAGGACGCAGACGCCGTCAATATTGGTAATGAAACGTTCTTCACTGGCTGCCTACAACACACTTGGTTGCTGCGAAAACGCGCGTCGTATCGAGGTACCTGCATGAGAAGCGTCATGCCAGCGGGCGTCGCGTGGTCTGGAAAGGCACCAGCGTCCAAGAGACCACTGGCGGCAACATAGTCTTTGGCCGCAATGGCGGCCTCGAGCTGGTCGTGCATGTGGCGCATGTGCCGTGTCTTGCGCAAGATCGTCTTGCGATTCAGTTGCTCGAGTCGCGTTGCGTTTTGGTGCTTGCTGCTTGCAACGACAATTGTCGCCACTTCGTTTACCGTCGCGTCATAGATGGACCCGATCCGGTCCCAGCCACGCCCGTCGCGGTACGGCATATAGGGGAAGCGGGATTGCCCCAAGCGACACGAATCATCCAGCGTCAGGCGCGATGGCGGCAGCACCACTTGCCACGCGTGCAGACCAAAGTCCTTGCGGCGGGGTTGGCCAAACTCGATTTGGCCTGGCATCATGGCCGTGGGCTCAACGTACGTAGGCTGCCACACGGGTGCGTGGCCGACATCAACGAGCAGCGGCAGCATGTCCGTGTGTCCGTTGTATGCGGCTTCGTGCAGCGGCACGCGCTGGGTTTGCCGGCAGCGTCGAAGTGCCTTATAGATCGGGCGCATGGCCATGTACCGTACGATGCGAAAGGCTTCGGCATCGTTGGTTCCGACGTACTTGGCTTGCTGCACGTGAAAACGCACTGTAGTTTGGAGCAGCTTGGCCGCCAGAGACCGCTCCGTGTCCTAAACAGGCATATCATTTACGGTATGTCATGATGACATATCACGCAGCGTACTGAGTGCCCGCCGTTGGCGCCGCGACTCAAAAGTATCCGGACGGCACGCTCATTCCCAATGGCCGCCGCGTAGCTTAGTGGCGTGTGTCCATTCAAGCTCGTAAATGCCAAGAGCTCACACACGAGGACGCGACGCGTCTTGAGATGAAACTCGGCCGCCGCGCGCTGCTCAATAACGACAACGCGGTCCAGCTCCTCTTGGCGCGACGGCAAGCACCGGTGCGCCGTCTTCATGTCAAACGTGGCAGTCGCCAAGTCGATATCGAGCTGATGAATTTCAGCGAGGACGCTTTCGCGTCGTTCTTTGAGCACCTTGGCTTCGGCGCGGGCCTTTTGATTCATCTCGACGCCTTTGACCCACGTGCCAAGTGCGTCGACAGTCGAATTGGTGATCGCATTGCGGCGGCCGTGGCGCTGCTTATGTATAACCGGCGCCGCGTCGAGCACCTCGGGCACCACCAATTCCGCGGCCCCAATCTCACGAAACGCGTCATGCTTCAAGCACTCACGCCGAACCTTGAAGAGCACGTCGGGCTCGATCGCGAGCTCGTGGATATCGAGGAGACGCCGCAGAAAGCCGCGGTCCATGAGCATGGCTTGCGCCGTCTCCCACCACTCGTGCGTCGAGAACGCACCTGTCTCGTTGAGGCGCTTGGGTTTTGGCAGAATGCCCTGGAAGAGCGCCATGGCTTTGAGAACGACCACGAGGTCCTCCGGGGGGTTGGGTCGGCTGATGATGTTGATGATGTCCTGCGCCGTGATCTTGCGGACAATGTCCCGGACGGTCGTTTCTGTGTGCACGCGAACAGCCTCGAGTTTGGTTTCCTTGGTTTGTACTTGGGCGAGCTGACCCTTGTTGTACTCCATCGAGTCGAGGAGACGCACGACGCGCATTTGCTTGGCTTCTGTATCGGCAATCGTCGCGTTCATGATCTCAATGTGCTCGATCAAGTCGGTGCGGGCGCGAGCGAGGTTTGCCCGACTCTCTTCGAGCTCCCGTGCCAAGTGCCACCCGTGGCTGTCGCGATACGTCATTTCCCCGCCAGCAACAAGCTCTTCCATAGTGTCATAGTCGGACGCGCCAATCGCAACAAAGAGCCGCCGTTGCTCCTACGGTGCCTGCCACGTAAGACGTGTCAGTATGACAGATCCCACCTGTTCCAGCTTCTCCCGTTTGGCAAGCACATCGAGAATCGTCGCGTCGCCCATTTGCTCGGCAATCGAGAGTGTCGAGAGACCGTGCCGGTTTACATGGGACACGATCGCACGGTACTCGAGAAGGAGTGGGATCAGGTGGGCTTGTTTGTTCAAAATCGCTTCGCCGAGCGGCGTTCGGCCCCGAGACGACTCTTTGTTGACGTCGGCGCCGTGCTCCAAGAGGGCACGCATGAGGAGCACATCGCCTTTGGCACACGCAAGCACGAGCGGCGTGTACCCCGTCTCAAACTCTGCATCGACTTCGTCGAGGGCAATCTTGCTGAGAAAACCAAGCACGACATCCATGTCGCCGCATTTGAGCGCCCACATGAAGCCATGCAGCCGGTGCTTGAAGCACGGCACAAGCCGCTCGCGCACGATCCACGCTTTTAGCGGCCGCGTACACGCGACGCTACCCGCGCCACACGGTACCTTGTGGTGGTCGCAGCTTCGAAGATGGCCAGGGAGCTGAATTGCTGGCACTTTGGCGCCGCATCGATTCGGGCACGACACAAGACGCCGCACACAGTCGGCTTGCATGTGCCGCGGCAGCTGGGACATGGCGAGTTCGATGCCGCAGTGCAGTGGACAGTACGTCGGACGATGCATGCAGTCGTCCAGATCGTGCTTGGCCACATCGCACTCGCGTATCCGTGTGCCGCATCCCTTGTGACAGTACAGTTCCCGCTGCGCGCAGTCGAATTTCACATGGTGGTCAAAGACTAAAAACTGGATGGTTGTCGCGCACTGAGGACAAATCACCGCGCGCTAATGAAACCGTCACATCAGGCAACGCAACATGACATATCACACACGTGGGGGCAATCTTGGAGGACGTGACTTTGAACTTGGTTGACGCACAGATGCATGCCGCAACCGAGTTCGCACACACCAAATGGTCGTTGCGGACACTCATTGCTGTCGTGCGACGCAAGGTCGCATGCAAACACATGCGCCTGGCAGCGAGGACAGGGCACGAGACGTTTGGGACAGACTGTGGCCTACGCACCGTGACGTGGCATTGTCTTTTACACTGCGACGTACCTCGTGTTGGTCAAAGGACGCCCGAGGAACTTGTGCTCCACACGTGAGCCGACAGCTGCGCGGAAACTGCAAGCACGTCATGCGCACGTGGCTTTCGATGGCCTCGAGCAAGCATGGCTCGTGACAGTGCGGGCAAAACCGCTGGCTACGGCGACCTTTCATTCAAGTCCTCGCATGAATGTTGCATATACCTCTTGGGGCACTCGGACTCTTCGTGCTCTAGCAGCGCTTCCATTGTCAAGGCTTTGTGGCAGCCGAGACGACACACGAGAATGCGCTTCGAACACCGCTCTTTCAAATGGTGTTCAAGCTGGAACTTGGGACAGCGCTGACCGCACTCGTTGGGACAAGCGACGCTTTGCAGTGGGCACACACTCGCCACGTGGTCAAGCCGCGCACTCGCCGCCATGGACGGACAGACCCAGTCGGTGGCCAAGACGGCTGGGTCGAGTGCATGGTAGACATAATTGAGGTTGACCCAGACGACACGGCCTCGAAAGCTCACATAGTGCTGCGTGGTCTCGGGGTCGTACTTGACCACCATACCGAGCTCGATACGGTCCAAGTCCCGGGCGTGGTAGGCCTCGAGAAGCGACGCTTGACGCGCCTCGAGCCACGTGCGGAGGTACGCTTGCGCCCGCACTAGCGCAAACGACGACACCTTCTCGTCGAGGTAAGTGGCGAGGTGCTGGAGGCGAGTGAGAACGCCGTTGCGCGTCACATCAACGCCCGATGGCGCCATGTCAGACCGTGTGCACGTCGTTTCTTCTGCGTCCCAGCGTGTGTCGCCAAAGAAGCACATTTTCTTGCCGCACAGATCTACAAGAGCTGAGACAATGACGTCACCACCGCGTCTACCATATGGGCACCGGGTCACACGTTTGGGGCAGTCGCCGCAGTGGGGCTCGTAATGACCGTAGATGTACTGCGCTTCCATGCGCGCGCCGCACCCTAGCGGACACAACTTGATTTCTTTCGGGCAGTCCCACGCCAAGTGCTCATCGAGGAATGTGGCAATCTACAGCGCATATATGGCTCATACATAGGGCTGGAAATCACGAGACGCACGAGGTTGGACACGCCGCAGTGGTTTCGACACGACACGATGCGAAAGGGACACGTCGTGTCTTCGTGAATGTGACGCGCCTCGGGCGGCCCGAGCACCGCGTCACAGCCATGACTGGCCCAATGGCACGGTCGTTTGCGGCGAATGCACAGACTCTCGGTGTGAAAAGCCGTGTCTTCAAACGTGTGGATCTCGCCGCAGCCACCGTAGAGCTTGCACTCGACGAGGCGCTTGGAACACGCGCTTCGCTTGTGCTTCTTGAGGTCCTGCCCCAGCATGGCGTGCTCACAGGCAGGACATGCGATCGTGCGGAGTGGGCACTCGTTGGCCTGCATGGTGTCGGGTTAGAGAAGGCTATTGGTGCGGTTGGACGACCTCGTGCTGGGGCCGCGCTTGCCACTGCAGCACCTTGCCGCACTCGAGACGGCACTCGACAGGTCGGTAGTGGCAGTGTTCTGACTGATGCAGCTGCATGGTGCGCCACGGCAGCACCGCCGCGCATCTACATGGCATTGGAGACAACGCAGTATGACATACCACAATCGCTCTACCCGAACTGGAGGTTCACGCACGTGACATCGCGGTACGCGCAAGTTCGCTTCTACACACGATTCTCAGCTACGCGCGTACACATGTGCGCGAACTTCATGCTCGGCGAGGTGCTGGCTCTGCATGTGCTCCTTGCACTTCTCACATGCAACGTCGCGCCGCGGACACTTGTGGGCTTCGTGGTACCCGATGAGGTCGTGCGCGTTCTCGGTGCCACAGCCGAGGGCGCACGCCACGACACGCGTCTTGGCCTGCAGCGTCGTGACATGCGTCTCGTGCGCGCGCGCCTGGTCGCACGCGCCTTGGAGCAGCGCGACGACGTCGGTATGCCCCCCGGCGGTGGCATAAGCCATGGCCGACTTGCCTACAACGTCTCTACATCAAGGGAAGGTCACTATGACAGCTCATTTTGTGCCCAAGTGTACTCGGCGAGAACGTGATGCAAGAAGTGCGTGTGCCACTCGCTTGCTTCGTTTGAGACGTAATCCGGCTGGCTACTTTGGGGTAGGAATCTCTCGCGGTATTTGCTTAGTAGAATCGCCACCACGTGGGCTTTGCCATTCCGAGACGCGTGACTCAGCGCCGTCATCTTTTCCCGGGTCATGTACTCGACACGTGCGCGGTGTTGCAAGAGCAACTGCACGGCGTTCGTGTGGCCCGAGTAGCTCGCCCTACATCACGCACGTCATCACGTCATGACCCGAACCACGTCGGGATATGGCATACCACGTCAGCGCTGTATGCCGCAGCTTGGATTCATAATCCACCATGGCCCCGTGCTGCAGCAGACAGCGCAGACCCTCCACGTCATCGACCGAGGCGGCCTTCGTCAACGCCGTCCACCCTTGCGCGCTCTCCGCGTTGACAAAGAACGGCGGGCCATTCGGGAACGCGGCCGAGTACATATCGTGCGAGACGGCGGCGGACGTCACGAGCGCGAGCACCTACACGCATTGCATCCGGCTCTGTTTTCATACCACGGTCATCGCACCTCGTGCGGTGCGTACGGCGAAAGCAGCGCGTGGAGTTGCGTCGTAAGTGCATCGTTCATCTGCGCAATCGCGTCGTGCTGGGCCGCCGCTTCTTGATTGGCATGCGTCACCCGGTGCGCGACAATGTGGGCTTGTACCGCCAGCTCGAGGCGACGACCGACGTGGACGTTGTTGGTGCGCCGCGCCCAGTCGAGCGCAGTCTTGCCACTCGGATCCTTTGCAAAGATGTTGGCGCCGCGCCGGAGCAGAATGTTGACCGCGTCCGTCGTGTCGACGTCGGTCGTCGCGGCGGCCTTCATGAGCGCAGTCTTGCCGTGGCGGTTGGCGGCATTGACGTTGACGCCTCTAACGACGCCTCATGAGCACGCATGCAGCTCATCGCCATCACGCACCGGTCCAGGAGCAAGTCGAGCACGTCGATTTGGTTGTAAGCGACCGCATGGAGCAGCGGCGTGTCACCGCCATTGGCTTCGACGTCCACTGGGACTTCGCCCGAGTCGATCATCCAAATGACGAGCTGCATGTCATGGCGCCGAAGCGCATCTTCCAAGCGCTTCTGGACCTTGAGTCGTCCCATGAGACCGTTATTGTACGAAACCGAGACGACGAATCGATATAATGACGTGGAAGGACGTGGTCGCCTGCTACCACCTCTGTGTGCCCCTCAGCATCGTACAACGCCCTAACCTGCTTGCGTGATTTCTCTACTGTTGACGTAGATGGTGAGTCTCCAGCTGCAGTGCCTCTTCTTGGGCGTGTGCCCGGGCACCGCTCTCCCCCTCCTCTTTGCACCGGGTTTGGCCAACGCGATCTTTGGCATATCGCTTGCATCCGCGTCGCTGCTGCTCGCCCTGGCGCTCTTGCCGGCACCGCGGCTTGTCCACGCTGTAGTGTCGGCCCTCTCGGCCGCAAGCCACTTTGTACTTGCCTGTCTCTGCCTCCATGTGGTCGCGACCGCCGCGTACGTTGCTGCGATCGATATGTCATGCTGACGCAGAGCGTAGGGACGCGAGTGATCTCGTATGGACTGCTGGGAGCTCAACGCTGCAAGCTTACTACAAGTCGCCCGAGAACGTGCGCGCCGCGATGGTAACGCTGAACGGCGCAGTCGCTAGCATCCAGCTGGTCCTTGTCGTGGTCCTGAGCTGCAACATTGGCATTTACATGGTGCAGCTCGCGTCCTATTGTATATCGAAATGCACGCTCGTGGCGTAATCGTTTGTCTATACAAGCCACTATGTGCTGTTGTTGGACGACCGGAGCTCGGCGATCCCGTCGAGGACGGCGCGTTCGTCCGGACGCAAGTTGGAGAGCCGCCAGCTGAGCTTCCACACGTACGCAAGGCCGTTGCCGTCACCGCACGCCACAAAGTTGCGCTGGCGCGGGTTGAATTCGACCGTGTACAAGGCGGCTGCGCGCTGCTTCCCCTCGGGCAGCGACAAGGTCGCAACCGGGCTGAGTCGGTTCACCTGCCATGGCCTTTGTAGCAAGGACACCCGCACATATGTCGCCCACCTGCAGATCGTAGACGTAGGCATTGCCATCTTCACTCGCGACCGCAAACACGAGCGGGCGTGTCTTGGACCACGCAACGGCGTACAGATAGCTCGTGCCGACTTGGAAGACGAGCAGCGGGTCCCGCTACGCGTTCCATGAATATGACGAAGGCACGGGGTGACTACTTGGAGGTAGTGGTACAGCCGCACGCTGCCATCGGACGAGCACGAGAGAAAGAGGCTGCCGTGGAAGGGCGAGAATGCCATGTCGTACACAGGGCCGCCGTGCGCTTCAAAGCTAAAGTCGAGTGCGCTCGGGTACAGGGCGCTGAGATCGGGTTTGGCGTCAAAAACTGCGCTGACGCGGACGTCTCGGAGCTTCTTGTCTTTGGCATACGCTTCGACGAAGCGGCGCAAGTCGGCTGGCTGCGGTGCCATACTCGCGATGCGAAGGGCGTTGTTGGACCACTTGAGCTCTAGTTTAATACGTGGGACAAGAACGGACGTCGGTGCCGGCGGTACCGCCTTTGGCCGTCATCTTGGTCGCCTTGTTGGCGAAACAGCGGCTAATGGACCCGGCTTCCGAGCCGACGACAAAGCTGCGGTTCGTCCGGTCATTTGTGCGAAATGCAAGTGCCACGCCTGCATGAGAATCGAGGTGTCGATGCAACAGAAAGGGTTTGTACCGCCAAAGAGCGGCGCTGGCGCGCCCTTGCTCGGCTTGAGCTTGGCTTTTGGGCCTAAAAGGTACCCTTCCACAGGGTATGCGAGCTTGTCCTTGAGCTGCCACACGAGCACCTTGCCGTCGCCGCTCACACTGGCAATCTAGATGGCGATGCATATTCTCGGCCTCCAAAAGGCGTTTACATTGTAGTCGCGTGCGACAGGGTCGTAGATCCAAGACACCTGGTCAAATGAGCCATAAGTTCTCATCTGGTGGAGGAATTACCTTGGCAATGGGCTCGCGATGAAAGTAGTCGCCAATGCCAGACGACGCGACGAGCGTCTCCTCCAGCGCCGTGTTCCAGACGAGCACTTCGCCGTTGAACGAGCCGGCGGCGACGACAGCAGGCATCGTTGGGTGGTGTGCAACGCACATGAGACCGCTCTAGCCGTCAGGTGAGCACTCGATTGACAAGAAAACGGGCCAGGTGTACCGAGGTCTCGAGCACGACACTGGGCTTGGCCACGTTGAAGTCAGGGTGGAAGATGTTCCAAAGACAGAGCGCGGACCGGTAGTCGCACCACCCCGAGTGGTCAAACCGGCCATACGCGACCGCAAGCACGGACCCAGTGGCATTCCACGAGACGCCCGTGCATTGCAACTGCAACGCCGAAGGGCGCCCGCCGTTGCCTAGAGTAAGGCCATGAGATGGGTTCTTGTACGAGCGACAACTCTCGGCCGGCGCCTTGAAGTGCGTGAAAAAGTCAAACGAGAGCGTAAAGAGGCGCGTGAGGTCGGCGTCGTCAGCATCGGCCTCCTCGACCGAAAAGTCTACGATGGCCGTGTGACAGCGGAGCCATGGAGCATCGTACCGTCAAAGGCCAGCGACTTGGCGCTTGCCTGCATCTCGCGCAACATGAGCCCACCGACATCGTTTAGAAAGGCCTTGACGCGGTCGTCGTCGACAGCCACCTTGCCGGTCGACGACTCGATCGGCTCGGTCTGGCACCAGCTGTCGGCAGCGATCGCAGTCTGCGTGTCCGCCGAGACAAACTCGACGCCCGGCGTCTCCGAGGTCGCATCGACGCCAACCTTCTTGACCGCTGCCTTGCTCCGGAACGAGCACCCGCCGCCGTGGGCGTCCTGGAAGCGCATGCGAGACCCTTCAAGATCGCGAACAAGCGGCAAGGTGAGTGCAGGTCGTGCGAGCGAGTGTTGGTCGTTGAAGTCGGACACGTGGCGTCAACGGGCTCCTTCGACGCCCCGGCAACGACGCTATGGCCGTCGACGAGCCTGCAGCACCGCTGTGGCCCTAGCATCTTGGTACGAGAGTGTGATCTCTTCGGACGACGGTAGGCGAGCCAGCGGCAATGGCGCTGGTCGCTGTATAAAAACGCGTCCATTCTATTAAAACCTGTCCTCCCGACAGAATAACCTATTGGACCCATCGCGTCGCACCACGGTGGCGAACTTTGGCGCACGTTTGGAATGCCACGGCGGCTGTTTAAACGCGTTGAACGTTGCCACGCGGATGCCGGATACGGTGCGGATAGCGACGGGGCAAGTGGCAGCGTATCCGGATGAAAAGTGGGGTTCGAAAAAGCTCATTTGACGACGACGAGCAGCAGCATGGACGCGTTTGGACCTGCAGCGATCGCGACCGAGGCCACGTCCGTGTACAAGGACGAGTGCATGATCTCGTTCGACACGCCGTTCCTGCCGGGCGGCCTCTACACGAACCTCAGCAGCTTCGAGTCCTTTGGCGAGGACTGGGTCGAGCAGGACGCGGCCAAGACCGGCCAGAAGACGTATTTGCATCAAAAGTACGTGCGCATTGGCATCATCAAGCAGCCGCAAGGCGAGGTGACGAAGCTCGCGATCGGCGTCGAAGGCGGCTTCCAGGAAGACAAGATTGAAATCGAGAAAACGTACACGGCCGTGCTCTTCAACGGCGCCGAGAAGACGGGCTACCAGCTCTCGGACCCGGAGCTGCCAGCGCGCGTGCGCAACTCGATCGAGTCGGTGCTCAACCACCAAGGCAACTACGTCAAGGAGCAGGTCAAGAGCTGGCAGCACGAGCTGCAAACGTCCGTGTATGCGCTCGAGCTCGTGCAACTCCCGCAAGACGACTGCAAGCTCGTGTCGCCCAACCCCGCGCATTGGGTCTGCTCGAGCGAGACATGCGACAAGAAGGAGAACTTGTGGATGAACCTCTCCGACGGCTTTGTGGGCTGCGGGCGGCAGAACTTTGACGGCACGGGCGGCTGCGGCGAAGCGCTTCGCCACTACGAAGAGACGGGCAAGGTCTTCCCGCTGGCGGTCAAGCTCGGTACGATCACCGCGTCGGGCGGCGGCGACATTTACAGCTACCCAGAAGACGACATGGTCATGGACCCATACCTCGCGGATCATTTGCGTCACTTTGGCATCCGCGTCGACGAGCTCACCAAGACGGACAAGACAATGAGCGAGCTCGAAGTCGAGCTCAACAAGAACTGGGACTTTGACTCGATCATGGAGGAAGGCAAGACGCTCGTGCCGATCACGGGCAAGGGCTTCATGGGGCTCACGAACCTCGGCAACAGCTGCTACGTCAACTCGGTCCTGCAGCTGCTCGTGGCGATTCCCGCCGTGCAAGCACGGTACCTCTCGCCCTCCGTGTACACGCCCGTGCCGCCCTCGCCGGCCAAAGACCTCCCATTGCAGCTCTCCAAGGTCGTCCGTGGCATCTACTCGGACCGGTACATCTCGGAGGAGCTGCGCCCGCTCATGCTGCGCAGCCTCGTCGGGGAGAACCATGCCGAGTTTAGCTCGAACCGGCAGCAAGATGCGATGGAGTACATTCAACACTTGCTCGAGCTGCTCACAGCAAAAGAAAAGACGGCGGCGCCATCGCGGCTCGACACCGGTCCGCTCGGGCGCCTCCCGACGTCGTCGCTCTTTGACTTCACGTTTGAAGACCGCCTCGAGTGCCTCGGGTCGCGCAAGGTCAAGTACGTCACGCGCCACGACAATGTCTTGCAGCTCCAGATCCCGCTCGACGCCGCCGTCAACGAGTCGGAGGTCCAGGAGAACAAGCGGCAGCGACTCGCCAGCATTGAGAGCGAAGAGGTGCCGCAAAAGCAGATCGTGGCCGATGTGCCATTCGCAGCCTGCCTCGACATGACGTTTGCGTCCGAGATCATTGACGGGTTCTTGTCGCCCGCGCTCGGCAAGAAGGGACAGGCCGCCAAGTGCATTCGGTTCAAGACGTTTCCCAAGTACCTCCTCGTGCAGATGAAGCGGTACTATGTCGCCGACGACTGGTCGCCCAAGAAGATGGACGTGAGCGTGCAAATGCCGCAGACGATTCGCCTTGGCGCGTACCGCAGCACAGGTCTCCAGGACAACGAAGAGCTGCTGCCGGAAGACGCGGGTGTCGTCGGCCCCGAGCCCGACATGCGCCTCGTTAGCGAGCTCATGGCCATGGGCTTTTCGGAAAATGGCTGCAAGCGCGCGGCCCTCGCCACGAATAACGGGTCGGCCGAAGCCGCGATGGAGTGGATCTTTGCCCACATGGACGATGCCAACTTCAACAGCCCACCGACCCCCAAGGCGGCCTCGTCGACGAGCGCACCGTCGACCGAGAACCTCGTCGCGATGGGCTTTACGCCGGCGCAGGCAGCGTGTGCGCTGCACCACGCCAAGAACGACCCGGACCGCGCGGCCGAGTGGCTCTTTGGTAACATGGACGACCTCGAGACGCACGTGCAATCGTTTCAGAGCACCCAGAGCAACCCGATGGAGAGCACCAACTGCGACGAGTACGAGCTCCTCGGGTTTGTGAGTCACATGGGCCCCAACACGCACAGCGGGCACTACGTGGCGCACATCAAGAAGGACGGGCAGTGGGTCTTTTTCAACGACGCCAAGGTGGCCGTCTCGGACACGCCGCCGTTTGGCGCCGGCTTTATCTACCTCTTTGAGCGCAAGCACTAGGAAAATTATCATTCTTCGATCCCTGATTTTGTAGTCTCATGTTGACGGTTATTGCACGAGCAAGCCATTGAGCACCGTCTCGTCGACGAGCTCGTCAAAGGTGTCGTCGGCCCAGAGCGCGTCCGACTCGTTTCGCTCGGCCTGGTGCAGCTGGCGCTTTTGTTTGGCGCGTTTGGGCTGCTGCTTGGGCAGACGCTGTTTTCGAACCACCTTTGGCTCGTCCACTTGGTTGGAGGCGCGCGGCTTGACGGCCGTCGAGAGGGTCTTGGCACGCATGAGCCACTTCCACGCGAGTCGACTCTGCCGCTCCTCCTTCTCCATGGCGGCGGTCTCTCGCTCCACGATCTACGCGCAAGCTAGGGTTGGGGTTGGTAGAGAGGGGTAGGGTACGTGGCGGTCGGCGGTGGCAGCCCGTCGCGCTGCGGCGACACGAAGCCGGACGTCGGTCTTGGCGAGAACGCGGCTGCGCCGCTCTTCGCGCAGCATGAGGGTGCGCTCGAGAGCTTCTCGCTACACAAGCGCGCGTGCCCACAGCAGTAAAGGTGATCGGCGTCGTACCTCGAGCTGCGACTGCTTCAAGCGTTTTTCCATCTGCCGCTGCTTTTCTTGGCATTGCTGCAGAAGTACTTTTCGCCGCAGCGCCGCGTGGGCCATGTTGCGCTTGTGCGCGTCCTCGTCGGGCGCGACGGACGCCGACTCGGCGCGCTGGACGAGCACTGTCTGGTACGGCATTGGGCTCAGCGTGACCGCAATTGTCTTGCGGCGCTGTCGCAGCTGCTTAATTGGTACGTTGGCGCGCGCCTCGGGCACCTCAAGCCGCGCGGTGGATTGCTTTGGGAGGCTCGGCAGTACGACTTTGTTCATAGGGCTCGTTGGGAGCAGGACAGTCAACGCCGGTATCGTCGACGGCACCTCGCGTTGCGCAGGGGTCCACGGCGACGGGAGCGGCGCCATCGACACCGATTCGGGCTCGTCGACTTGCGGCTCGGCGGGTGGCAGCGCACAACGCGCGACGTGCCCGCGGTAGAGTGCTTGGAACCGAATCACAGCGTCGAGGACGTCCAAGAACGTCTCGCGGACGACGTGCATGCGGTACACGCTCTGGAGTGTTGTTGCTGCCGAATGCAGCTGCTGCCAGTGCGCCTGGTGCGCAAGCCATTCGCACTGAGAAGCCCGGTGGCGGCGCCATGCTGTCTGGAGGCGGTGCGCAGCCTGGTGCCGTCGCCGATGCCGCACCCGGTGCACGAGTGCGTGCGTGAGCGTGGCCGCCGCGTGGGCCCGCACATGTCGTGCGACGATCGACACGTGCATGCGCCAGACGCTCGAGATGGTCGTCGCGGCCACGGTCTGTCGTGTATGCAGTCGCTGTAGAAAGGCCCGCGCGGCGGCTTGCAGGACAGCCGCTGCTCCGTGGCAACGCGCTTCGACTCGCTTGGCCTCGCGCAGCTTTTTGCGCTGGACGGTCCTTTTCGCGTTTTGAATCTTTTGAATCTACGATTTGTTGAGAATGCGTCGTCATCATCACGGTGACACCTCGAGATCGATCTTGAGCCGCTGGCGCTCAATGGCGTCCTCTTGCGCTTGGAGCTTGCGCTCGGCGCGGAGCCGCGCCGCGGTCGCCGCGTTGAGCGTCGTGTCTTCGTAGACAGCGCCAATGTACTGGCGGGAAAACTTGGACGAGATGCCTACGCGCCTTCGTCACCCAACTGTTTGTAGAGGCCAACGCACCGGCGTCAAACATCGACTTGGCCGGGCGTCGGTCCATGCTGCCGTCGGCGCCCGCTAATAATAGGCGAGTCGCTTCAACTAAACGTAAAAGTGCAATCGACTAAGATTGCAGATGTTGGTGCACGAGTCGACAGACTGTCCTTTCGACTGGTAGACTAGAGACAAATGCGATGGCTTGTAGTACGGGGACTGTATTATCATTAAGGGAAGCGACAGGCATGCTAAGGTGGTGTACGTGGAGGCTGGTCATAAGCGCAGTCGGGACCGATTCGGGGTGGACCCGACGCGCAAGATTTGACGCGGTGCCAACGACTCGGAGCCTTCGAGCGGTGTGAGCGGCTTCATCGAGTCGCGTCGCTTCTTGGCTTTCCCCGCGTCCTTGGCAAAGAGGCTCGTGCCAAGCGTCATGGAGCCAATGTGCACGGTGAGCGCCGACTCCATCTCGGGTTGGGACTTGCCCGACCAGACGCGCTCCCACGCCTCGAGCGCGTGCACGTGCGATGGCGCGAGCGAGCCCGGGCGCACGAGGCGTATCCACGCAATGGCTTGGCGCGCCGAGAAGCCGTAGGTTCGCATGAGGAAGCCGCCGACGCATGTCTGCGACCGGTGCAAGCCCGAGCTGCAGTGAACCGCGACCGTGCCGTGACTGCTCTCGACCGCCTCAAGGAACCGATTGAAGAGCGAGTCCCACGACTCGCCTTCGCACGTCATGTCGAGGTACTCGACGCCGACCACATCAACGCACGTCGGGCGCTCGAGCGCAATCACGACGCGCGTATTGTGCTTTTGAAAATACGGTATGTAGGGGCTCAGTGCCAAGGACGACGGCTGAAAGACCGCGAGTTTCTTGCACGACCACGTAATGGCCCCGTGGTCACCGCTCGCGCAGCGCTCGATCTCGTCGACGTCGAGATTGGCCGAGACAAAGCCGAGACTGGCCGCCTTCTCCAGGCCCTGTAGCCAGTCGAGTGCGTGCAGCGGAAACGTCGGGGACGATGAAAACGGGTCGGGTGGCAAGTACAAGTGTTCAAAGGGCGCGTGGGCGACGGCCGCCGTCGTGCTGTGAAAGAGGAGGCGCCACGCTCCAATGACGCAAATGGCCTTGGCCCGATGCGCCTGCGCGTCTGCGAGCAGCGAAATGCAGAGCGTGTGGTCGGGTGGTAGCGCCTTGGACGCAGTGTCAATAGCGCCGGCCGTGCGCACGACGTGGCCAAGGCTCAGCGACGTAGGTAGTTGGAGCTCGTACGGTACGAGGCGGCGCGTCGGCCACCACGACGCCGGCGGTCGTTGCCACCACTCGACATACAAGACGCGGTCGCACACGTGGACGCGCTGGCTCCACGCCGTGGCCTGCATCGGCGACGAGTTGCGAAACGTCCCCATCTATTTCAAACCCTCGCGTAGGG